AAAAAACGAAGAAATAAGATATCAAGGCTCTTGAAGAGTAATGTCAAGAATCTCGTTGAGCAGATAGCTTTCTCACAACTGAAAATTAGTCATTAATAGTTTTGCATAAACGTCACGCAAGAACAACTGGAATATTTCCATACCTAACTCCTGTTCCTCCCCCTCCCCCCCCCTGCCCCCCGTATCTAATACGGAGGTCAAAATTATTTTATTTTCGTTATTATTTACTACAGCTCGTTACTATTTAATCGGCGATTTGCGAATGTTCCGCAACGGATGTTTATTTTGCTTAGAAAGTGTCTGGCCGATGAAAAACAAAAGCAACAGTTGCTCGCATGCATGCAGACACGAGGAGCTAGAAATACTTATCATTTAGGGAGCGGTAATTTAAATGTCCGCGACGCAGTGATCGCTCGATCTCTGTTTGACATACGATTTTTCTGCGAAAATTTTACGCGTCGTCTTATCAAACGGTAGACGATGATTTACATAAAATTAAAATATACACGTGCCTCTGGCATATCGCCACGAATGCCCGGTTTTACAATTTGTACCGTTAAACGCACAACCAAAACTCTGCGCAAGCATCATTAATTGTACGTGACATTCGAGCGACCGCCTGACGCGCCTACTTAATTTTAATTTCAAATTTCCGGGCTAAAACGAAGGTAAACCTATCGTGTCATTTTCGACGACTGAAATATCAATTACTAATTCATTCCTAACGAATTACCACCAACAGTTGTTTGCGTGTTCAATCAACTATATAATTTATGTTTGCCTTTCTTCTTTTTAAAAAGAACAAATTTCACAGCACACAGATTGCTTGGTTGAAATAATTTCAAATACATTTTCTCCTTCGAATTAAAACATTCGAATGTTCCACTGTAATCGACAAAATATTTGCACGATTATACGATTAGGTATGAATTAGTATCAATTAACTCTTTTTCTCCAATGAAACAAGTGAAAATTAATTTGAATTAATTAATTGAACAAGAATAATCTGCGCGATTCCTATCGTTGGACAAAATGGTAGAAGAAATATACTAACGCTTTATTAGCGACGTGAATATCATGTTGTAAGATATATTTCTAGCGAAGAAGTATAAATTTCTATGTGAAATAGAAATTGACAGCTACAGTTAAGATTTCTCACTTTAACTGATAAAGAAACTATAAAAGAAACAGATGTACGTCTTTTATCGAGATATATATTATAAATATATTTATATATTATTATTATTTATATAATATATATATTATTATTATTTATATAATATATATTTATATATTATAAATTAATATTTTCGTATTTAATTTTTATCGAGATTAGTTCAAGTTGTAGTAAAAGTATTTGAACTAATTGATATAACACGGCTGTATGTATTTCTGCATGTTTCGAAAAAAAAAAAGAAAGACTGAATTAAAACTAGAATAGACCAGAATACATATGATATACAAAAATATATAAAACACATACATTACTTATCACATATTCAATAAATAACACTTTAATGTTATAATATAAAAATGCACGCGTTTAGCTCTTATTGTCAGTTATGCAGTTGCTAAAATATAATTTCATCTTGTAAAAAGAGATCGACATGCACACAAGACGGCATTGTCCTTTCCCAAGCGAAAACCTGTCACCATAAAAATTGTTTATGACCAACCCCCATAGAGGCGACAGCGTCATACTCTCTTGGGAATAAGTGAATCAACTGCCATAAAATAGCTGCGTGCAAGCATTTTAATCGTCCCGTAAGCCACTATCTGAAGGATCAAGCAGCGGCGTTTAGCGTGCATCAACTCGCATAACGCATATACAGCGCGTCGTACGTGCTAGAAGATCATCTCTCCTGTACTTTTCAAGAGACCGAAACGGTAAATGAAATGATCAGTGTGCACTGACCCACGGATATCGAGACATATGATCGAGACATCTGCACGTCTATAAATGACATCGAGCTGTTTCTTTGAAGACATGTCTCAAGATGTAACCCTGTATATTAACTAGCAGAAACGCGTGTACAAATAAAACTGCTAAAGTAATAAATCTCGAGCAACTGAGCAACTACTTCGAGAGGTTCTTTTTAGATTCTGACTTTAAGAGAGTCAATTAAAACAAGCTTCTCAAATTGACTCGATTTATTTCAAATATTTCCAATACTAACTCTTAACTGGCGTTATTGAGAACTATGCGAATTCTATTACTCTTCGAATTTTTCCTTTTCTCAGACTGCACATATTTTCATCAAAACGTAATTGTAATTTTATGATATTAGCATGTTTTTCGACTTGAACGCGACGTATTGAGATCCGAAAGAAAGCACGTTCGTCGTCGATAATTTTAAATTAATAATTTTATAAATTAATTAATTAATAATTTATTTAGTTATTAAGTAATTAATTAATAATTAATTTATTACTTAATTAATAATTAGTATTTTTATCCTTACGGTGAACGCAACTATTATGGCCAAATATTATGTTAAAATTGTTCCGTACGGTGAACGTAAATATTATGGCTAAATATTATGTTAAAACCAGTTCACCGTGATTACTCAAGGGAAGGGGACTTCTTGCCCCGGATTGTCTGAAGGAAAAACTATCGAATCGATTTGCACGTCGAGTACGAAATAGCATCTACCGATCTCTCGTCTGTTATTTCATCCTTTTTCTCTAATTTGATTCGAACATGTTCGATCGCTTGTCATTGACATCGCCGTTATCAGCAGATGATACTCGAAAAGAAACTAATGATGATCTGTCAACCATTTAACTGATTGTGAGAACGATGATATATGTATTTTTACGTTCTCACTTATTTTATTAATAACCGCGAACACTGTGTTATCACGATGAAAACTTTAAATCAGGATTAATGTCGTTTCTTGACAACTCAGTTACAAAACCTTTTTATAGCTTGTTCGATTTTTTTCGATGGGAAAATACTAATTCTTCACTGACTCGGTTTGAAGATTGAACAATGGATATAGTTTCATTATTGAGTCTTAGGTATTGTTACTAGCAGGAATGAAGTCTTGAAATGAATTGGTTTTTTTAATGATTCCATTGATGAAGTATAAAGTTGACAATTTCTCGTACAAGTCAAACAATATCTTCGTGAAGAAGCAGTCGCCTGATTATATTACTTAAGGCAAGCAAACTTCGTACAAGTAAATTACACCAAGAGATTGTCAGTTGATACTCTTATCAAATGATTGCCAGTATTCCATTCGTTTTACATTAGTGTTTTATGTTCTTCCATCACTCAAGGTAAATGCGAAATAGTTCCACCACTTTTTCAAAAAACGTGGTACAATTATTGTTTTTTCAGATATCCAATTATTTAGGACATATATAAATCATATTTTGCGATAAATTGTAATTTATTTTTATTTCCGATAGACGACATTGTTACTGCAATTGGTTTTCTTTTTATATTTTGGCCTATTTATATTTTATATTCTGTATTATATATCTTATATTTTATATAAATATTATATATTGTTATATATTATATATATTATATAATATATATTATTATAAATATTGTATAATATCTTATATTTTATATTTTAATCTGTCAATTATTTTTCTTCAATCTCAAATCCATTCAATGTTAAACGCCCAATCCGAAGTCACTGTATATAGTGCATTCACAGACTGGAGCGCGGAAAGTAATAAAAAGAGAATACAAAAGGAAGAAAAAGAGACGAATCATCGAGAGGAATATTAACGGCAGTTCATCGAATGCTTGATGACAGATAAGAAAGATAAATTATATCATTCCAGCTAGACGAGTTCACTTTCCACTCTTCTCGAGAAACGAAACGAAAGTTTGATCTATGATGTATCTATTCTCGAACAGCGCTAAATCCTTGCTAGATATTTAGTTCACTAGAGAATTTTTAATAAGGAAAGATCTCATTAATTTCCAGGATGATCCTTGCCACGGTCATTTGGAATTACTTTACTTCCTTGGAACAGTGGAAGCTCGTACACCAAACTAATTTGTGAGTATTCTCTTTCGTTTCCACGCTAACCGGCTGTCGACTCTCATTGAACCGGCAACGAGTCCCAACGCGACGCGCCGCGTCAGAGCGCCGTTAATCACACGTTGTGCAACATGGTAAATCAGTATCGCGTACAACGCGATCGCCGCCCCGCACGTTTTCTTTGCTCTGCTCTCCAATAAATGCCAGCGATCAAGAGTTGTGACACGATGTCCTACCGTTTCACGTGTACAAAGAGAGTCGAGTAACTGGTGGAAATAAGTTTGGAAGCTTCTAATGCTTCGTGGACTGAAAGCTTAGTAAACACCGTGGACGCAGCGTTGACTCATGGATGGAACAGTTTTAAATCGGTGAACAAACGGAGGAATTTTGGTGACCGAGAACGAAGATTTTTCTTTCGCACGACGACGTTTTATGGGAGTGTAAATTCACAGATTTCTTTATCTCGACAGGCTTCTTAGATATTAACATTTTTTTCTCCGTGTAATGATAAAAATACTAATGAGATTCAAAGGAGATCGCGTTCTGAAATCTAGTAATATTTAAGCGAATCTTTGAAGATTAAAATCTCTCCTGCAGGCTGTAAAATTTCTTCAAAAATGCTTTAACCTCTTTGATCTGTTTAAATACTGTTTTATTTCCAAACTAGTAAATTTCACAATCTTTAAAGAATTCTACTAAAATACTGCTTATATAATTTTACATTCTTTATAGACGCTTTTTAAACCTACAGATGTTCTAATCCAAACAGAATTCTTAAATACTAAGTAAATCACCAAAGTGCGTTCCATTTGTTATCATTTCATTTTTCTCTGTTTACATCAGCTCTTAATCCGGACGATTAAAAGCTTGGGACACATTTATAACCGATGACTTTCATCGCAAAAACTGGGTGCCGAGGAGCTACAACGTTGTACCGTTTATAAAAAGCATCACACATCGTAATTTAGTTGTTGAAGCTTATTATCACGTTGTTAAATCATGCATCACATTCCTCTGATACATATCTTTTTTTTCTGTTGGAAACTAGTTCGCCATTTCTTATGGAGATCAGAGAAGAGATGGCTGTATGTACATATTATGCAGCCACGTTTGATTTCGAATTGTAATCTCTCCCTTGTGAAAGATTCACGAGCGTTGAATGTAACAGCCAGAGAATCGAGAGCTGTGAGGACGGAGACAAGAAGGAAGAAATGATGACTCTTCAACGCATTTTATTACAAATTCCGTTCGTCAAATGGCAAAGATAACGAAATGAAACAAGTTCCTCAAGGCGCTGTAGATATCCAAAGGTATGTAAAGAAAATTGGTCTTCTTCCTTGTTTTGTTTGAAATTTTAGGATTCTTTTCCAAGTGGAGATTACATTTCGAATCGTAATTGACAGATTTATTTTTTCACTGTCTCTATTAATATTTATTTTTCTACTATATACATTTTTCTTTTTTTTAAGAAAGGAAACAATGAAGAGAAAATTTATCGGATATGCTATAACATAAATATATATAAATATGAATTACAACACATTTTGTTGTTCTATTTGATGAAGAATTGCCTAATCTACAAACGTAATTTTAGAATTTGAAATTTATTATTTATAATTTGTCAGTTCACTAAGATTATTAGCAGGCTACTATAACAACAAAACATCGTAATTAATAGTTGAATTTCTTTGTATTTCTCTTATTTCTGAAATTTGAGATAACTTGATAACAGTAGTAACAATAATGAACACAATTCGAAGGAGACGAAGCATCTTGCTAATTATATGGAATTATTTTATAAGTGTAACAAAAGATACATTCGAAGGATAAAAAAACAAATCGCGAAATGAAGACACACTGCATTAAAACAACTCTGTGACGAGGCAAACTTTCCTGGATAGTTGCTCGTAATTTTTTGTTTCGCGAACAAAACTGGCCACTTTTATCAATGAATTCGCCTCGAAGCACGGAGGAAAACTCGGGTTGTGTAGAAGGGACCACTCGCTAGTTGTGTCTATGATAATATTTGGTTAAACAATTTCACAAGTCTAGAGGAATCTTATAACTCTTTTTCATGCGTGATTTTTATACGATTTCAGAGAAAAATTGAAGATGAATACGAAAATAACGATCCCCTGGTATCCGCAATATTAATTATCTTTTAACAAGATAATCTTACCATCTGTCCGAAGGAACTCGAGTAATTCTATTGTATGCGTCACAAATCACTCGAACACTTTGCATATAACTAGGAATAATTGTCTTTAGATCGTTATCAGGACGGATCAGTTTGTTCGAAAAATGTTATATGAATGTTACTTTTTCGTGTAACACGTATGTCTCCGAGTCGTAAATTTTCTTGCTTGTTGAATAAAATTGGCGTATTTTTAGTAATAAAACTATGCAAATTAGAAATGACTGTAAATTATCTCAGTAAGCAAGCTGGGCATTTTCATTAATTTGCAATTTTATTTGCATACCCTTGTTTCAAAGGTATGCAACGAGTTTAGTATTTTCTTGAATAAAATAAAGAAGACAAAATTAATGTGAATTGTCGTCCGCAAAGTGAATTAATATAATTTTACAATGATCGGAAAGTATGTTTGACGAATTTCTGTCGAACAGCTAATCTATTAAATATTAAAATGAAATTAACATCGCGAATAAAAATTTTGTAGTATGTATTTTATATTTAACCATTCACTGTAACAACTTCGACTCACTTTTATTATTTGAAGAAAAAAACAAGAAAATTTCAATTATCTTTAGTTACAGTGTTTAGAACCGGATGTCGTTTCACTTTGGCGTAAGCCAAATTTACGAGCAGAAAGATATCATTCATTTTAGTCGCGATGAGATCATGGTGATTTTATTTCAATCAGGATCAGCTTTGGAAATGCGCATAAATGCTTATTAATAAACCATTCGACCAAACGATACTTTCATTACTCTCATCAACAAGAAAGGATTAATTGTTTGATAAGATCTTAGCCATCATTATTGCACGCTAATCGCTTTAACCGGTTTCGTTAATAGTCGTAAATTTATTGTCAATTTAAGCTGAATGATATCAGATACCATTCAATACGTTCCACATGATTATTTTATACCTTGAAAGTTTGTATAAATACCTGATAAATCCGCGGGAATTACTCAGCCTATTAAGTATGTAATTATGGTTATTTTGTAATTTTACGATGTATTTCTACAAGGTTTGTTCATCTAGGACGATTAAAATAATCAATTTTTCATAAAATTTCTCTAGATGTACGGCATTTTTTAGAGCTTTGAATGATTCTTCACAAGAGCTTGTGATTTTCACTGCATCATGCGTCCTTCTCTATTTCTCGTGATTTAATTGATGCAAAAGTCTTATTTAATCTGATACAAGTTTTATACTATAATTGTCGATAATTCGAGAATTAAGATGAAATAACTATTTTAGAAATCAAACGTTCAATAGATTTATTCACACTCTCGTGTGAATTCTACTCTACAGGATCGTAATTTTCATAGACTTTACATAAATAGTTCTATAGCACGTGATAATAATATTTCATTGCGAATACTGTTATTAAACGAGACATGCGTCAATAGTATCAAACGTTCCACTGAATACTTTTATTATAAATTTAATAATTAAAAACATTAAAAGTTTATTCTATTTCAACTATATATAACCAACCGTGAATTTCGATTACTGCAGTTTAATTGAGTATTTGAAAAAATAAAATTACTTGTCAAGAGTGGCGACTAAATGCAACACGTGGTCTCGATTATAGATATTAGAGGAGACGAAGAAAATCGAGAGATTCTAACTTTTGACACAGTTACTAGGCAATAAATTAAGAAACCAGTTATATCAATAACCAATTGTATCAATTTATATCAAAATGAAATCGAGACATCGGAGGGAGGGCTTGGAGAGTACGAGAAGTAAATTATCGACTTTCCATCGTGTGCCATGTAAAATCATCGCGTCCCATGGGTCAAAATGTCAAGGTGTTCGCAGAGTGAAAGGACAATCGTATTTATGCTCTTTTTTCGCCGTGGTTTACCACTACGGAATAATTAACAAATTATTTCCACGATAGCCAGCTGTTCTTCATTCGTGGTGAATTGATTCATTCAACGCCGCCTATCGGCTATTGTTCAATTAGGGCTACCTATCACTGATCTAATTACCTCAGAAATGCAAAATTTCAATATTTCTTTTTCTTTTTGTCTTCATTTCGATTGAAATGTTAGATTACATTATGTTTCAAAATATCAGATTGTTTCGATCAAAATATTGGAATAAATACATGTTTATTCTTTAAGAAGAATTATTTTTTAGAGTAGAAATCGCTAAATTCAAACTTTGTAAATATCATCATTTTATACAAGACAATCTAATCTTTTAATACTTGTTCTTTAATTACGATTAGTTGCTACACTGTTATCTAATGTCGCTCGTTAATTAACGCCAAGTTTCACAAAGTGCAGGGGAATGCATTCTTCAGCAATAACAAATACATTTTTAATCATAATTATTGTGATTTAAAGAATATTATAATATTATGGTTATCGATGCATCACAAAAATAGTCAGCTTTGAATAAAAACCGGAAATTAATTTAATTGAATTCTACAGATCTTACCGCGTAAGCAAAGTATCGAATGTAGCTCGTTCGTTTCAATTTAATACCGAGAGATTTAGATATTCAGATATTCAAAATATTCGCCAAGACTTCGAGGAAAATTGCGAGCTTGAATGTTGTTGCTTGTATATTACGTATGTGAAATAATCTCCGATGACATTAATGTATGCCGGAATACTCACTCAAAAGAGAAGATTATTAACAGGAAGACTGTGAAAATATCCTTCTTAACGAGATGTGAAATTTTAAAATTATGACCGCATATATTAAGATAATCCGTAGATTAGTATAACAGTAATAAAAAACGAAAACACTCGCGCGTACAATGTTTCTATCAAGTGTAGAAAGTAGTTACATCGACAGCTTTTTCTTCTCAAACACTGTTATATATCATTACGTATAAATACGTCGTGGAATTCTTTTCTTTTTTCTGGCATACTAACTACTTTCGTACTTATTCTTCATATTTTATTTCTTGAGATTTGAATTGGCGATTGGTAGACTGCGGACTTTTATTTATATTAACTTGAAGACGCAGAAATGCACAAAATGCATATGACGTGCAAAAATATATAAACTATTCAAAAACTCTATATAAAAATTAGCAGAAAAATCAATTTTCTGCTTGTGTTTAAATTATTTTAAGAGATGGCGCATGTTCTTTTTTAGACATTGTTTTTAACAAATAAATAAATATAAAAAATAATATTGGACACTGGAGTCTGGATTTTCACGGAGAAATTGAAAAGCCTCAAAATGCACAGAACTGCCATTTTTTTTGTTTTTAGTTATTCGTAAAAATTTGCAGAAATGTCCTCAGTCAAAGGTCATTTTTGTTTAACCTTACGCTATTCTACTAAGATGCACGAGACAAGACGTTCCACTCGGTGGTTAATTAAACGTAAAACGCGTTGGCCGCTTAATGTCCGCGATTCAAGGCATAATAGTGCCGCTTGACGAATGCGATGTTCCTAGAACATCGTAAAGATCGTTGTCCAACTTCTTAGAGCACACTCATGCGAGTTAATTGTTTCCAGCTATTAAGATCTCTGTTTCATTGAACGTTCGTTGTACCAGCCTCCGGCTGGAAGTCCCATGGGAAAGAGTACCAAAAAAAAAAAGTCACAAAATGAAAATGTCACACCTTGTAAATTGTGGCCGCGCTTTAATTAAACTACGTCGAACGAACTACGTCGTATCTCAAATGTAGATTATGGCTTCACAAATTTAGAGTGAAAGATCTCAAGGTGAAGATATCATGGAATTTCGTTTCTCCATGATGTGTATGCATATATAGAGATACCGAGATAAATGATTACGCTGGACTGCACGATAGGACATATTTAACATCTCAGAGAACGTTTTCCAAGCTACATCTTGTTTTTCATTTCTTTGCTCTGTGTCTGTTGCCTTTTTTACATGTATCACATTTTGTTTTTAAAACATTCTTCTTGCTTTTCGATCACCTTTTTCAGAATTGCTTTCAATATTTCATTTCTTTTGGAAACCTTGAGGAATATGTGTATGTAGCAAGTGTTGAAAAATGTTAGACATATTTTAACTATATCTTTTGATTGTTTATTCAGTGTTATTGTAGTACGTTAACCTCTTTGAACTTTTAATAAATAAACCAATTATTTTATTACTGATTATAGAATTGTTACAATACTCTTAAACACTCAGAGGATTAATCGTATAAAACTGGAAGAGTCGTTCCTAAAATCGATAAATGTTTCGAAAAATTCTTATCAGTAGCGAGACGCTTGAGAGGTTATTGGCAGAATCAACCTTTGAAATGAAGAAATAATCGTTTAGTTCTTTATAAATTCAGCAACGTGGTTTCCCCCGTTTTGTCGATTGCAAAATGACTTACTGTCCACGCAGCTGTGCATTAGATTTCGATTTAACTGTCGCCGTATTTCCATTCTGTCTGGTCAATTACTTCAAATACGTGAAACACGTTCCATCGTGTTTTGGCGTTGCCTGCCTGGAAATGGCACGGATCAGGAAGCGTGACATTGAACGATGCCCATAGCAGCACAGTGAAAACGATCGAATTTGGTGTAAAACGAAGCGTTTAATTATCTAAGGTTTGTCATCGTCGTAACAGAAGTCGTAACAGGGTGTTTAATATGGCGATCAGACGAACGACAAAGATAGTAATGAAAGGAAACGATTTCCATAAATAGCACTCATTATCGACCGGTTAAACGTGAAATCCGAAATCAGCGATGTCCAGAGAGTAACATTTGTTGCCGCGAGTGCGTGTTTCTACGTCGAGAGGAAAGGAAAAAAAAAAAAAAGAAACAGCAAGGGGGAAAAAGGAAAATCACGCGAAATGGTAACACGCATGATTTAACGCATTCTCGCAGCAGAGATGTAGTTTCTAAGGCACGTTCCCTAGTGTTTACCGATCAGCAATCGAATCGAAAACGATTACCAGAAAATTGTTGCCCCGCCGATAGGGAAATATTTTACAAAGATGTGAGATGGAGTGGATTATGTAATATGTAATCAGATTAAAGTTTCATTTACACATGTATGTATATGTTTATGTAGAGAAAAGAAAAAAAGAAAAGATCGAAATCTCCGTAATACTTCTTCATTACAGGAAGTTTGTAATTACCATGAGAAATTACTCAAGATTCTTTAGGTATCAAATTTGAAACAAATATAGCAATTTATAATAATCTGATGTGATGATTTAATTATCACTTATCATAATTGGCATTTGATAGCACGACATCGACGTTTACCCTTTAATTTCAATTTGATTTTACCATTAACATCGCGAAAAGTGAAATAAAATCGATAAGCCCTCCCGCTTAATGAAAATTAGTTTCAATCTATGCCTCGAATCGCCATTTATCTAGGTAATTATTTTAATACGTGTCTGTCACTAACGCGAGAGGAGCTACGATCATCGAATTTACAGCGTGCAAATAAATTGATTTCGTCTGTCGTAATACAATTGTTCAGACTGGTCTTGTTAACGTCAAAATGTTGTTTAATTAACGTTTGCTGCTGTCTCTGATTAATAAGCTGCACGATTCCGTAGAATTTCATACTTAGATACCGTTTTGTTAATTATTTTTCGATCATGACGGAGCTGCGTGCGCATACAAAAATAATAGAATCACGAGCTGGTTTATAATGGATGCGTATCTCTTGCAGCATTCCCTATTTCCTGGAATTTTAATTAGCAATCTGTCAGATCCTCTTTAAGTATGCGTTATCTATTGATAGACTACGGATATTTGACGTAAATGTAAATACGAAGCAAATAGGAAGCAAGTCTCTCTGTCATTTGCTTCAAATGCTGAACATTCGAAAAGGCAGATAAACATATTATTTTATACCTAATGATAACAATATATTGTCATTTGTTGTTTATTAACATATGCTAAGCAAAAATATTATTGAAAATCTATTGTGAAATACTACGTAAAATAATACTTGACATATTGAATTTAGGTGTATCGATTATTATGATTAATCACTATGATTAATGTACGTTGCATATTTCACGTAACAATAAATATTATATTCTTTTTAGTCCTCACATTTATTATTCATAGAGATCTGGTAATAGTCTGGTAATAATTCACTATGTTTAATACGTTCTGTTGTCTTGATTAATCCTGAACGACGATTAGACATAAGTTGGAAAATGAAATCTCTATCTTTCAGAAGTTCAAAAACAGTCTGAACTCGTTTAATTAACGAACGAAGGAAGATATGATAAAGCTCAAGTTGTTAATTAAACGAGAAAAAAGCTTTCGAACGATACTACGTGACGGACAGAAGAAATTAATTTCAATTTGCTTTCACTGTTCATTTTCACATAAAACGTTTCTACTTGTATCTTGTCATTTGTTACTATCGAACTAAGGTGCACTATGATTAATGACAAGCACGTTTCATTAATATCTTTAAATGCAAATTAACTCGCTTTATGATTGACTTGCTTCTACATTGTAAATAGTCGCGATTGCAATGACGTATCCAGAATGATAATTTCGCTGTTTGACGCACGGACAACAGGAAGCCATATTTTCCACGATCTGATTATGCATACATACACGTTTCTTTCTTCGTTTTTCTTTTTTTTTTTTTACATTTGAGACACACACACACACACACACGAGTGATTGATGTTTCTGCGGATAATGCGGCTACTCACTTAATATCAAATCTTGAAACAAAAACTTATGCTATAAAGCAAAGTTCGTTTGTCAGAGATTGTTTTTTTTTATTTTGCACGTTACGTTCGAAATAAACACAAACGTAATAAAGTTAGTACGAAGCGAAATCTTAATTATAATATTTATATATTTAAAAATTCATGACAATTTGGAAAAGGATGTTCATTCAGTTTGTTTAGTCTTAAATCTTACGTGGACTTGAGAAATGAATTTTAATCTAACAATTGGACCATGGAAACCTATTAAAATTGAGTTTTTCTACATTTTTTGTAAATGGATATTATTCAGTAATTTCAATTTTTCATCCACATTAGGGTCAAGCCTAAAATAAAACCATGATTTGATAGTTTTAACAATTGTACAATACCAAAAATTACTCTATTTTATTATTTCTATTATATAATTTCATTACTTGTTATTATTTCATCATTTGTCAAATAAAATAACCAACAAATTTATGAGATCTATACTATATTGATTTCTGCACTATTTGATCCAATTTATCTAAGTTGTACAATTAAAAAGTTGTAGATCTAATTTGTAGATTGCTACCACTAAGATTGACGAGAAAATCGCAGAGAGAGAGAAAAAAATATTCGCAGGCAAACTTGAATTATTTAGAATAAAGCATATACTTAGTATTAATCTTATGTAAATTATACATTTGCATTCATCGATCAGTTCATATCTTTTACTCCGAACTGTTTAACGTTTTTCTTGAGACATCACCGTGAAAATATTCTCTCCGTATGAAAGTAACAATTAAATTCGCAAGAGAAAAAAAAAAAGGAGCACCAACCTGCAAATAAGGGCTGGCCGCAGAGAGAACCAAACGATGCGCCAGAAACCTTTGTCCGCCAGGACAACAGAGAGCCACGTCGGCGAATCTTTGGGACAGCATCGCCTCCTTGAGGAACTCGCCGACATTCGGTGCTCTCCCAGAAACTCTGATCACTTCTCCCATCATGCTCCAACTCGCGATAGTATAACGCTACTTATCCGATACTCTTCTCAGCCGGTATAAAACAGTTCAAAAGATCATCCCGAGCGTTTCAACTCTTCTCTATAACAATGTCGCGTTTTATTGGCTGAATGTTCTTCGTCTCAAGTGAATGTATGTACACGTCAGTCAAGATTCAACTTCATTTCGTCGAACTTGAACGTGCACGTTGCACTCGAATACACTGATTTTCATTAAGTACGCGTCCACATGATGAGGTAATCAGTTTGTCAAACGTCTCGCGGCGTTTCGTTATAAATAGAAATCAATTATTAGAGGAATAATTCTCGGACTGTTGATGTCCGACATAGCCGGCATAGCTACAAGAGAAAGAGAGGAACTCGTTCGAATAAAAATTCTAATGGGCAAGGCTTCCGAAGTGATTCGATTATTATCTAGCAGCTTTCGTCAAGTTTGTTTCGTATGTTTTGCTCGATGAATTCCACGTATATTTTATTCGTACATACTTTTTCATGTAAGGCACTTTCTCTTCTTCTTCTTCTTGAACTTTCAATCAAGATACAATCTCACCTTTGAAACATCCTGTCAACTGTGAAACATCTATCGCGACCGATCATAGAAAATTTCCCTTTCGTTGAATTCAGATTTTATTTTAAAAGCCTGTTGAAAGCTAATCTATCTAATTTTGAAATATATCAGTAAAATTTAATATTAAAATATTAAAATATTAAAGTATTAAAATATTAAAATAATTTATAAAACGTTTAAAATCCTTGTTTTCCTTTAAATATTTAAAATCTTCAAATGTACATCAGACTGTATTTTATACTTTGTGACTATATTTTTAAAATTAGAAATTATACCTTTGTCGAGTAATAACTCATCAGTTTACATATAATAAATGTGTAAAATATCCAAAGTATAGCGCAGCGTCTAGTATTGATATATAAAACAATTTTCTTTCAAAGTTCTATTTTTATATATACCCACATTTGTATGAAAATCCACAATCTATAAATGACAATAAATATATCGCTCGTGTACAAACTGTTATCCATTTACAAAGGACTAAATCGTTCAGTGATTTTAAAAATGGAGTAACATCGTTTTGTATTATAATAGCAGAAATTGACGAGACTGCTTTATTACAGCTTATTGGGCTAGCGGTTTTGCGTGGACCATGGCTGATACCATTGTACTGTGAAATTACTTTGTGGCCAAGAAATTGATACCCTTCGTAAAACAACACCCCGAGCGAAACGTGCAGCACGTAGAACGCCTTGTCACACGCGTGGTTGAACAAGGTTATTCGCGCCACGCCGCTTGCAACTTTTAATAAACTCTGGAACCACTTTGCATACGCTTATCAATTACAAATAAACCTGTAGCCATTTGTGTCACAAGATGGTAACATTATGATAAATACGTTATTTATGTCTTTTATATATGTCCAGCGTTAAGGAAACATAAATCTATGACTGCCAGCACGCACTATCGTTTCTTCTCATTCGACGAAGAACATAAAGTAATGCAATTTCCAATTCTAATGCGTCTTAAAACTGCTTTCTAACATTTGCATTTTCGGATTTTCTTATTCTTAGATTCGATTTTTTAGCCTCTCGAAGACTCTTCGGATTGAAATTCTTAAATTCTCTCTTGCATTCAAAAATTTGTTGATTCTAAAATTTTCGACTAGATTTCCTAAACTCTTGGATATTGAAAATACTTGAATGTTTGGACATCGTTATATTTCTGGATTTTCAAATATAATTTTTTAATTTTGAAATTCTCGTATCGTACAGTCCTTGGAATTTGAAATTTTTAGAAATTTTTGGATTTCCTCGATTCTTAAAGTTTCAGACTTTTTGAACTCTTGGATCCTTACGTCTTTAAACTTTCACATTGTTAAACCATTTCTGTGTCTCCTTTGTTTTTGGATTCTCGTTTTAATACCCAGTCAACTGTTGCATTCGCGAAATCGCAGAGACATGGAGAAATACTCCTATCAAAATATTGCCTATCGAAAACAGCGGAGTCAAGGTAGATGCATCAGATTTATAGAGTTGCCGTCGCCGTGCACTTGTCCGCTTGTCATTGCCCAGTGATTTAGAAGAATGACCTGCTAGCCTTGATATTCGGTTTAATTACCATCGCGATAACAGTGCCAGTTTATGTTGGCACTTTTCGAAAGTAATACTTTCCAAAAGGATAATGCTTTCACGTTTGTTCACTCTAGGACACTAGCAAATTGAAATAATCCATCGAATTATGCTCTATTACATGTAAATTAGGAACAAAGAAAACATTTAAAGAAATAGGATAATAGTTATTTTTTGCTTTCGCGATCCTTGACATATTTCTCTCTTGCTTCTCTTTCAATATTTTGAGAAAATATTTAGTACAAAATTAAAACGAGAGAGCATGTATGATAGTAACAATCTTTTCGTATCTTACACAAGCTTGAAATATTTAATATTGAAAAAATGTAATTAAATTGAAAATGCTTGGAAAGATGCAGCTGATTGTGAATTAAAAAATTAACAAAAAATTTTGAACGATGTCTAATTATATGTTAAATTCTACTTTAAATTGAATTTGAATACAGCCTATTATAATTTTTTGTTCAAAAATACCGAATAATGAAAGCACAGAAATGTTTTAATCTTTAATTTTTATATATGAGAGAAAATTAAACAACAGATACTAATAAAACCAATAAGAATACATAATTAAAACAAAAAATTATGTAATTTATGAAATTTTTAAAAATTAAAAAACTAATTAGAGTTAATTTAATTGATTGCGCATAGTTATAATAATAACATTTTTAACAGTACTTAAATCACGGTAAGAAATTGAAAAAAACAATCAGTTTGCAACCTACTACATTATTTGAACCATCAATAGTTATAAACAGTATATAAATCACTACTAATGAAATGTCACTATGACCAAGTAGCATTTAGTTGTACTTTATTTTCTCAAAAAGAAAACCTCGGATGAAAAAGCTTCGTATCAAATTTTTTACGTTTCTTTCACACAAAGTGAATCTTGTTTCCATTGTACTATAATTCCTAATAATATATTAATATTATAGTAATTAACAATAGTAGCAATAGTAGCAATAGTTTCTGATTAATTAATAAACATTACGCGATGACTTGATATATTTAAATTAGATATTAGCATCCATTATAATATGAAGATCACGTGAGAAAGATAAGTCCATTTTTGTCAATTTTAATTTCTGCGTCACTTGATAACTAAAAAAATAGTATTTCAATCTAAAAAAGTCGAAAAAGAAAATAACCTAATAGATTTGAAGATGTAAACCTTAGTAAACTAGGTGATAAATCGGCGATGTCTTATAAAATAGAAATATTATGAATATTAAATTACTCAATTAATGTAAATTTGTGTGACTAATGAGATGACACAATCGCATATTTAATCCCAAAATCAAATGTAAAGGTAATCTCGATGTTGACAAAATATTAAATCTTAAAATTGCTCTCTTATAAAGATTTTTCATCCATGGCTTTTATATTGAAAACGTAAAATAAAATACATTTCAGACATTATTTCTTTAATCATGTTCGCGCATAGACAGTATAATTATCATAAACAAGACCTTTGTCAACGTTGTAATAAAAATTTGCATTTATCGACCAATACCGCGATGTCTTTAGATTGATACTTGCGATCCGTTTATTGCAGCGTGGTTGCAAAAATAATCGATTTTTACAGCAACTTTGCGAAATATTCCGTTAAAAATTTCGTGCGACCTTTTTGTACACAATATGACGAATTTTTTTTTTTTCTTCATTTCCCGCTGCACTGCTGCATATTTAACATGGAACAACAATGTTCGATTTTTACACACTTATCTTGCGTCTATTGCAGTTTCGTTACACACTGATATGTATTTGTCAATTTAATCAATAACTTATTATGTACCGCACTTCACCGCCATGACACTACACGTTACTTTATATATAAATATTTTATTTAGTTTCAATAACCACTTTGTTTCATTGTACCATAAGTTTACACCAATGAATGATGACGTTCGTTCGAACTTCGGCCGCGCGCGAAGACACGGTCGTTTTGACACCTCGATCATCAAAAGAGGTTTGACGAGTTTTTATTTGTAAACATTTTATTATCTAATCAGCTCACGTTGTAAAACAGTAATGATTTGCCCATGAGAATCGTACGGGCAAGGTTTTCGATATCAAGTATCTGTGAAATACAAATTTTTGTTGTCACTCTTCGAAACGTTCACTTTCTTTTGACCCAATGCGAACATATATTTCATACAGTGTTTAATCATTTTACGTCAATATTTCAACAACCACAAAAATTAACAAATTGCTCGATCCATCATTTTCGTTACTTTCTTACGATCTGTTGCGATTATTTTCCCCTTGATAATTATACGAAATTAAAATTCAACGACTGTGCTACTAGATAATGATCTGCTTCGGAAGAAATGCTTCTAATTGTAAGAGAATTGGAAGATGCCAAGAGGAAATCATCGGTAATAAATAGATGTGTTGAACTGACCGTGAAAAACGCGTGTATCTCGGACGATTCGGTATTGCACGTGTCAGAACGAGTGTGAGACTCCGGCATGATAAAATTGTAGGCAGAGAGGAACGAGAACTCAACCGAGAACTCGCAGGAATTTTGTGGATCGCAGAGTGCTCGAGAGATATACCCGTCGCTGAACAACTCAGCAGGGCGACTGCCACCTGAAATCCTCAGGTGAGCAGAGACCACCTCTGCTCCTTGCAGTCTCTCAACGGAGAGAGAACTCGAAGGAACTCCTCCCATATCGGTGCTCTACTCCCTCCTTGAAATTATATACTTGCGTTTCCCATCGTGCCGCCACGAGGACATTCGAATTGATAATTAAATGAAATGTAATTTTCTCGATGATGATATCCTATCTGTATCACTTTGTAACAATGATTTCTTGCTGAAATATTGCATCCCACTGATTATAAATTGTTCTAATCGGACATTTTATTTTTAATTCTGCGCACGAGGCAAACCGTAATGTATACGTCTTACCTGTGAGGCAGAGTATTTAATTTTTCATGGAAACAACAACAAAAGAATAGTGCAACAAGAGCGCGTTTTTCATTTTATAGGATCATTTAGTATGTTATTTATAATTCTTTTATCGATGATATTCATTTTATTTTAATCGTTTTAAAATATTTACAGGAATAGAAACATTGATCGTCGTGGTAACAATCAAAGTGTTAAAGAGTATTTTCGTTAATAACTGAACGATCGAGAAAAAGATATCGTACTAATGTACCATAGGAAATTAATTTATCTATGATTGAAGTTTTTTATGATTATGATTATAGCAACGTGTTCCGTACAAATTCCAGTTATTTGTCACCTGTACTTTCTAAAAAATCTACGTATTGACATATACTTATTACGTACAATTACTATGGTAAAGAAGCACAATTCATGAGCTGAATTCTGAACAGTAGAATGGTCTTGCTATATGTACATAAAAATATCTGTTCCTTTTTACACTTCAGCTCATGAATATAAGTCCTTAACACCATCTTTCTTATTATTCATTCTATGTCATTAAGCATAATTCTTTTTGTAAAATGCTATAATTCATTATCATATATCGTAAGATAATTGCAAACGTGAAGTTTCTTGATCTTCTTCTTAAATATTTAATTTCATAACTGAACGTAATTTTCTTCAGAACACTTGAGAGTATTATTCGAGAGTTTCAAAAACTAAAAAAGAAAACACATATATATATATATATATATATATATATATATATATATATATATATATATGACACATAAAACATAAACATATATATATATATGACACATAAAACATAAACATATATATATATATATATGAGACACTGGAGAGTTAAATGCCAGATAGTAGTGCATATTATGCATCATTGCTTTTTTATACAAGATGAACATATAATTTCGAAGTTTATAGAGCTGAATAATTCAGAGTATTTTGGACACTAAAGTGATTTTAACGGTAGTTTTATCTATAATGCATACACCTACCAGTGCCAGTAATTTGTGAATGTTTTGCCCGAAAAAGAAAGTACAAATCGATACACTGATATTCAACACGAGAGCGATAATTCAGATAAGAATAAATTACCACTTTGCATCTAAAAATTATCAACACGCTGAATTATCAAGAAATCATTGAACAACCAATAACAAAGTTAACGGAGCAATGAGATTTATGATTCTCACGTGGAAAATGCATAGGAAGAACAGACTTATAGAGTGAAAGCAACAATGTCGTGCCTCACAAATCACGTTTGTTTTAGAGAACATTTTATTAAGGTCGTGATAATTAAGCAAATAGAACAATATCCGCTTCCGTTTATGTTTTCTATATATAGAATATTATATTTTCAATAAGAAAGTAATCGATTCACTATCGAGTCTATCTTTATCTATTACTTGCCCTCTTTTTCAAATATTTTAATATAATTAGCGACGATTATTGGACTGACCTGCTTTAAATGGAATCTGTTTATATTTTGCACATTTCAAGTAAAAAAGTAAGAAAAGTATTTACACTACAATACAAAAATGTCCAAATTTTGCGCTTGCTAATTTTTTAACAAGATGTGTTACTAAATAATAAATATATTTTATATTATTATTTTACAATTAGTTTCAAATAAATATTTTATGTATAATGAACCGACAGAAATTAATGAATCAATTTTTTAGTAAAATTCATAACAAAGCATTTTAATCCCAGCTAATTATCTAGAACAAGAACAACCATGAAAATAAACTTTTAGATGATAAAATTTGTATGACGAATATTGTACAAATCGTGTGCTATTACGGCTAAAATTAATGGTAAAACTCAAATAGAAAAAACATAAAATTATTCATAATGATACGACAAAAAATAATTGAGACATATATTTATTTGCGATAAAATTTAATTAATGAAATAATTTTAGACTCCATTGGAACCGATTTTAATTGACTCTACAGAAGAAACAAATGGCACTCGACTATATAAAAGTTGATAATTCCGATGCAAACACCGTAGAAGGTTTGTGGGACACAGCTTCACTTCATGCTAATGTTGAACCTATTAGCACGAGTCAAGAACATTTTCCAGGCTGATTATCGGGTAAACACAATATTATGTCGGTTCCCGTTTTACCCATTATTAGCCTTGTCTATTCATATTCACGTTAAATTGTTGAAATTTTATCGTAACATTCCCTTACTGTTATTCTCGTTGAAATCTTTGACATTCTAATTGTATGCAGCACGTAACAGGATGTAGTGATTGCACGTACTGCAATTTGTCGATCACAATTCTTTCGTAAAAATAGATTAACTCGTTTTGATAATCTTGATAAAATAATCTTGATCTTCTGACAAAAATTGCAATCACAGCTTTGGATAAAAGCTCGACATTGACATTGATTATGATTCAAATCAAGTCTTATCTTTTGACTAAAAATTATGTGATTAAATGCTAATGAAGAAATGAAATTAATTTCATACAATGATTCACGAAAGTATTTGAATCCTTGTCGTAGAAAATTTTCATAAATATAGAACTTGTCCAATAACAAAATATTTCCATAATTAGAGTTTACGTAGTAGGAGTTCAGTGATCTCCTCTACCAGTAATTTTTCTTTCATATATATAGGAGTTCAAATAAGTGAATTTAGTCAATCATTATTGACCAAAATTGGATACAAACAAATCATATAAACGGATTTCTATTATCGTAAAAAAATTTTTCGAAATTTTATTGTTACTATATAATGTGACGCTACTGACACATAATGGCTAAACTCAATCTAAAAATATATATATACATATATAAAAGTCAGAAAATATTTATTGCAAATATATACCATGTCATGTCATTAATATATATTTATACGGTTTAAATAATTTAACTCATTTTAAGACCTCTATGATCTATATGTTTGCAATGAAAATATTTTATAAATATTATTATACAGAGAACAGTCAAATATATCGAAAGATATGAATGATACGAAAAGAACCTGTTAAAACGTAATTTTAATTCTTTTAAAATTAAAAAAATTACATAATTCATTTTTAGCAGAAATGAACAGATATATTAAAATATATAAACAAAAATAAGCAAGCCTCAATCAAATTTCTCTCGATTGTATCATCGATATTTGCCTTCGATAATATTTTAACTTCCAGCTTAAGCTTTTCATATTTTTACTGACATTCACTTGTTTCATGTAAATTTTTTTCAATAGTTCGACATTTTATCGCGTTTCGTTTTTAGTTATTTGTTAAAAGGTTGATAGGAAGAAGTTTATACAGTTTAAAGTCGAAAATCATTCTTTTTTTTTTATGTTAAAATAATGAGTACAGTCGGAGATATAATAAAGGTGAAAACATGGTCACCTTCCGTTCCTTGCAAAATTCCAGATAATATCATTTCTTCGCAATTCACGACCCAGAAAGCATTCGTTCCATCATATGAAAAGTACCTTTAAATTTCTTATTAAATTAAAACACGCTTAATGTTTTTACAAATAATCAAGATAGATTTTCTAAAATGTCATAGACAAAAACGTCCTTGTATAGAGCAATTATTAACGAATGAATACCAGCGAATCTGGTGGCAAGAGAAAGCGTCATGGGACAAAAGAATGCAGAGCAAAGCACCTAGCAAGAAGTTACTACACCGCATGGTAAAAAGAAATAAGGACCGTAATTAATTAATTTTTTTTAAATTCGTTTAATAAAAAAATATCCATACAAAATAACAAAAAAGTTTAAAAATTTGTACAATTTCTATTGAAGATAATTCGAAGAAAACCGCAAGTCGCTCCTCCTCAACCAAAAAAGATTAGAAAACCAAAGAAGAAGAAGGAAAAAAAAGTCGAAAAATCAGAAGAAAGTAAGGAAGAAGACAAGAATCCTACACAAAAATCAGAAGAAAGTAAGAAAGAAGAAAAGAATCCTACACAAAAATCAGAAGAAAGTAAGAGAGAAGAAAAGAATCCTACACAAAAATCTGAAGAAAGAAAGGAAGAAGAAAAGACTCCTACACAAGAAGAAAAAATTGACAAAACGGAGGAAAATAATATCGAAAAGTCGCCAAAATAATCTCTGCTTATTGTCATTCAAATTCAAATGTGCTTCTAATTTTATAACGTATAAGAATTTGATTTGTAAAACAATATCAACGTCCATCAATTTTATTACACGAACTTTGAAAATTGCGCCATCTTGTAACAACATACATCTGACTAAATATTGAATATTGTTTCGATCTTTATCGAAATATTTTATTGAAATATTTTTTATATTTCACATGTACCGTAAAAAAATAAAATATACCTCGATCACTTGTAACTAAGTCATATCAAATTATACAGATTACAATTTAAATGTAAAACACTTGATAAATGGATTTTACCTAGATGGCACTTTGGTCGCCGGAAGTGCGCCAAAGAAGTTTTCCTCGAGAATGTACCGAAAAATAATTTATATATTAATATATTTTAATTTTTATTAATATATTTTAATATTATATTTTAATATATTTTATACGTATTTTATCTTTCTCTTTTCATAGCTTCGTTACGAAAACAAATGTATTTCAGCAGCATGTTTTATTTGAAGTGACTTGTCATGCGTACGCGCGACTATAACGCGCGTAATAAATATAAAAGAATAACACTTAAGTTTATAATAGAGGTATGCAGTATTTATAAAACGATAGACATTTTAGCAAACGATTATACAATTTTGACAATTTTTTTCATCAGTTTATATAGGCTTTCTAATACTATTACTTACCAGTCTGTTCGAATATGATAAGATTACGTGATGCCTGCACTAGGTACACACGTTTGCAGTTTGTTGAAAGACGAAAGTGGAAAATGCTGATGCAACCAGCAACGATAGTTGAGTTTGATTTCCAGCATGGTGGAATGAATTTTTAAGGGGAAAAAGAATGTTGTCGTTGGTTACACGCTTTCCACGACGATCACAGGATTCGTTATATTTTGCAGCCGAAAGAAATGATCCTTTTATTTCTCTCGGGCCACTTCTTTAAATAAAAGAGAATATATTTGGAAAACAATTTCAATTCTAATTATAGGCAAGAAAATAGCATTTACCTTTTATCTTTTAATGTTTAATCTTTAAGAATTTTATGCACACTTCTTTTTTGAACTTTTTGTTGGACGATATTTTTGAAAGAAAGGTCCATAACTCATTCAAGGCAAACTACATGCCTCTAGGCATTTATTAATTAAGAATCTGATATTTCATTTACAGAACAAGATGAAACAATCAATGCTATTGCATCATGATCAATTCATTTGTAAAGGAAAGGAAGTTTTCTATTTCGAAAATATACTTCTTTGCAATGATATTAGTAAAACGTCAAAAATATGCTTATAAAACGAGAACGCATCGTCGAATGTCAGTGACAAATATTTCGCATAAAGGTACAACGATAAATTTGTTTCTTTTTTTTTTTGTATTTATATTTTCGTTAAAAATATAAAAAACACTTAAAATAACAGAATCCTTATATATTTTAAGGATTTAAAAGATTTTTATATTGATACCTAGGTAAATTCGATCATGATCACCGAATTGTATACTTATTGTTAAACAACATTAATTGTACACTTGGAAAAAGAAATAGAACAAATAGATCGAGGCAATAAAATTCAATCACAGACTAATTCTTTTATCGTGATTAATTAAAAGATAAAGTTTTTAATCGTGATTAATTAAAAGATAAAACAGATTGCGGTCTGCATCACCTCTGTATGTATATGCATACATATGTATTTCGAATCTATCTTTAGTCGTGTTTCCGGCATAGAAAAAAAAAACAGACACAACTACGTACAACTTCATTCGATATCCTTCGGATATAATGTTACATTCGTGCTAGGCCATATTCCATTTCTACCATTTCGTTGCAAAACTACCTAGGTGTTTCGTTACGTTATGCTACCGCATTAAATAACAACCATCGACGATTGTTTCCTATAAATTCTTCGCGGCAGTGAATGAAAGGTAGATCGAGACAATTCGTCGTACAGTACAACTGTTTCACGACACGCGGTACACCCCTAAACACTTACTTAGGGATAAGAGAAAATCTGAATCACGGACAACATGAAACAAATGCATAGTTTTACAAGCGTATTATACTTTAACACTGACCATCGTTAGAAATATTGTTTTTAAATATCCGTGAATAAAGTAACTTCAAAATTCTTGCATGATACCTAAATTCTGTTTCAAATTACTATTGCATTAAAATCTAGACTAGACTCAATTAAATGCCAATTCTTCATTATCATTAAATGTCGATTTATTCGAAAAGTGATCTCAGAAATTTTTATTACATTATATAAATACAATTATGTTTGATACAACTGTAAAAATTAATTCTAAAAATGAACCATCTAACAGGATAGAAATGCCATAATTATACTATTGTACAAAAACAAGTGCATAACAATTCAAAATAGAATTTAAGCTGAATCTAACTTAAAAAGTAAAAAAAAAAGACATATCTTCATTCTCAAATAGGTGCACAAACAATTCCCTCGTAACTATTACTTCAAATACATTTTCTGAAAAAATTACTTTTTTTTACTTGCTGCGTGCTTTTAATAAAACGACAATATATAATGTACATAATACATTTACAATTCGGATTAATTCTATATTCATGGATATATAACAGTATAAATAAGTTCATAACGAAATCTATAAACCATTCTAGCGATCGAACGATATTAAAAATAAAATTGATGCTTGAGAATATTTTCACGCAAAATCCTATGGAGGTTTACTCCTTTAAATAAATATTGTGAGATTTAACTTCAACAATAATTATTTATTTTAATTTATGCATAACAACATCTTTATGACGACTGTTGGCTTGGTTGATTCTTAACAACTGAGATTACAATATATTTCCCGCTATTTTATTTTCTTCTCTCTTCATTTGTAATCAACTCGTTTTTAAAAATACGCGCCGCCACAATTCAAACGACAGTGCTGCTACCTAACAAAAGCCATTTCCGTTATATGCGAGCGCCATTTTAATTTGTCGAGACGGATTAGTCATCTTGAAAGTGCTACTACGGTTCGATAAAATTCGCTTGGGAACGTTTTAAGAACTGTTTTTCGCTGGTCAATATAAAAACCGTGGTAATGCAAAAGTGTTTACCGCAGTGAAACGTAGCAGGCGTAACAGTTTGTTTAAGCAATTCTGATTTTGTTCTTCGGTATGTCAGAAGGCGAGGCTACAGCGTCGCAGAAGAAACAGCAGCCATTTCAGCAACAGCCACAACTTGGAGTAGGCTCAATGGCGAATATGGCATGGCAATATCCCTCGCCAAACAATATCCATAACATGTTTTCTCCATATTCAGGGTAATTATTAGCTGCACGCGTCGATTTAATCGGGAAATTATCGTATTTTTAACAACACGTTAACGAGCAACGCGATGTTTCGATTTAGAAAATCTCGTACGCGTTCGAAACGTAATGTATTACGCACGTAATGCTTGACAATTTGTTTGCTCTTTTGTTTACAACATGAATGAACGTAAAAAAAAAACTGTTTGTCGAACAAAGTGAAAGCGAAAGATGTGGTGTAGATAATGTACCACAGAAATAACATATATCAATATACGAAAGACGCTTTGCAATGACCTAATTTTAGATGAGCATACGTAGTATAAATATCTTGGAGTAATTATGTATTATTTTAATAAGTAAAATACATCATGATATACAAGTACATAATAATAAAGAGTTAAAAGATGCTTCTGCGCATGTTATTAATTATTTTAATGTTCAAAAATTTTTGAAGTCATGAATAATAATAGATCTTTTACAATATTAAGCAATTTGGTCGCATCTATGATAACCTATGATTATATTCCTTGCAGGCAGTTGTATCCAGGTTATCAAGGTGTACCTCATCAAGGACAGACATTCAGTTATTATCATGCAATGATGCCTGGATATGGACAACCTTTTACTCCACAGCAGATGCAACAGCAGCATCAACAACAGCAACAACAGCAGCAGCAGCAACAACAACAACAGCAGCAGCAGCAGCAGCAGCAGCAGCAGCAGGACAATAATCAAGGAAAGCAATTACATCAGCAACCGCCAGTACCTGGAACTCCAATGTCTTTAGATGATGATTCTGAACTTCCTCCTTTACCTCCTGGACCTCCACCATCTGTGCAGACATCTCAACAACATAACAATCAAGTACAACCATCTTTACAACCTCATCCAGGGTATATGTACAATGCATTTCCATATGGTACTTGGAATGGAATGCATAGTGATATGTCTCGTAAGTTTTTTCTCAGATAAAAAATATCAAAGAAATGATATTGACATTTCTATGTATTTTGTTTTCTTGTTTCAGAGTACAACAATCAAATTCGTTTTAATGTATACAACAAAAAGAATGGTTTGTCTTTTCTTTCTCCATCTGGCAATAGTGGAGCTGCAAAGAAAAAACGTAAGCGGAATAAAAATTTAGCAGCACAGTTCAACAATAGCTTTCAGGCAAACAGTCCAACGACAACAAATTTCGTGCCTGGTCCTAACCTGAAGACCGAATTACCGCCTTTACCTCCTGCACAACGTGAAGTAGTGGCTCCTCCTCCACCAACTGAAGAATCCCCCACTCCTACTACACCTGCTATCACAACTGTAAATAATACAATTCCTAGTGCTGGTACACCAGCGGTAGGTACTCCTTCTGTTGTGACCAATCCCAGTCCAGTCGGCGATTGGCCTGACAGTTTGAAGAATTATGTAAACAGGTGTTATGAAAAATGCAAAACGGCAGTAGACAAGGATCAAGTTGAGATTATATTAAAGGGAAAGATTACGCGTGCCGCGAATGATGGCTCCCTTTGGGTGAAAGACTGGGATCAAGAACCATTACCTAGTATTCACAGTGAACGTATGACTATGACGATAAAACCTCAAAAGCCGGCTTTGAAATTAAATAATTTGCCGAATCCGCTGATGAATGCACAGGGAGGCTTGCGCAAGCCAGGTCTCTCTACTTCTCTCGGGGCTCGGCTTGGTGCGCGTCTCTCTGTGAATTATAAACGGTCAAGGTCAAGGACTAGGTCAAGATCAAGATCAAGATCGAGATCAAAGTCGAGATCGAGGTCGAGGTCAAGATCGAAGTCGAGGTCGCGTTCGAATACACGTAGCCCACCATCACGAAAATACAGGCGTAGTACATCGTCGTCGTCGAATGTTAGTGATCGGGAACACGATTATAAATCGCTAAAACCGAAAAAATCTACTAAAAGCAAACAGAGTCACAGCAGCAAGAAAACAAAGAAGACTAAACAGATGAAATCACATTTCTATTCAGAGTTTGGTTTAGATACAGGAAACACTGAGGAATTAGGATCCAAGGAGAAATTACAACAACGTGCTGCAAGATTCAACGACACTATTTCTAGGACAGTCAGCAATGGTGTTAAAGATGATTCCTCTACAGACTTTGATTTTACCGGACTTCACATTGTAGGAGTATGCAAGGATATAGAAAAACCTTATTTACGTTTGACATCTGTAAGATCTTTTTCAGTGATTAAATTCATTTATAGCAATTTGTAAAATTCATTAAAATACTTACTAACTTTTATATTACAGGCTCCAGCTCCTTCCGCCGTTCGACCGGTAAGTGTACTTCAAAATTCTTTGGCACATGTCAAGAAGCGCTGGGTGGCTGATCAGGACTATAGATATGCTTGTGATCAACTTAAATCTATTCGTCAAGATCTTACCGTCCAAGGTATTCGGGATGCATTTACAGTTCATGTGTATGAAACACACGCTCGCGTTGCTCTAGAAAAAGGAGATCATGAAGAATTTAACCAGTGCCAGACCCAACTACGAATGTTGTATCAAGACGTTGGCGGAGAAAACCGATGCGAATTTATTGCATATAGGATATTGTATTATATTTTCACAAAAAATACTCAAGGTTTTTAATTACTTCATTTTATATATAGGATATGTCATTTAAATGTAACTCTAAATATCGTTTTTAATCGTGAAGATGTAGAAGTGTTGTTAAAATAAGTTTTGAATCTGCAGCTTGGAAAACTAGAATCTCAAATTGGGTTGTAAAATTTCTCAATATTTTGACTATGATGCAATAGAAAAAGATATGTAGTTGTTTAAATTAAGATAGTTATTTAAATATTTAATATAAATTGGCTATCATGTAAATATTTTTTGCGTTCACACAATTAAAAAAGATATTTGAGGGTCATATTTATTAAATGAGACACTATATACAGTTAGTACCACTGTAATATTGTTTTCATATACAAAAAGAAAACAATATTTTTGTTACAGATTTAACGACTATTTTAGCAGCTTTGTCAGCGGAAGATAAAAATGACGAGTGTATAAAACATGCGCTCAGAGTACGTTCAGCTTGGTGGTTAGGAAATTTCCATGCCTTCTTCCAATTGTACACTTCTGCTCCGAGGATGGCAGCCTTCCTGATGGATTGGTTTGTTGCAAGGGAACGCAAGAACGCATTGAAGAGCATGATAAAGTCGTACGTACAAGACTCTTTAGAAATAATTATTTACATCTACTTCTCAAAATATCTTCAAACAACATTCATATATATGACATTTTCTCAAAATATTAAGAAATATAATAGATTAAAATATAACTAATTTGGTATTAACAGGTACATTTAATTGGTAAATTGTTAGATAGCTTATTTTAAAATAATTTTATTTGACAATTTTTTTGCAATTTTTTATGACCAATAAAACAAATCTTTTTTTATGTTTTAAGCAATCTTCAAATATATTTCCATAAATAAAAATAAATTTGATGGAAATATGTTTAACCTTTTTCTAATTTTTTATGGATAAAGATATAAACAGGAAAAACAATTTATTATTAATTTCCATAAAAATAAACATTATATCGTAGGTAAAGTTGGAAGTAAAAGATTGCAAATAATTTTTTTAACAATTATAATTATACATAGATTTCTGTTACAGGACATCGTTGCTGAAAAATGACTAATTTTGTTCTTGTTGTATTTTTATTGTATTATATATACATATGTTTATATATTTATTTACATATGTGTTTATTGCACGATTATCTAACGATGCATTTCTTCTGCTGTTTAGCTACCGGCAAAATTTGGCGGTTGATTTCGTCGTAGCAGAATTGGCCTTTGAATCTTTGGACAAGTTTTATGAATTTGTCAATGAATTGGGGTTGGTTTATGCTGATCCTGAACACCATCTAATCGACTGCAAGACAAGCAGTGGTTCTATAGGTGCTTGGTAAAAAAAAAAGCAACGTCAGTTTTTTGATGGAAGATGTACAAACAAAAGCTATTGTCGTGCACATTCATAGGCACAAATCTGTGTGTATATATGCATATGTTTCCCGATTATATGCATATGTAGACTTTATATACATATGCATATACATGTGCATATATTTAACAACACATTCATCTGGTACTGATAATTCTTACCATCCCCTAATCATTGTTCTCTTCGTTGCTCGACACAGTCGAGCAACAATTTATAAATGAAAGTTTTCCCCGCAATAATTTATACATATACGTATCTTAATCTCAGCCCAGCGCAAACGAAGAATCTACTTACAGGCTGAAATGAATTGTACAAAAGAAATAGGATGACCGTTTTAAAGTTGTCCGCAACTACCTCAAATAGAACTCGGTATGAAGCCGATGCTCATAGTAAATTATGAAAAGAGAAAGGAAATGATAGAAAATTATCTTCAGGAAAACAAACACCTCTCGTTTGGTCAGAACTTCAAATTCCTTCATCGATCATCGATCATGATCGATCGATTCTCCAAAATTTATTCATGTTATATATTGTATGTGTTTTTATTCTTGGGTCTGGTGATTCTATGCATCTTTTTCCAAACATTGTCTACTAAAAGGAATTTTTCAACCATTTGGCAAATCTTTTGCTGTACGGAAGGATCTACATTCTGTCATTTGGAAAGGGGAACTTTGATATTTTGTATTGGGGATTCACACGCGAATAGAAGTACAGTGATTGTTTCTACAATAGAAAATGATAAAGAATTGGAATTAACGAACATATTGAATATATGTGATCGCTATCAAGGACTTTCCGGTAAGAAATGCATTGAGGGGTTTGAAAAGATATTGGCATACTTGACAACATGCTGACAAAGAAGAAAGAAAAGGAAGTTGGGAAGATCTCAAGTGATGGTTGTAGCGACATGAAACACCTACTCAAAGAGAAAGAGAAAATATTCAATGTAATGTGTTCAAGAATCGACAATTAGGAACTTTCGGCGGAACAAATGTATATTAGTATGAAATTTTCGCGTGTGAAGAGTGAATATTTTTATCTTTTTAAGTGTTTATCGTAGGACAATTTTTTTTTTTCCTTCTATCATCGATTCTCAAGTGTTGAGAATTTCATCTCCATTTTGATTCAAAACAGGAATCCAAGGGTATAATTCAGAGAAGAAAGACATTTCATTGTACGATCACATTTGGATATAGTGTACATAATAAATTATTTAATTTTCGGATATAATATTATTAATCAATGTTATGCTAGAACGTAGTGGATTTAAATTAAAATTAAATCCTAATTTTATTACTAATAAACACAAAACTTCGTATTATCGTATGTGTATTTTATATTTCAACTATTGAACAACAAATAATTGCTAAAATCCATAACTTTTTCTCAACATCCTTAAAAATTATAAAAACATCAATACGGCAGTCAACATGTAGATCTATTTCCAATTATAAATAAGAGCAATCATATTTCATATGATGCACAGTATGTATTCAATTATTTACAACTTTAGACATAATGACGTTCTTTTATTTCAAAAAGATTTAATTAATAACTAAAAAGTAAAATCTTTGATAATAAATTTTTATGAAATTTCTATATAGAAAAAATAAAGTTAAATCAATGTCTTATCACGTTATATAATAATAACATATTTTTTATCAGAATTATACGAGTAAAGTAAAGATTTCATTAAAATACAGATTTGTTGCAATTATTCGTTGCATTGCAAATATATAAATTGCACAAATCATGTTTTTATAAATTAATTTCCTGATAATTAAAACATTTTATTGACTTGACAATATCCAGTTACAATGTGATAAATTTGTATGAGCAATCCATGTCGTTATTTAATGCAAATTTGTTTTACTCGGTTCGGATTTTGTGCACAAACTGCCAATAAAATTGTGCGATATTACAGCTGAGTTTCAGTTTTTAAATTCATCGTTACACAAATGTTTAAATTAAATACGTTCTTATATATATTTATATTTTTTTTCAAATCATATACGTGTATGTGTATAAATTAACTACGTCGTGAAATGCATATAATAATCCTAGTTATTTCATATAACGTTACAAAATTTTGAAATTCGATATAATAAATGAAGGCATTATTGTAATGGAAATTAAAACCTAAGATTCAATAACATAATATTTTTTTATTAATTTCGTCAAACATCGAAAAATCTTGCAAAGTAAAACAGATAGTTATTGAATGTTTTTTTCAAATATTTCCATAAATTTCGAATATCTTCGGGAAATATGTTTGTGTAAAAGTGGCTAAGATTCGACCTCTATATCGCTGTATTGCGAATTACAAAGTGCGTAATAACTTGATGTATCACGACGTTCCTAATTATTCAATTTGTGTCTTAAGAATTATATATGGCATCGCAGAAATATATTTCGATCGCATATATTAATGAAATAAGCAATAAACACTGCTCGTAAGAAGTACAAAGAAAAAAAATAACATTCACACTCAAAACTTTTAAAGAATTACTCAAACTAGTTTTACTCGGCTAATCAATAATAATAAAATTATTTCATTGATTTGTTTTAAAAAAAAGTAAAATACTTTAAATTTTCAACAAATTTTAAACCTATCAAAATTTAAACAAAAAAAAAAAAATATTAAACTGGCTTTAAAATATTTTCATGCATATTCAATTATACAATTTTAATCGACATATATAATTCTCAACACAGATATCGTTACCCGACATGGTACAATTATTACTTACATCATTACTCAAATAAAAAATATTAAAAGTGAAACGTACTTTAATAAAAAGAAATCAGGGGTAGCTGATAATGTTTCCGGCACGATAATTTATACGGATAAGGATACGAAACTGTTATACTGGGTGATGTTGCGTTTCAAAATATCCGCGCACGGGCCTAAAACTCGCTCGAATCTTGCTCGATCGAGTTTCACACATTTCAAAGGGCCTCGTGCCACAACAGTTGCTGCCCTCGGCCTGTCCAATAACAATGCAATTTCACCTATAATCAGTAAAATATCGTTAACATACAATGTTCAAAAATTTCTTTCAATATTATCTTCTGTATAATTTAATCATTCAGAAGTATAAAAACATACCGAAATAATCAGATGGTCCTAAACGACCAACTTCCGCTGGTTCTTCACCTTCTGAACGTTGTTGGAGGACAACAGCTGTGCCTTCGACGATTATGTAAAAGTCTTCACCTGGTTCACCCTGTCGAACTATTGTCTCACCATCGTCAAATGCCACCGGTTCTAAAGCATCAGCCACCGTGAGCCGTTCCCACTTATCCAAAGATTCTAAAAGCAACAACATTTTTGTACAATATACTCACAGTAATATTCTGTTACATTTTCATGGAACGATTAATTACCTAAAATTGAAACTCTGGAAAGGAATTCTTCGTACATCTTTCGCTTCCTTATGGTAGATCCCATGAGGATTCTTCGATATGAATCTCTATCGATACCCCATAATTTTACATCGGTCTTCGCTCGAACAGTCGCGGCACGCGGTGTCCCATATATCAATGCAAGTTCACCAAAACTTCCACCTTCTCCTATTGTTGTGGCTAATTCACCATTGACAAAGATCTCGACCTCTCCTTGATCAATCACGTAAAAATTGTCACCTTCGTCGCCTGTTAACACGTAACAAAAAAAAAAAATAGTCGGATTAAGCAAGTTTTCTCGCGCGACGAATTTTCTCGGGGGTCGATAATGAACCCTAAAGCTATTTTTAGCACCTTGACGAATAATTGCCTCTCCGGGTAAAAACGTGACAGGAAACATGGCGTCAAAAATGTCAGAACGTTCGTTCTCGTCGAGATGAGCGAAGAGAACATTTTTGGCAATAGCTTTGCTCAAGGCAGCCATTGTCTTGTAATCTTTCGGTACGACTTTCTTAACATAACTGGTCGCATCCTCTTCGGATACCGGCTCCGCGGAGATGCCTCCTCTTCGCCTCGGAACTTGAGGACCTTGTTGTCCAGCAGGTATATCCTCGGTATCCTCTGGACTGATTGCGATCTGTTGCTTAGCATCGTGAGCCTGCTCCTGAAATCAGTAAACGGAACTTGATCAATTTCATCAGAACGATGATCGACAATTTATTATTACGATAAACATTAGTAAACAACCCAACTTTTGATACAACAAGAGATTGCCAGAATAAGCATTTTCCGAATTTGGAAACTCGATTGCGGGGAGGGGAATAAAAGAAGAGGGAGACACCTAATTATTATCAGGTATCAATTGATTGGTTTCTGTACCTATTTCCGTTTATTTACATTTGCGGGTAATTAAAAAATATTACCGATATTCACGTTTTGCTCTACTTGCCTGTTGCACCATGTCGAAAGCTGATGTTCTCCTAGGCGTTTTGTAACTATTATCTCCGATCCTATATCTTTTTACAAATCAACAAAACTTTCGCTTTCGCTGTTTACTCCAAAACAAACGTTATGACCCTGGAAGAGTCATGTAAGAAAAACAAGTCGCTTTTTATAAGTCAATTTTGTTTAGACATGCGCAATATACAATACTGTGCCCTTCCTTTAACGAAATCATGTACTCTTAATTTTCTAGGTATATAGTACATAGTACATACACATACGTGTTGAACATGGATAATTTGTATATTGGGTGGATCACAGAAAACATTGTGCAAAGTTATTTTTTCCACAGAAACTGTATTTTGTATGCTCATAAGATCCCTTCTTTTTCACTTTTTTGCAATTAAGACAGGCCTCTTACGTGACAAATAATACACAACGTACTTTATTTTTATCATTTGCAAACACTTCCAATGATGGACAACGTCAAATCTATCGATCATTATTTCCCACAAGTCATCAATATAAATTAAACGACCACAACGTGCAACAAAATGCATTATAGAGACAGAAAAGGCTACGCTTTTGTAGAATATTTTTAAGTTTGTAGAATTTTACAGGAAGTAGGAAAAATAACAAATTCCCATAACTGAATATGTCTGTGATAGATATCACTTTCCATCCATCGAAAGCTAACTACTTATTGTGTAATTATATAAGACTTTGGATAAAATATTATATATGGCCTATGAAAGATGAGCATCGATGAAAAGGTGGACAAATAATGCCATAGGTCACTTGGCGTTTTTACAGATGAGTACTTCCTTATAAAGGCACAATATAACATAAGAACATTGTACCAATTGCCGATACTGCACGATTTTTATACCTCTTTTTGATATCCAATTAATTTGACTGTTGAATGTTGTATCGAAATTTGATAGTTACTAAAAACGAAGAATTCTGAATAGCACGATTGAATATAAACAGCAAAATAAATTAGAAATCATTAATCTTTTATCAAATCGTGATATAAAAAAAAAATTAGTGCAATCAGATACTAACTTATATCAAACCAAAAATTATGAATATTGTATTTCCAATTAAAAGCTCTTTTATTGAGATGAACTATGATTTATATCTTTTGTCCTTATTTATTTACGAAATGTATGTTAATCAATTCGTCAACATTAAGTAATTAAAAAATGAGGCTGTCTATAACGTTTGCACATTCATTTGTTTTATCATATTTCATATAATTTTATCATGAAATGCAAGTTTAAACAAACAAATTTTTTCTAGTGAAAAAAAAATTAATAAAATGTATTTGAAAAATAATACAAATATTCTAAAAGACATATATATATATAAAATTTTTTTATATACAAAACCTACAACAACAGAACAATAAAAATTAGTTGGTCAGTGATCTTAGCATGTGCTAAAATGGCATTCATTTGATATCCAAACAATAAAATATCACACTATTTCAGATTATCACACTATTCAGAACAATATCAGATTATTTTTTAACAAGCTATGATTAAAATTTCATCGACTTATTACTTATTCCAGATTTATTACTTTACAATAATTCCATAAAAAAATAGCAAAATATCATATCAATCGATCCTATTGTACGCAGTAACTACTCCTAATGATCACCAAATCAAAGCGATTTAACTGTAGCATAGCAAGTGTCGAAGCATAAACTTTAAATTGTCTCTTGCTTAGCAAATAATAGCCAAGAATGAACAAGCAACATACATACGTAGAGATATTAGAATGCGTGAATAGTGAGGCTTTTGAATTCCAATTTCGAAACGATCCAAAGTTTTTTTTATACAATTGACCCTTGAACAACACGGGTTTGAGTAACACAGTAAATTGTTTTCCGAGTCAATATTTATAGTTTCAAGAAGTTTCTTGAAACTACTAAAAGATACTAATCTGTGAAGTAAACCGTAACTTTGTGATCCCTTATAATTTTCTTAATAACATTTTCTTTTCTCCAATTTATAGAAATACAGTACATAATAGCACGAAATAAAGTTTATAATTTTGTCTTTTAGAAGGTTAAAAAGAAAATTGTCCTTGAGTTTTCCATTAGTGTCTACGTCTCTAACCCTCGCGTTGCTCGAAGGTCAATTGTACTGCAAAAATTCAATCGTTTCGGATATGATTCGAAGCTTAAAATTTTGGTAGGTTTTTAAATCTTGATAGATCGGAAGTCTTCGAAGTTCCGATAAATCTTAGAGAGCTCAGTAGACATTTGCTAATATCTTATATAATGTATCATAAATACAAATTATTGAAAAAAAATTTGAGAGACACGAGAGATAGCAAATATAATTTAAACACTCACGCTCTATCGATACTCAATTCAAGATATACTAACAATAAGCCTTTCAAAATTCGAAGTATCGAATCATGTGCAATAAATGATCCGAATTTTGCAGCATACATATTTTAAGCGATTCGAAGTGTTTAAGAATTCATCATTACGCGTGTATAAGATCGGTTATTCACGATCGTACCTCATCCATTATTTTGACGATATTCAGGACAAGCACACACGTATATTTTTTTTTTTTTTTTTTTACCCGATCACGTGTATACGTGACACCTTCTGACAAGTTGTCGTCTTACACACCCGAATACAATCTTATCACAAAATAAAAGTTTCAGCAGTTAGAGAGCAAGAGAAATAACGCACAAATCACAATCGCTGCTGATCGCGCGCTACCACGTCTGCCGCGCGCCGCTTCAGAATTTTCTAAGGTCTCGCCAAATTCGATTAATGCGGCACGATCTTTCGTGGTAGTTGAAGCAAAGTTGGCGCCGAGTGCCAGATGGTAAATATACGGCGCGACGCGCGGCGAAAATTCTCGTTAATTCAGAATCAGATCGATATGGGTGGGCTCATTGATAGATGAGAATCAAATGGATAACAACGTGCTGCTTTCCAACGTTGTCCGTTTAAAACGCATTGTCGCAAGCGCGCTTCGCACATTTTTGAGGACGACGCTTTACAGAGCTTTTCGTCGTCGTTGGCTAAGGTTGCGGCGCTTCGTTATATTTCGAGCATGTGCTATATTTAGAGCAGTCCCTGTAGCCGCACATGCCTTGTATCTTTTCGATACGTGTGTACGGCCACAGCAATAGGGACCGATGACGAACTTCTTATTTTATTGCTCGTATTTCCATATTGCATCCGTTTAATAACCACGCAATTCAGAAATGGAAACCACGATCGATCATCTCGCGCGGTATAGTTATGTCCGCGACACGGTAAAAAGGGCACTAGCTATATGCGTTGTTTGTGAAGATACGAAAATCTTAATGTCAAGGATAAACTCCAAGGAAAAATATGTCTGTTATTTAGAAGTGCTTGCACATGTAAGATACGACTATTGTCCATGAAAGCACCCAATTTTTCATTGCGGTAAGGACAAGCTAAAAAATCGAAAACATCAACTGTATAAATGTTCATGCGTGAAAATAAAAATAACTGTTGATAAAAATGATGGAATTGAGATTTTTATACCTAGTAATATTGAGCGCCGTCCCCTCCACTAACTAGTATCCCCCACTAGTAGAAAACTAGTGAAATGAATGCGTTTAAATAAATACATTTGGCGCCGCGTATTTTAGACTATTAACTCTCTTTACTACTGTAGTGTGTCGTACGTTCTTTTTACTTTCTTTTTTTTTACGAAGAAATATTATTCCTGCCAAAGTGATTTACTTCACTACCAAGTGAAATACCTTCGTCTGATGTTCTTGTAAAATAAAACCAGTACAAAACCAAGCACTTTAGCAATGATTGGAACGATTGTATTTTCAGTTGAAAATATTTTGAAATTTATTAGAATGTTAAAAATTATATACACATTGAACATATAGAATCTTTCTTCAAAATAACTGTTGTTAAAACAGTAATATTTTTGAAAACAGATGAATTAATATAGAAACTAAAATATATATATACCAATGTATCAATGATCAAAAAACATAAAAAAAGAAATTTACATAATATTGTTTTTAAGTTTAAATATGTAACATATTTACATCTCTTGTTACAATGTACTTTATTTGTACTATGATAGTAGTATTGCTCGATTAAGTAATATTAAGAGTAATCGTTTTAATAACTCTAATTTCGTAGAGTAATAAACTGTTTCTTATTTATTTTTAATGTAACATGAAACTGATATGTACAACATAAAATAATATTTAATGAGATATATGTACATTAAGTGCGTATTATTCCATTTGCACTGATCAATTTTTTGATAATATTATAAACCAACTCTCTTAATGAAAGTATAATTAACATTGGTAATTTTATATTAATAAACTCAAGTAATAATGATTGGTATATATATATATAGATATATGTATAGACGTTAACACTTAATTCTTTGACAGATTTCTGCTACATACAATTGAAACCTCAGCACAACTGATATATTTCAGTTTTATACTATTGTAATACGAATACTTATACGAGTATCTCAATGAATAAAAGAAAATACACGATAAAACTACCAAACAACTCGCGCGATTTATGAATAATGATAAAACCAGCAACGAACAACGAATCTGAGGTTATTTTAACAGAACAGGATTCAATACATACCCGTTCCAGTTTTTGAAAGTATTCTCTCAAGAATGATATGGGATTTTCAGGACGTCCCACACACAGCTGTACTATACAGTCTTTCAAAACTTGTTGAATATTATGTCTTTGTACGTATTCCTCGCACTCTCTTAAACTTTGTTCTTCCTCGAAACTCGCCGCCATATTGATACACAAGTTGACACTTTATAGCGAATACCTATTCAACAATTCCGTTCTTGACTTAAATGTTGCGAACGTATTATTTCCTATTTAATAACTCGGTATACAAATGTCAATACTTTTCACATGGTCGTTTATTTATGTTATTAACTATACAATGCGTATTTGACAATCGTGCTTTTTCGGAATTTTAATTCAATAAAGCATGACTATCGATATTACATGTATATTTGAAAATTAAATCTGAATTTTTTCTTGTTTCATGTTTATTCTTATAAAATACGTTTGCAGCTACTTGAAATATATAATTTGATCACTACTCATTTAATATTATTATAAGTAAATAAATTGATTTTTTATTGAAATTTAATAAAAAAAAAGATTTTCTACGTATCAATAAAACGCATTAAATGTAAAAAAATTGTAATAAAAATTTGATTATGAAAAAATAAATGTTTTATATTGCTTCAAACCAGACTTTAATAAAAAAGTTTAGAAAAAATTATCCAAATATTTAATAAATAAATTGCAATTAATGGTACATATACATGTTATGGATGATTGATAGGAGAAAATATTAATGTAAATTTACATTTTTAACTTCTAACAATAATATATTTTAAAACATATTGTCAATGGGTGGATAGACATTATAACATATAAACTATATTTTAAAATATAAGATAAGAATGTTTTCTTTTCTGCTTTTAGCAGTTGTATTTCTGCAATCCCATGTCGATCTAATATTTTGAAAAAGATTTTTTCTGGCATTAATGAGAATTAGAAAGAAATGGGATTTCAGAATTAACAATTTTCAACTTAAATCTTATCTTTTATAAAATGTATGGCCATGTTCTACTATATACACTGATATTTGTGTACAACACAGAATGATTCCAAGTATTTGTGCAAATGTTAATGCATTGTAGAATCCAGTTAAATATTATAATATAATAAGCTCATTAAATGCAATAAAATATTTCATGAATCAAATCTAATATAAATACAAATCTTATATTATTTCAATTTTATAAATGAATTTATAACATAATTCATATTTAATATATTATTTAATAAATACTTATTGTTATTTATAAAAAATTATAAATTTTCACATGGATGGATTCTCCAATGATTCCATTTGAAAAGTAATTTTTTTAAACAATAATCAATAACAAATAAATTTTAATAAATGTTAAAAATAAATAACAAATACGTTTATCGTTACGCTCAACTCTCGCAGTTCAATTTCATATCTATTACTTATACTTATTTTATCTATTTAATCTAATTGTGCAGTTTTTTTTAATAATAATCTAAATTTAACTATAGAACGCATGCGATGTACGTGTACAATAAAAAACAGCAATATTATAGAATATCGCAACATATGTTTAGGGATAATTACAATTGTTGTATGGATACGTATATTGTTATATGATTGACTCGTATTTGAATTACTTTTATATTATACTTTTATGAAATTGCGAATCTAACAAGTGATTGCCTGCTAAACAATACTTCCCTGTATTTGCTTTTTCTTTGGGCTATTTTGGCCCTGTCTAACGACATTTATAAAATTTCACCGCAATGCTTCTGTAATTAAATTCAGTAATGAGTTTTACTTAATTTCTAAACTATATTATTGTTCAATATTATACGCATATGGTCGTTTTCTAAATAAACAAGATAACATACCAAATTATAAAGCATACTATTATAAAACACTTGAATAGAATAGAATGACCTTTTTTTCTAAAGTGCCTTTTAATCATAAATTATTATGACATTATTTAAAATTCTGACCATGGTAACGCTTTAAACTTTAAGAGTGAAACAAACAAAATTGATTCTAAATAATGAATTTTTTCATAATTACTATTGTATTATATACATTTATATAGGCACTTTCTACAAGTAATTGGAGATCTTTGAAATGCAATGAAAATGAAATTTTTAACAACTTTTTTTATTATTACAATTCATTTCTATATAGATGCTAAAAATATGTCTTTTTTTATAAATCAACAGAGAAAGTTGAGTAACTAATTGATAAATAGAATATACTTATACATGTAGCTGTAAGCACATATAGTTTTATTTTTTGAGATGGTTATGATAAAATTCTCATATCTTAACAATAAAAATTGTGTATCATGATTAATATAAAGTGCAGTTAGTAATCTAAACAGCATTTGTTTTGTTCTTCATTCATTATACATTTATTGCTCTAAATAGATTTGTAAATTGATAGATTAATTGCACAGAGTGTGATACTTATTCCAAAAATTACTTTAATGTATTTTAATAACATTACAACTTTTAATTGTGATAAAGGAAATGAAAACTCATGATGTAATAATAAATTCTCATGCAGTAGAATTTTCATGTAGGAAAAATAAAAAATATCTAGCAAACAAAGTTCACAATATTAAAATGACTATTTTTCTCAAATTAATATCGTACGTATAAATCAAAATCTATATAAGAATGCATTGCTAAAATTTAAAAGAAATAAATAATGGTAATTGAATTACTTATAACGCTCATTTAATGATAAGCTTCAATAATTCGTAATCTAACCCCCTGTAATCTATCCCTCATCATTTATATATCTGTAAATAAATTTTTTTAATAGATGGCCACCATGGTCTACTACTTATTGCTATTAGATTATTACACCATGATTTTGTTTTGCTCAAATAATACTGATTTAAAATTAATATCAAGCTAATATAATCTCAAATGTCGGTATTTAACATAAAATGAAATTTTCTAGTATAATACACATTTGGTAGTATCAGACGCATAAAATTTGCTGCTCTAGAGAACTATTTAACTTCAGTTTAACTTATCAATTTTTTAAATTTATTAATTATGTATATCTTGTTCATGGTTTTTAAGGCACCCGATATACGTGACAAAACTTAATATATAAATGTGCAACTTATTGCTCAAAAGAGATTGCACCTTATCATTGCAACTTAAAAATCATGAACGAGCGCGTTTTTTTTTTAAATTTCTGACTTAACATTTCTTTTTTTCTAGTAAATGCAAATATGATTGTTATATAAAAAGAAATGTTATATAAAACATTTTTAAAAGTAAAGAAACAATCTGTATTTCATAATCGACTTAATCTATGAAGTATAAAAAATAAATAGCAGTACTTAATTAATAATAAAGTACGCAATAACACATATAAATGAAATACCTCATAGCAATGAATATTACCAACTATAAAACTAATATTCCATACAAATAAAACTAGAAGCATTAAGGTAAAATGTTTATATAATATTTTTTTCAAAAACAATAAATATCTTTCTCAAAAATTGACTAGTATTTGACGTATCTTTGATCTAATTTGATAATTAGAATATTTCTGTACGTTTATGCAAATATATGAATGTTGAACAGTGATCTATTTTTCTCTGTGGTTTATTTGGCAATAATACTTACTTCGATCTTACGGAGTTGTCGATGTTAAAAATGTTGGATCAACTGCAGCAACTTTTGCAGTTAAAAATGCATGCATACAGAACAATAAATTCTGCAATTGAGAGCATTCTAATTCCTGCAAAAGAAAAGAACATAAAAGAAATAAAATTTACATATATTATTTTTGTTTATAACAAATAAATACCTTCGTCTCAATAGCAATACTATCCGATTCTTGAAAGTGCAATTTCAGTCTACTTTTTCCATCGTCGCTAGATCCTCTTAATTGTGAAAACTTGTAACGCCATACAGTTTCTCCAATATCTTCATAAGAAAGTGTAAAACCTTGAGTCCATTCTAAGGTTAGTCCTGCACTTCTTCCATTAAAAGTAACAGGAAATGTTTTACTCTATAAGAGAGTGTACATGATAGCAAAACATTCCATAAATAATTTCTCATGTAATAAACAAAATTTTATTACTCACTTTTAAATGTGTAACAGCTGAACACACTGCAGTATGCCATGCTGCTTCAACTCTTAAGAGTTCTTGTCTAGTTTCAACGCTTAAATATCGTGGAGGTTTACCCGGACTTTGTGCTAAAAAGCAGTGCTGTCTTTCATCTACATTTTCAGACTCTCGCATTACACGAAACATTGTTTGATATACTTTAAAAGTCAATGCACATCGTGACCAATCTCCTATGTTGCACTATAAACAAATCATAGTATTTAATTATATACACATTGTTTGTGTATATGTTAATTATTAATATTTACAGGGGGTGTTTCAAATAATAACAAATCAGGTCCTTTTAGCGCTAGAAACCTTGGTCTATAACTTTGCCATGGCTGATTACTATTGCTTACTGCTTCGTTGACCCAGCCCATATATTCTATACGTTCACCGATTCCGAAATTGCGATTATATAATTTCATCTAAAAAATAATTATGTACATTACGAAAGATTATATAAATATGATATATGGAATATTGTTTCATACCTGTAAGTGCGTTAAACCTGTAATGTTATCGGTAATATATTTTAACCATTGGCTTAGAATGGCACTATCATCACAGTGTATTACACCAGTACGTGCACCATTTAATCCTCTTACTTCGAACGCATTTCTTCTTAATTTATCTGTTCCAAAGATATATCTTGTAACATAAGCCATCATCAATGGAACTGGAATTATATAAGATTTTTAGTTTTCTTAAACACCTAAAGAAGAGAGATATTAAAAGAAATTAATTAAACCTGTTATAACATCTATCCATTTTTTATATTGCATTGATGTAGCAGATGCATTTGAACTTTGTCTACTATGACCACATCTAGGACTACCACTTTGTCTGTTAGGTGATAACCACTCATCTTCTGAACTCCCATTTGCAACATTATCTAATTTCTCTTCTTTTTCTAAAAATCATATTAGTATTCTGAATGAAATTTAAAAGAAAATATTTTATACTATAAAAAATTCAATAAATCAAATTTACCATTTTTCTGTAGAAATGGCTTTGCTGCACGATAATGTTTTACTGTTAAAACTACAATGTCACCTGCATTTCTTAAAATATTGACAGCATCATCATGATTACATGCAGTTATATATTCTCCATTTACTATAAAAAAATAAAATTATTGTTCTAAATAATGTAATTCTAATAACAATTATTAGTAGTTTAAATGTAGGTTTTGCTTTATGACATTAATAGGTGAATGACATTAATAGGCTAACATGGAAACATGATTTCAAAGAAAGAAACCAATATTGACAGGTTTGACAGGTTTGACACAAATAGAATGAGCATTCAGAACTATTTATACACACAAAAGCAATTCTCATTTATGAAAGATCTTTTCATGAAGGAATATCAAAGTTTATATTGTTCAAATATTCATTTAACGAAATCTTATTTAAAAATTCAGATAAGAAAAATAAGAAAAGATTTAAAAATTTAAATATAAAAATAAAAATTTTCGAATAATTGATATTTTTATGATTACTGAATTTACCTTTAATTATTGCATCTCCTACAAATAATTGGCCGCATTCATCAGCTGCTTGGCCTTTATAAATTCTAGATATAAGTACAGGAAGTTTATGTTCTGCTCCTCCCTTTATGCTTAATCCTAATCCTCCAACTTTTTGTCTAGTAATTTGCACCATTCTCTCTTTAGCATCTAACGGTGGTTTATTATGATTCGCTGCCTGCTGAAAATCAGTATCGTTTTTTTTATAAACTATATAGGTAAAATGGTAATGATGTAATTGATATTAAACTTTACCTCTAAATCTTCTCTTTGGAGCTTTAAAACTTCCATAGACAGATGTAAACGCATTGGGACTGGTTTACTTTTTCCATCACTAACACTTACCATTCCAGTCCTCACCTTTTTAAAGAAAATTAAGATTAAAATTTTACTCCATTCTTAAATTACTTTATTAATTTTAAATTAATTTATCTCATCATATGTGTGTCAAAAAAAATTATGTATATTAAAGTATGTATATATTAAATATATCAAATTAAATTACATTAAATCATATATTCGATATACATATAAAAGTCAACTATAAAAAGTTATATATATTACAAAAATAGCAAAATATCAAATTCCATCATTGATAAATTTAGAAAATGAAGTACAATCTTTATTTGAATTACAAATGTTTCTGTATATTGATTAATTAACTGTATTGCTACATTGTTCTGTATATATGTATTCAGTTGAGGATATATTCTCAAATAATTCATTTCTTTAATTACAATTGTTTATTTTTTAATCTTTTTTATATGCCTTAATGTTTAGATGATTACACGATTGAAATAAAAAAAGGAAAGTAAATGTTTTATTTAATATCATGTTACAGTTCTAATATAATAAATAACTTTCAAAATTAATATGTATTTTCCCTGTCTCATCATGTTTATTTCATCATTTTAAGATAATGTTAATCTGAAAATCGACAATAAAAATTTGTCTAGAAAATAAGTACACTGCTACACATTAGCAATGTTTGGATTTCAATAAAATAATGAGTAAACAGCAAAGTATGTTTAAAAGAATATTAATTGCTCACCTTCAATTTTTGATCAATCTTCTCCTCGATCGGAGTACTCATTTTCGTTGCGTTGATTCTCATTATTTAATATAATTATGCAGCTGATACACACAAGTCCCCGTGTTGCCAAACGCAAATTTCCGGGGTTAACGAAATTTTGCGAATCGTTAATATTATAAGTAACATGTTAGCCTCGGACGAATCGTTCGACGCAACTACGGCAAGTACTCGAACAATGAAAAACCAATATCATATTCTTATTATTCTTATTGGAAAAATACACAAAAGTACTCGCGAATGATATGTAATCAAGGATACGCGATATTTCAAAACGAGGTAAATTCATCGAGAATCGTGATTTTTCAGATCATACCATCGTAACGTTTTGAAATGTTCGGCGTAAAGTAAAAATCCCGTAAACCGGGACGCAGAAAAATTGGAGTGGGCTAAAAGTAGCTAAAAGCCCGCGGCTGAAGCGCATCGATTTATGCAGCGCGACGCGCATCGATGATACCTCGTTTATTCCAAATCGCGGGAAATACGAAAATAATATTCAATATACAGACAAATATTACAAATAATATAAAATACAAAGAAATATTAATACGTTTTCCGATCATTTTGCATTATTGAAGTTTATTATTTCAGTTTTCAATATTTACTGTATAATACAATATTATTATACAATATTATACAATATATATTATCGTACAATACAATTCATAAAATATTTGTATAATACAATTGATTGAATTTCACTTTTTTTCAGGAGTTCGAAATAAAAGTGCATTACATATGGCATAACTGAACCAATAACAATGAAAAATAATTGAATTAATAATTATAACTTTGTAACAAAAAATCATATGTCTAGTTAATCTCTGATTTTAATACCTTTACTTTGACAATTCTGAATTCATTTTTTTCAAACAATATTTTAACATCATACAGTGAATGGAAAGATGAAGCTACTTATCTTCAAATTATAAAAACTCAAACATTTGTAAAAACATTAAAAAAATTTGTTTTGGCTAAATCTAAATGATTTTGGAAATCGAAGTCTTCTCTTTACAATAATCCCTTAAAACTTGTTTCTACTTTATTTTATTAATATTAGAATTAGCTACGATTAGAATTTCTTAAATATTTGTCAAATAACTCATATTCAAAATTCAAAATTAGTGAAAGAAAATCGTACAGCAAGGTTTAAAGAATTGTTTTAAACATTTCAATCTTCAAGACCATGGTAGATTTAGACATGGAAAAAATTTTTTAATGTTTTTACAGATGTTTGAATTTTCGAGAAAAAAGTATCCTTACTCTGCCACCCGCTACATTATAATTATCCACAATTATCTTCGAAAAAAAATAAATTCAGGACTGTCAAAGTAAAGGCCTCACACTTTTGAAATGACATTAATTGTAAGTGAATTGTTACAAAGTTGTAACAGATTTAAATTATCGATAACTTTTAATTGTTATTAGTTCAATTATTCTCTTCATTCTTCTCAATTCTTCTTTTTCATATAACACAGTAATACACAATTATCATATCAAAAAATATTAACAGGAAATACAGAATATAAATTTCTTTGCTTTCTTTGTTGTACAATTGATATTTTATTTATAAATGCATAATTGAACAAAGATGTTTTTATTATCAATGAATAAAAAAATAAATCTATACAACTTTTTTTATAAGTTATACTTTTCTTTATAAGTTTTATAAGTTTATATAATTAAGTTTATTCGTTTAAATAAAAAGACATTATTTCATAACATTGTCATAATACCAAAATTTTTATTTCCCTTACATGATTTTGATATTTTATTATAAGAAAAAATGTGCGATTAATAGTTCTAATTAAAAAATGCCATTTGTAAAATTATACATCAAATAATGTATATATGTGTCTTTAAATAAATTTAAATACTTTTAACATAAATTATTGTGAAAACATGACTGTTTTTAGAAAATCGTAAGATGCATTTATAACTCCCCAACTTATAAATGATCTCATACAATTTAAATGCGCACCCTTATAAAATGACATTATACTTCTGTTTCTTTCAACATATATTTCACGAGTAATTGTCATAAATTTCTCAAAATTACCACCTATTTTTGACTGCATATGAATTTTTATTACATTCATCGGATAAAATACAGTACTTGTGAAACCACCTATTAGAGCACCATTAACAAAACTTGTAAATAATGATTCTTGTTCGCCTACGTATTGTTTCGATTGTTCTTTGAGAATAAAAAACATAAGATTGGAACAACTATTCCTATATATAATTGGGACTAATCCACGATAACATTCTGATATACCATAATTTTTTAATAAATACTTAAATGCATGCGAAGTATTTTTTAACTTATCATGATACCGCCAATCTTGCAACAATGTTTGTACTCTTTCAAGCGGCATAAGTATAGCCTCAACAGTACCAGCAAAATGCGCTGCTATTATTCTCGTTAATATATCATTATTTGTTAATGTGCACAAACGTTCCTTGCAACCTTCGTACATACTAAACATTACACTAACCGAAAGAGTTTTTTGGCAAAGAGGTGGTAAAATTCCACGATATATTAATCTTATCCCTTCTCTGGATATCTGTTGAAACGCAATATTGGCTGGAACATCTTCCAAAATCTGTCATTATGATAGAAATTTATTTGTTTAATACAAACATTAAATTTTGGTACACATATATACATGGAGTACTTAAAATATTACTAAATAATTTATTTTACACATACCTGTCTAAATACTATTTTGTTAATTGGAAAGGTAATAGATACATTAATTACTGCAGCTCCCCAGCCACAAACAAACTCTTTAAAATCATTATTATTAAGCGTCAATAATGATTTTAACGAGATATTTTGTGAAGTCATATTAATACTTTATCTATTAGTTTGTACAAATAATTTAGAGCAGCCAATCATAATTATATATTTTATATCATTTACTTCTTACATTATTTAAATTAAATAAATCATTTACCTGCAAAATTAATAAATAAATTATATATTTTCAATATGTAAAATATTTTACTATTATTCACATTATGTCATTTTTATATACTGCGTTTATTGCAGAGGGTAAATATATGGTTTTATAAATATATAACTTACATTTTGCGCGATTCATGATTCAACCCATAACTCACGTTATATGTATCTTAAATCTGGCATAAATATGCTTTTTGGCTCATCTAGTTTTTAATTAGCATTTCCACCTTATGAATAGTTTGAACAGTACTGATTATTCAACTATCGGTTTGTGTCATTAAGATTTCAAAAATCTTTTTTATTCTTTTCTTTTTTTTTTCGTAAAACCAGATAAGGTAACCAATTACTAAAGTATGTGTTAACCAATAAAAACGTACAAACTGTCAATCTTTAAATATTTCTTGGCATTGCCATTAACTAAGAATTAGAAATAGATTAGATATCTAATGTTTTTTTGTTTTCACCTTTTGAAAGTCATTTGCGTATTGCATCATTGACTAAAGATAGAATAGATTAGACATGAAATGGAACTTCGTGCCTCAGAGTCTGAATACCAACCAGAAAAAAAATCACTGATTTTTTAGCGCACTCTACGTTTAATTGTTTTAAGTACAATTTCATATATTTCATTTGTGCTTAAACGTAGAGTGCGCTAAAAAACCAGTGATTTTTTTCCTAGTCTGAGATACGAAGTCTCATTTCATGTCTAGTCCATTCCATCGTTAGTTAATGGTTATAGAAGGTCAGGATATTTATGATAATCCTTTGAACATAGCTTTTAATTAGAAATAAATTTTTCTGTGAAATTACAAATAAGATTTTAACGATTTAATAACATGTACATTTGATCCATTGTAATTTTGTAAAATTCTATTGTAGTGCGAATAATCTGTAACTGAAATCTATTAAAAAAGTAAATGTATTACCTACAAGAAATATATTTTTCTAATTTTTTACGTAAACACCGAACAAAATCATTTTTTTACTCATCTTTCAAAATAATTAATAGATCCTCAAAAAACACTTCTATCATATATTATACATTATAAGTATGTAATTTTCTCAGTTGTTTAGAAATATATTTATAAAAGTAAATTCTTACTTATGTATCACAATTCACGATAAAAACGTAGCAAAATGTTAGAATAATAAAAATAAAAATTTTAAAAAACATGAACCATATAAAATATCTGTTTAAATATTTTTAATTAATATTAGTTAAAACATGTAAATAAAATTATTTAATATGATTATTATTATTAATCAGTTCCAGTATTTCATTAAAACATATGTATATATATCTGTCATATCAGCATGCACATAAGATGCATTTCTTGACTTGTGAACCAATTGTACATACTTTAGTTCAATTTTTTGTTGTGGTAGTGATATAAAATTATCTTGTCCTATTTTCGAAAGTATTCGTATAAAGTTCTCATCTTTTATGTTTTATTTTAAATTTTATTTCAGAGTCTTTTCTGTTTTATTTTAAATTTTATTTCAGAGTGCAAAATTAATTTTTATTATATCAGATAGAAATATCCTATAAAGTTTGTTTATTAACGTAAATTTTAAAAATGCTACGGGTTACAAATTATATTGGATTGAAGTCTCGAAATTTTATCAAAATCGTTAACTCGAACACCAGGTAAATTGTTCTTTTATTTTTAAGTATATTTTTATAATATATTGTAATAATATTTTTGTGTCGTTGTCAAAGGTATATGTCATATATAATAACCTGCATACAATAGTCATTTGTCATGATACTGCTGCAGACTACTTTGTTTTATTTAAGCATTCTATATAATAAAATTCTAACACTTCTTTAAGTAATAGGCAAAAATTATTTTTTATATATTATTGAGTCATTAAATACGAATTTACTAAAAAATTGTAATTTTAAATATTTATATTTGTATTAATTGGACTTTGGCCTTTGACAGATAATTGGACTTTGACAGATTATTGATTTAATAAGTTAATCCTTAGATAAAGTATGCTATTGAATACAACAGTCTAGTTTAGTCTAGTTTAATGAATAATAAACAGATGCACAAATTTCACGAAATTATAATGTATTTATAAATAATGTTTTAAAAAATGCAATAAATATTGTTGATAGAACATATAAACAAATGTGAATAATGTATGAATTAATTTTCAGTACAAATGTTATAAATATTATAAAAAAAATAGTGCGATTTAACACGACCAAATTCGGGTAACATGTAATATTACTTATACTTATGAACTGCGTTGTTCATATATGTACGACGGTCATACTTTCCTGAATTCTATGTAGTTGTCAATGTATTACACTTTATTAAATATAATTGAATAATATTAGATATATGTATTTATATAATATGATGGTTTTTTTTAGATATTTAGCAACACAAGCTGCTGTAAAAAATGTATCTGAAGAAAAAGCAGAAAAAAATGTAGCTGAGTCAAAGTCTCAATCTTTTGTTAGGAATATTTTCCTTGGTCAATTAGAGACTAGTCAAATATTTCCATATCCAGATGTTTTAAATGAAGAACAATATGATACATTAAAATTATTTATTGATCCAGTGGAAAAATTTTTTGAGGTAGCAACGTTCTAATAAAAACTTAACGAATCTTTCAAATCTTCTGTAACAGAGTTATCAATTTAGTTTAAATTTCTGTCTTTTTTTCTTTAGAAAGTAAATAATCCAATGAAAAATGATGAAAATGCATCAATAGATGAAAAAACTTCGCAAGCAATGTGGGAACTTGGCGCATTTTGTCTTCAAGTTCCTCAAAAATATGGTGGCATGGGATTAACTAATACCCAGTATAGTAGATGTGTTGAAATATGTGGATACCATGATTTAGGTATTAGTATCATTTTAGGTGCACATCAAAGTATAGGATTCAAGGTGCATTTTTATGTATTTATTTACTGATTTATCTCATATAAAAACAACGATCTAAACAATTTAACTCATATAGGGCATACTTTTGTATGGTACTCCAGAACAAAAAAAGAAATATCTTCCAAGAGTATGCAATGGAGAATATGCAGCATTTTGCCTTACAGAGCCAAGCTGTGGTTCAGATGCTGGTTCAGTTCGTTCTCGTGCAATAAAGTCTGCAGATGGTTCGCATTATATCTTAAATGGTAATAAAATTTGGATATCAAATGGTGGTCTAGCAGAAATAATGACAGTTTTTGCACAAGTCCCTATGCAAGATCCAAAAACTGGTGAAACTAAGGACAGAGTTACAGCATTTATTGTTGAAAGATCTTTTGGTGGAGTAACAAGTGGTCCACCAGAAAAAAAGATGGGTATTAAATGTAGTAACACAGCAGAGGTATATTTTGAAAATGTTAAAATACCAGCAGAAAATGTTATAAAAGGCGAAGGACAAGGTTTCTCGGTATTAATTGATTTTGATAAAAAAAATTTTTAAATATTGTAAAAAAATATTTAATAAAAATTTCATATTCTATTAGGTTGCAATGAATGTTTTAAACAGTGGTCGATTTGGTATGGCCAGTGCACTTTCCGGGACTATGCGTTACTGTATTAAAAAAGCAGTTGAACATGCAACACAACGAATACAATTTGGACGCACAATAGATTATTACGGAAGTATTCAGGAAAAATTAGGTCGTATGGCAATGTTGCATTATGTAACTGAAAGTCTTGCATATTTAATTGCGGGTAACATGGATAGCGGAAGTCAGGATTATTATTTAGAAGCTGCAGTTTCTAAGGTAAAATTTGTTCAAAAATATAAAGTTTGATAATTTGTTCATTTTATTGTTTCAAAACAACCGTTTTAGTGTTTTGCATCGGAATCCGCATGGTGGGTTTGTGACGAAGCTATTCAAATACTTGGTGGAATGGGATATATGAAAGATACTGGTCTTGAACGAGTTATGCGAGATCTACGCATTTTTAGAATCTTTGAAGGAACCAATGATATTCTCCGTATTTTTGTTGTACTTTCTGGGCTTCAACATGCAGGCATTCATTTGAAACAAATAATGTCAGCATTTAAAATCCCTACTATCAATTTAGGATTGATTTTTGAAGAATTAAGTAAAAGAGCAATGCGAACAATTGGATTGTCGTCAACGCGTAATCTTACACATTTAGTTCATCCTAATTTAAATAAAAGTGCTGCATTATGTGCTAAGGTTTATATTAGTTCATAGCATTAATACAAATATAAATATTAAATATTAATATTTAATTTGTATTGAATGATAAATAATTGTTTGTAGAGTATAGAAACTTTTGGCCAAAGTATAGAAGGTGCCATTATAAAATATGGACCACGCAACATTGTAGAGCAACAATTTGTTCTCAATAGATTAGCTCAAGCAGCGTTTGATATATTTACTATGACAACTGTATTAAGCAGAGCAACTGCATCTGCAAATAAAAAACTTCCGAGTGTGGAACATGAATTTCTTATGGCAGAAACTTGGTGTTCTGAAGTAAGCTTATAGTTATACATTTGTATTCTTAATAATCGTGTAGTTTTACATATTCGTAATAATCATCATTATGTTACAGGCATCAAATCGTGTGAATTTTAACTTGAAATTTGATAAACAATTAAATTTATTTAATAACTTAAGCAAAATTTCAAAAAATATATGTGAAGCCGGTGGATGTGTTCAATTAAACCCACTAGGTTTTTAATAATGTGATCAATTGTAAAATAATTAATATAATATAAAGTTATTGAAAATTTTTTGATATTTTTACATAAAAGAGATAAATAAATTGTTATAAAAATATACACATGAAAGTAGATGCTGTTTATTTTTCATTAAATTTCACAAAATAGCGAATTGAATGCTTAAGAAATAGATGTACAGTAAGTTTGTGTGTGTAGCTTTTTTATATAATAAATTAAATGTAAGTAAAATTTTCCTGTAGCATACATTTAAAAATTTTTAATAACATTACTTCTATTTACGTTTTCATTTAATACGATATTAAATATAAGAAAAAAAGTACCACAGTATTTATTTTAATTTATAATTAATATTAACTCTTGATTATCTTCTTTTAATTATAATATAAATGCACAATTTAACAATATCACAACATTACACAAAGGTAAGAATATACTTTCTGATCATTTTTTTACTTGTCTATAATATGGAAGCACATAGAATATAGCCATTGTACGATTTAACTTTTACAGCATCCATATAAGACATTAATAACATTAATTGTGAAGTACATGCAAAAACAGAATTGTGTATTTCATTACTATAAGAAGTATTACTTAAGTTTGAGATTCAAATTATCAATTTTTTCTTTAGAATTTTCTTTACAATTTATAAAATAAAATTTATCATTAATTGTATATTAAACATTTTTGATTATATAAAAATCAATAAAGAAATAATATTTAATATTTGCTCTTTCAACATCTGAAATTTTATAATTTTTTACAATTTGATAATAAATATGTTCTATTACAGGATTTTTCAACTATACATTGGCAGTGTTTTTTTTTCCAATTAATAATAATTAGTAATAAATCAATTTGATTCTCAAACTTCAAGTTATTTAAAATATTTATAAGAAATACCATTCAAACGTAAATAAGATGGCATGAAACTATTATGATGAGATGTGATTTTATTATTGAATGTTTAAAACATGAAGTTGGAAAGAATTTATCATTGTTGACAGATACAACTGTGATTCATAACTTTTCAGAAAAATAGAATATTAGATTATTTCTTAGTATTTGTGTTACTCCAGGTATGCAATCTTATTTTTAAAAACATATGAATTCTATAACACGAACTCACAATCTGTTAATATATGTATTTGTGTGTTTTTCCTATGTACTATACCTTGTGGTCTAATAAGCCTTTATAAGAATATTAGTAAATATATTATCACGAATAAAAAGAAGCATGGTTAAAGTCAAATAAAAATCAATATATTAGAACGTAGAAACGATTTTATGATTAATATAACAATTTTTTAATACCATTTTCATCTGATAAATTCTCCACTCTTTCATATTACTTTTAGTTTTTATATCACAACCCTGATGTTCCTTTATAAGAAAATAACACTGTTCGTGTTTTACTAAGTTGTCGACAATTTAATGAGTCAACTTGAATTCATTGGAATGAAACTGACTCAAATATTGTCCAATTAATGTAGCAATAATTTATTTCCTGAGAAATTTTTGTATGACTTTATGACCAGTCTATCTATCATGTTTTTACGAAAATAATAACAATGGAAATACAATTTTCTGTATACATTTTCTAATACATGGAAACGTGTTATATCTTAATAGTCTAAGTGATAATATTTTATAAATGTGAATAGCAACTGTATTAATTAATTCTTTCTGTACATGTAAATAATCGTTTAAATTAGGACATTTGTAAAACGGCATACTCAAAAACATGTGCTGTTCTATTATTTTATGTTTAAGTAAAATCTCTTTTTTTCGTTGCATGTTGTTACTTTACATAAATTATTTTTTTATGAAACTGCGTGAAATAATTTCTTATGAAATATAGTGAACTAATAATTTAAAATACTGCAAATATAACTTTTTAGTAGAAAATTTATGAATGTAATTAGAGATTTAATAAGAGATTTCAAATATAAAATAGTAAATGATAGGGAAATAGTGTTTGTTAATAATTGAAATTACCTCTAATTAGAAACTAATTTTACAAATATACGAAATCCATAGAAATTAAATAAATGTTACATGATTGAAAATTAGCTTTACATTTTTAATGCTATCTTATATTTAGCTGCTCAAAAAAATATGAAGGTTTAACTTTCATTAATACCATTTTAATATTATATTCACGATATTTATAACACATAAATCACAATGAAAATAGAATAAATCTGTTTTAAATTCAACATGATAAAATTACTTGAATAAGTGATCAGTTTTATGTAATTTTATAACTTGTCTTTTCTAATACTTTGAATTTTATAATACTTTAAAAACATATGAAAAAGATATCTACATAATAGAAAAAGTATACTGTTATAAATCAAGATATGTATTAATCTATACTAAAAATTTAAAATCAAAACTTACTAACTCCATTCAAAACAATGATCTTTTATCATTAGGTACCACATATGTACTTACAAGCTTATAGATTTTTAATGACATAGTATCATTACCTGGAGTAACTTATAAGAGTTAGAAAAGCTAACCCTGTGCTATAGACAAGTTTTTAAATGTTTGTCCATTCCAAGCAACCGAGATACAGTAATGTTGCAATAACTGAATTAAAAGTTCTCGCTCATCCAACATTTCTATATGTTCGATTCGACTACGATCATCTTGAGGCAGTGAATCATAGACTTCTACCATTGTCCATGCATTAGAGCCTTCCCAACTGTTTATTGTAAAACTGAAATATACAATTTAAGTTACATTTTTAATAAAACATTTATTAGGGCATATTCAGAATAATGCACAACTAGTACAAAATTAAAATACCGTCTTTGTTGAGTTTCCAAAGATTCACAATCTTCTACACCTGCCAACAAACATCCACGACTACGTAAATTGGACAACATAACTTGACCAAATTTATCTTTCATGTTCACTTGCTCGTAGTTAACAAAAATACTATTTGGAAATTTTCCAGCAAGCCATTTTAATAATGCAGAAGCTGCACTAGTGTCTATATATACTAAGACACATTCTGCAAGGAACATGGTTGGAAGATTAAAATTAACTTCTGCTTGTGTTAATTTGTTAGTAAGTTCAGATATATGCCGTAGATCTATTCCCACCAAGTGATAATTGGCAGCATGTAGATCTGTTGTTGAAAATCTAATTTCTCCATCTGCAAAAGTAAATTTTTTTTATTAACAAGGACCCATGCATAAAGAAAAAAAAAATTACAAAGCTTAATACTTTACCTTCCGTATTTAACGTATCTATCAATTGTTTGTGTTTTTTAATGTGATAACATTTTCGAGCAGTAATACTAGGAAAATCAAGTTCTATAAAATTTGCCGGACACTTTCCCGCTTCTTTAAGTCGCCAATAGAGTGTATCAAATCCAGCACCCAAGTTTATAATTTGTCCTTTTTCACCTGATAGCTATATATTTGTTACAAAATTAATTTTATCAGTGTATTGTACCTATTTAGATGTATTCATATATATTTTCTAATTCATTTTTATTTATATAAAGAATTGAAATGTATTCATCTTGTTATAATATTCACATGAATTAAAAATTACAAACAATAATAAACGATTGCAATAACTTCATGTATTATTAAAATATATAATATGTCATTTTACGATTTTAATTAATTATCACAATTAAAAGAGAAAAACAATGGTCGAAAAATTGTTCAATAATTAAAAACGCATTTGTTATTTTTACAGAAAAAGATCTGTTGTCTACACGAGATTAACCTATTTCACTATTTCATGACAAAAGGAGGAGTTAGGAAATTGGGACAGGGCCTCGGCCAGGTCAAGGTTTCCGGCATTGCACGTCCTTAGCTACTTAAATCAGCTGTATCCCGGATTGTTTCTATCATGTTCTAGGTTATGCCAATTTTGAAGTTGCAATAACGAAACTCAGAGAAATTAAAATCAGTACGTACCTTAAGGAATTTGTCAACGAACACTTCGATTCCCTTTACCCTTGCATAGTAACCACGATTGATTTCCGGCGCTTTTCGTCCAGTTTGTTTCACGAAAAAGTTGATAAATGGATCGGACCAGTAACCAAGTTGAACCGCATATCTTTTACACTCACTTGCATCGTCATTTGTGGCCTGTATGGCCTCATCATCAGCCATATCTTTGATCATTACACTAATTTCGGTTCACTTCAGTTATAATAAATCATTATTCGAAATTTTCTTTACGTGAAAACCGTTACTTGTCACTCATGAAAAACTGTATAAGCGACCATACTGCTTAAGACTGTGTAGCGACTGCTGTAGACTCGCATCTACTTGCAGCGCAAGCTTGCGCCTGCTGTGCGATGCGGGTTATCTGACAGTAGGGGTATCCCCTAACCATCACTTTATATCTTAATATGTATCATATACATGGACACAAAACATTAATGCATCTCATTACAATTTCTTACTTATTAATGACGTATTTTATTTGGAATTTTTACTAATGTTACTAATTATACGTTATAAATCAAGTTGATCAATAAAATTTCTATGGACTTTTGAAAATATGAAATACATTTGTAAAAGCAAAAAGCAAAATCAATAATTATAACTTAATACGAATTTGTAAATTATTGAAATAAGTTTCTCTCCTCTTTTTTTCAACAGATGTTAAATATGTACAGTTTCAATATTTTGCAGTTATTTCTTTATTCTAAATATTAAATAAATACACTACACAAGGATAAATTGATATAAGAAAATATGTAGGTACATAAATTTGATTGTTAAATTAAGTAAGTTATGTTTACAAATTAAAGTGGATTATTTATAATTGGGAAATAAATAAGACTGTATGTCTTGATCTTAACAAATATATTCAAACACAATGTCTGACATTTTTTTAAAATTAGAAATTCATATGATGATAGTATGATTGCATACTATATACCTTTTTGTATATATGCGTAAGTATACAAAAATACAAATTGATACATATAAAATGTATAAACGTATAATTAATTTTTATAATTCTTGACCAATAGTTCTATAAAATGTAAAGATATTCTTTTGTATTTTTGTAAAAGTAATATATACTTTAAAAATAATCAATCACAGCTACTCATATATATGTTACTAAATAGATTGAAGCTAATAAATGAGTAAGAAATTAGTTAAAACACATATTGATATAATTAACAATTATAGAAAATTATAGTATCATTAAATAGTATTAATTTCATTCCAATATACGTAAACAGGTAAATAAAGATATAATATAAAAGAATTTTATTTAGTACTAACACATGGTTAAAAAAAGACATGTAATCAAATATATATATAAATTATGAAGCAAATATTATATTGGAATATAATGTTATCTAACATTGAAATAATATAATGTTATCTAACAAAATTCCATATTTAAAAAAACAGCAAAGCTATGGGTGATACAGTTAAAGATGTATTAAAAGTATAAAAAATTAGAAAAGACTAGCGAGTATCACCTTCCATTCTTTTCGCAGTTTGTAGTTTTTAAACTTTCATGTAGAGTTTTAAATAATTATTGTCAGCTTCTTGATATAATTACTGCTCTATACCGGATTTTTTAATAGCTTTTACAGCTGCTGTTTTTGTTTTTCTCTTAGGTGGAATTGGTGCATCAGAAGTACTAGATGATGGAGTTTCAGGGACAGTAGTATCACTAAGGCCTATTTGAGACGATTTTACACCTTTTTTAACAACTTTTATAGTTTTTTTTTGTTTACTAGAAGAACTACTGTCTACTGTACTATCATCTGGTCCTTCTTCTGATTTTATTTTTGTTTTTTTTGTAACTTTTTTTACTATCTTCCTTCCTACTTTCTTTTCAACGCCATCACCATCTGTTGTTTCCATTTCTACTTCTGATACCGACTTTTCTGTCAATTTTTTCCCAGGCTTTTTTATTACTTTCTCTTGATCTATTAAATCTGATTGTGCATTTATTTGGATACTTGTTGAAGGTGCATTTAAATCTTTTGTTCTTAAAGGTCTAATTGGAGCTTTGTCTAATAGTAATGATTCAGTTACTTCATGTTCTGATGAAATTTTAATTGATTCTATTATTTCGTTTGTGCCAGATTCGTCTTTTTTATCCTGTTGTTCTTGTTGTTCTAATTCTACTGTTTTTTCCTGTACTGATTTCTCTGGTATACATAAATTTTTGGAAGATAATCCAGCTGTGTCATTAAGTTGAACTTGCTGTATTGGTGACAAATTCTGTGAAGCTTCTTCTGACTGACCTAATTTATTGGCAGTATCGATACTCATTACAGTTGAGGAATTATTCAAATTTGATTTTTCTTTATTTTGCACAAAATTAATTGAAGATGTCGAACCATTTATATGTAACTTATCTTCTACTTCTGTTAAGTGAACAGGTGTAATTGTAGAAGAAAGGATTTCTTGTGGCATTACTTGAGAATCAGACATAGATTCTTTTGGTTCCACTTGTAGTACAGATTCTGCAACTTGAATAGGAACAGGACTAACTGTTAGAATTTCAGAAGCAGTTAAGAGTTGTTTTGCATGTTTTTCATCTCTAATATTCGATTGTTTCGTGTCTTCGATATCTACTGTGATTTTAAGATCTCTTACATCCTGTAATTTGTTTTCTAGTTTTTTTGGTGAGGTAATTACATTTTGTTCTTCAATTGAAGATGATTGAATTAGATTAGACGATTTTATAGGCAGATTTATTTGTTCTGAGGCTTCTTTTAATAATGATTTTGAACTGAATTCTGCAACTTCTTCATGAGATATTTGTATTGGGAGCTTTGTATCAAGTGTTTCAATTCCTGATTTTGTTGAAAATTTGTTATCTTCATTCTTTTGATCTCCTGATAATGTAGGTACGTTTGTTATAGGAACATTGTTAACTAGAGATTGTTCTTCAGTATGACTGATAGTTGCCTGAGCTAAATAAAAAAAAAAAATTATGTTATATTTGCATATAACAAATTATAGAAATGCAATTAAATACATTTTTTATTTAATAATTCTTATATTTAAATTTACTACTTTTAAACATATATTTAATAAAAATGAATTCTATATAAACATAAAAATAATATGAAATAAAATATTGAAAATAAAATATTAAGCAATAAAATTTATAAAATAAAAATATGTACAAATAATACTTTAATCTAAAATTACTTTTTAATATGCAAAATATATCCAAATAAAGCTCTAATTTTAGCACAAAGGATATAATGATTGTGATTGAAATTTATTGCAAGTGCTCTTATGAAATGCTGTTTAGTATGATATAAATGGAATATGAATATTTCAGGTTAATTAATGCACATTAAACATAGAATTAGTATTAGTAAATTAAAAAATGCTTAATTAGTAAATTTAAAAAATGATACAAAGTTATCATGCATATGGTGATGTATTTAATTTTTTAGTGCAATATTAAATTTGTCAAGCATTCAATGTTTAAAATGTTTCTGATGTTTAAATACATATAAATAAGCTACATAAATATACATAACATAAGCGTTTTTTATGAATTATTTTAAAGAATTTAAGATAATTTAACAATACAAATATGTTGATGAAAGTAACATTAATATTAATGTATACTACATTTCTTTGATTAGATAAAGTATAGAACTTTGTAAATTATAGGAATCAAAATGATATGTGATATTAAAACAACATAAATGATATGATTTATTATAATATAACTTATTATAAAATGATATAATTTTAATAATGTAAGTATATACCATGTGCTGGTTTAGTTATATACCACAAACTTTTTTAATTTACTTAAAAATCGCGAATTGATGATGCGAGTTCTTATAATATTTACCCCATTAAAGCAAAACGACATTACAAGACGTAGCAATGCTATGGCGCCAGGATCTGTTAGTTGCTGTCCTCCGTTCCTGTTTCAAACACTTAAACTTGATAAACTGTATAAAAAACATATATTTTTCACTTGTTTAAATTATATCAAATTTTCTAGTATTTTATTAAATACAATTTGACATTTTGTTCAAATTAAATTCCTATAAAATTAAAATTTTTACTTCCGAATATGAGTTTGAATGACACATGCTGTATTAAAAAAGGGAGGAAAATAAAATCGCAAAGCATTTTTATAAATACAGTTAATGGCTTTGCATTATGAGCACTTTAATTTTCGATTTCGTACACAGTTTCCAGTATTATTAAAAATTTTTATTATGTAAAATTAAGTTTTATATTTTTTTTTGGTTCAATACTAGCTATATAATAAAAAATGTTATTTATATAGCTTAAAAATCTTGCTTCTTTGTTTTATCCATACTTGAATAATTTTTATAATCATAATTTGTAAAAAATAATTTCATGCATATTGTGTAATACATACCAATTCCTTTATCCACCTCATCTACAGAATCAGTAGATTCAATAACTTCAATAGATTTAACAGATTCATCAGTCTTGTCGGTTTTTAGCGTCGATTCTTTTTGAGTTTCCTGTAAATCGTAATATAAATTTATATACAAATGTTATTATTATTAATTTATTATGTATCACTTAAGTAATTACTTTAGGAGGAGATGGTAACCGCGGAGGTGCAAGAGCAAGTGTTTCACAAATTTTTTTCCAAATATTGTCAAAACTATCACGACCCATATAGTCTATCTGACCTTGTTCCCAACTTTGTTTTCGCATATGCTCCTCTAATGCAATTTGTTGAGCGCTTCTGGGTTCACCTAATGTCATTTGAGCCAAGACACCAGCTAGACCAGCCTATGGAATCAGAAAAAGTCCTCTTAATTTAATAATTGAAAAAATTTCTGAAAAAAGGACCCAGAGACTGAAATAATGAAATAAATAAATCACATCAAAAGTTTTAGTTATAGTTTTTCCAATATTGCTACATTTGAATCGTTAATTATGAGGAATATTAAAATAAAATTTTAGCAGAACACTTATAACATATAACAATTAGTTAAAAATGATTTACCAAATAACATAGATCCATAAACCTCCATCATAAACTTTCAGAAATGTCTTCAATTTTTAAATATGATTAAAATCAATTTTTAATATGATAAAATAAAGGAATATTAGAATATAGATTAGAATTATATCAGTACACATTTATATGGATTATTTTGCATAATTACCTTACCCAATTGTCATATATGGTAGTAATACTATATAAATACATATACCACAAACATAAAAAACAATGTAATACACAAATCTAAAGCAAATTAACCACACAACAATAGTAGCAAATCATGTTATATTTCAGGGAAGCTATTTCTTTTGAATAATTTTTGGTCAATTTTGACTTTCTTTAATAATTATGTGATATGTAGATGGAACTAAAAATATTTAATAATAAAAACTTATAATAAACAAATGTATTAAAGCTGCAAATCCCAAAAAATACTAAATATACTCAAGCAATATATTCAAAATTACAATGCAAGTATTCTAAATTGTAATAAGAAAACACTTTTAATTTTAATGTAAAAAGATATATTACAATTACTTACATTTGAACTATTTGAATCATCCATTATGTGTGAATCAGATTGCGTTGCTACATTGTGGATATCTGTACAAGGTTTGGAATCAGGATGAGGACTAGTAGATATTAGTGTGCTTGTCCGTTTGTCTGTAACGTTCATATTTTCATTTTGTTCAGTAGTTTGTTTAATAGAAAGATTATTCTGATAAGCTATGTTATTTGGTGTAGTTTGGACATGATTAATGTTGACATCTAAAGATTTACTAGTTTGATTTTCTTGTTCACAATGCTGAACAAGTTGTTTATTATTTACATTATCAAACATTTGATAATAATTACAATGATGATCAATATAAGGTTCGTTATGTTGATGTTTTATTTCTTCTGAAAGCAATTTGTTGTTATTACTAGAAGAATGTTGATAGTTACATTTGTACTCAATATGCTGATGTTGGTTTGTTTCTTCTGATACTAATCTATTGCAAGTATTTTGAGGAATGTGTTGATTGTTAGTAGGTTGATATTGAGATTCATTTAAATGATAATATTGCACATTGTGTAGAGGATTATGTTGTTCTATATTATCTTGAACTTTCCAATGTTCAGAGTCTGTATTTAAAGTGACTATATCATTGGAATGAGAAAAATGTTGTTGCTCATTGTCAGTTTCATTGATTAACTGATTAGATTCTAATTGATTATAATTTAAAGTATATGGAGGAGACATATTTTCATTATATTGTTGATTATGATAGGATTTCCTATCTATATCATTAGAATGAGAAAAATGTTGTTGCTCAGTTTCATTACTTAACTGATCAGATTCTATTTGATTATAATGATTTAGAGTATATAAAGCAGACACATTTTCACTATATTGTTGATTATGATAGACTTTCCTGTTATATTCTAGTGATGACTGAGTCTGATGCACAGAATTTAAGCTTTCATTTAATACAGATATAGGCAAACTGTTGATTGTTGAATAATACTGTTCTCTTTCATTATTTTCTGATTTATAAATATCTGGATCATTTGATACATAATAATTTTCCCATGGATCTTGAAACTCTGAAAAATCTGGTTGTTCTAAATGTATGTCATTCTGTGTTTTGTTTTGTATGTCCATGTAAATGGGACTTCTTGGAACAAAGGATTCAAGAGGCATAGGAGAAAATTCGTGCCAAATTGGTGCCAATGTGCTGGTAGCCTATGCAAGCATCATGCCAAAACAGAAAAATGCACATTCAATTGGTTAGTAGAAAACTAATTTAACAGTGTCCATTTTTCTTCTATACTTCTCTACTTAATATTATAATAAAAACATTATGTTAGGTTTAAATATATATTTATAGATTAAAAATAGACTAAAAATAATTTACATTTTAGTACTAATAACTACAATAGACATTAAATAGTACTGTACAATATAAGAAAATATTAAATATTACAAACGTAATAACAGGGGAGAAAAAATGGACACTGATCTACCAAAAAAAATATGAAAAAAAATAAAGTTAAAACATATTAATAGTTGTGATATTTATAAAACTTTAATAAAAAATTTTACAAGTTCTATTTTAAATTTATACAGCTATCAATATAATTATTTAAAACTAAAAAAAAAAAATTAAAAAATTACAAATATATTTTAAATGTAACAAAAAGCAAATTGTGCTAGGAAATGTCACTCTTAATTAAAAGCAATATATAATAATATATTTGCAATAAAAATTGTACACAATTAAATAATTTATAATGGAACAGCTCCTAGAATCAGTGACTAAATATCTACTTTTAATTTAAGATAATAACATGCATATCCAATTTTATAAAAAAAAAATCTTTGACCAAGGAATTAATAAAGATTAAGAAATTAAATCTTTCAAAGATTTTTTTGAAATATTCTAATTATTAATAATTTTTATACACATTATTTGTTATGTGTAATATGTACAATTTTAGCTACATTTTATCAAGCATGTATATAGTAATGCGTGATTGTGCTTTTAAAATATTATCTATATTGCCTAAATATATTCACAACATGGTTGATATACTTTTGTAAGAATAATAAAAGCATATTGTTTAAATCTTACCTGCTTTATTAATATTTAAGGCTATAGTGAGATTCAGAAAAAATCCAAAAATCCACAAATTATATATTAAACTTATTAATATTTTAATTAATTAAAAGAAAAAATTACAGTCAAACTTACCATAACAGGTGATAACTGAGGATGTACTTTTTCACAAAATATGTTCCACCATAATTGTAATAATGGTTGCAAGTGTGCAGAACCCACTGGTGGCTGAACAATACCAGTCAAAGTATCAAAATACTGTAACCATGGTTTTGTAATACCAATAAAATGTATTATTCTAACATCATCCCCAAATCTATTAAAGAACAATATTTATAGTTACTTTAGATCTTTTATTTATGTATGTATTGTTTCATATGAAATGTTACATATGTATACATATATGTAAAAACGTAAAGAAAAAATATAATAAAATAAATATATATTCTTACTGTTTGAATGCAGGAAGATAGGAATATGTAGCAGTGGAGCACATATTATAGATAAATGGTAAATGTTTGGAAATGTCTTTTCTAGCCCAATCACTGAAATACATATTCAATAATCCTTGATCTCCACCATCAAACGAACCTTTAGCAGCAGCAAATGCGGTAATCGAAGCAAAAGTTTGTTGGGATGGTTTATATACAAATACACCAGAATTGAAGCAATCAGGCCAACCGACATCAGGAGCAGCAGATAATTCTTCTTTCTCAAACAATTCATCGCAATTTCTGACAACCTGACATACGTGCAAAAGTACAAACATAAAATTTTTTTAAAGATCAAATGAACCTGTTTTTATTAGAGTGAAAATAAAAATTTTGCATGCTTACAAGTGTATCTGCATCAAGAAACACACATTTCTCATATTGAGTTAATCTCCAGCAATGCAATTTGGTAAATGTAACACCCAATTCTGGTCTAGCTAAAAGTGCTAAATTAGCTTCATCTTTTGAATCAAGTACATTTACTTCCATTACTACAGAAAAGATTGCTGATAACTTTTCCCTAAACACAATTAAAAAGAAAATATTTCAATATTACGATAAAAAAAATGTTGATTGATATCATATCATAAATAAAAATTACTAATTTGCGATTTAAAACAGAAAAATTATTAAATAAATACATTAAAATAAACAGAAGTTCAGTTTGTATTAATAGAAATCACTCAGAAATAGCTTACCTCATCGTTTGCGTTACTCCAGGAGTAATCAAAACGGCCAGTTCGTGCTTGGTACCAACTCGTCGTAAAGAGTGTGCCAAAACTAAAGCTCCCAAAGAATAAGCATCATTGGTAGCTAATGTAACCCAGGCATATCCTTAAAATTAAAATAAATAAATATTACAATTGTAATTAAAAAAAAAAAGAAAAAAAGAAAAAGAAACGAAAATTGGTATCTCTTTATAATTTTATGGATGAATAATATTCATGTATTAAATATTTCTTGATAACTAACCACATATCATTATGCATTTAAATTGATAAAATATTTGTTAGGTAAAATTAAATGACCAGAGACGTTAAAACATTGATTCTTGAATTATCTTCAATATTAGGTATATCATCAATAAATATTATAAATAAAAATATATTCTTCTTCTAACATAGATAGCTCATTAATAATAATTCTGAAGATTGTTATTGTCACTGAGTTTATTGTATTTGCTTTCTTTTTAACGGTTACATAAATAAAAAGATAATTCTAACAATTGTTTAACTTTTAATTGTTTAACAATTATTTAACTAAAGGCTACTTATAATAACAAGTTGAATAATGTATAATTATTACAAATAATTTCAGCACAAGTGTTGAACAATTTTGAATTGTTCCCGACTATGTTTTTTGAAAAACATATTTCAAACTCAACTTCAAATTCAAGAAGTTACAAGAATAACTTTTAATAACGCAGTCATGAACATTTTCTAAAATGATAAAAATAGAAGAAGATGCATGTGCTAGGAATCCATTTGATCCAAGCAAGCGAAGTTAAATGCGTTTAACTTATTTTTCACCAATAAGAAATCCAACGATGCTGCTGTATTTATAACTCTTTCTATTTCTATTTCGTAAATGTCATCGTGTAGTTCTCCCCGGGTTCGATCTCGAGAAATTTAGCTCCAAAATAAAAATATTATTTTTAGCTATTTATCTGAATACTACTTGTGCTTCAACGATGAATTCGCTAGATAGAATATGATAAAAAAATAAAAAGTACATATATGAAAGATAAAATATTTTACTATGTTCTCTTTTACGATAATTTCTTATCAGCTCTTCAAGTAGTCCACAAGTAGTGTTAAGAATAAGTATTTTAAATATATGAACGTAAATTTTAATTTTATTCAATAAATTATTTCAATTATAAAGTTATAAACCAGGGATGAGCACGCATGAGGTCAATGAGAGCCGCATTGCGGATTTATTTATAATCAGAATAAAAATAGCCAAATTTTCCAGAGATGTAAAGATAAGAAAAAAATAAATACAACAAAAAAACTGTATAACAAAATATTAGTTACTTAGTCAATTTAACAAGATTCTGTGAAAAAAGTTCTGAAGTAATAATAAAAAAAAAAAATTTTAATTTTCAATGGGAGCCGCACTTAAGGAACAGCCGCATTTGCCCACCGTTGTTATAGACCGTTAAGAACATTATAGATTACAGAGCAAAAGAACAATTAATCCATTTTTCTTTATTTCACAAAAAAGAAGAATTATGTAAAAAAGAATTGCACACAGTATTAATATAAATTACTGAATTAAATGTTTTAATAGTTATAAATAAGCATTTACGATCATTTTCTTAAAGCACGTCCATCTAGTATCTCTCCTCTGCGCACGAGAGCCAAAATAGAACGGCCGACAGAATTCAATCAATTTTTCGAACTTCATTACACAATATATATTTCACGAAACGCGAAATGTAGCTACATCATGTACGTAGAATTATTTCATGTAGTCTCTCTCTTTCATAAACCTTGAAAATATACCGTTCACGTTTCTGGAAAGGCTGCGCTATACGTATCGACATTGAATGAGATATTAGATTTCCTGCGTTAGTTGCATTTCACGAGATTATCATTATAATCACGGAAATGATACTTTTGCAAAATACCACTACTCAATGAAATATTTTCAATAATTATTCAGTCATTGATAATTCAGCATTTATTAATTATCATATAATTCAACGCTGAATATTATTTATATATTTAATTGTATCATAACATATACTGCAAATTCCACTGTTTAAATTTCAATTCGAAGACTTAGAATTCTTCATTATTAATAAACGAGTTTATCGATATGTCCGATGTCTTCGACATATCGATTTCAAAAGAAGTTTATAAACTGACTAAATTAGATCACATGGAATTATAAATATTGCAAAATTATAAAAATTTATTCATTAACATTTGATAGAAAATAAAATAAGAATGAGTAAAGTTTATTTCTATGTCAAGGTTATTTTATTCAATGTTTCTGCACTTCTAATGGTAATCAATGATAATTTACATCACTTACGAAATTAACAATTTTTTATCATTTACATTAAATGCCTGATATCGTCTCAGGATTATACGCGTAATATTGATATAATTTCGTAATCCATGGTTTCTGGTTTCTCGAATATTCAACTTGTGGAACATTATTATTAACATTTTTTATTTATCGTTAGATTTGAAAAATTTTTACGGAATTGAGTCGCATCAAAGGTCTTAGTAAAGTTAAATGCAATGAATGCAAAGGAACTGTGAGTCACAGCCGTAGAAAAAAGAGTGAGAGGAACTGAGAAAGAAAATAGATATACAGGAGAAAAGCTCGGATTTCTGCTACCGGTGTATTCCGAAACGTAACGCGTTGGATCACATCGAATCTTCATATATACTTTTATACCACTCAGAATTATTTGTTCCAGTGATTATGGATAATTGGTCCAAATCAACAATCTAGAGATATTATACAACTTGAATATTTATAATTTCTTTTTTCATAAATCGTTATAAATCTTTTTTTTATAAATTGTTACCGTCACCATCGATAGAAATAATTTATTTGTAGAATAATTATTAAATCGTTCGATATCCTAGAACGAGTATTTAAAACTCCATAAAATATCATTATATGAATAATTGTTTCATTTTTAATATTTGGCTATTATTTATATATGACGACTTGACAATATTAAGCATGAATTTTAATATTCATATTAATGCTAGATATTTCCTATTGACTCTAAAAAGAATTAAATAAGTTTCATTCAAAAGCTAATCTGGTAAACTAAGGAAATTCGATTCGTATTACCATGAAAATCGCGGTAATTCATCGCGATTTGTTTCGTCATTACACGTGAATCTAAGTTAGCCAATACTTGAAAGAATTATGTTCACCACCCTTGATGTATCACGATTTTGGCAGTGGTGCCTTCCTATTTATCTCTTGATGTGCCGACATTATCACAGAGTGGGTTAAAAAACACAAAACATTTATCTCGACTATGAGAAAGGTAGTGCTCGGCTTCTCGCATATTGTAATACGCAGACGAAACCCGAGAGGCAGAATGCCGGCGTCGTTGTGCCACACAGGTTTATATTTATACAAGCCGACCAGCTTATAATAGCAACCCAGCCTCGCGTTTGTACAAAATGCATTCATATACGTTGCCTTAGGTCAAGCACTTGTCTCCCAAGTCTGACCAGATTTCTTTATATGATCATACTTCAGACACGTCTACAAATCGACACTTTCTCCCGCGCGTTCTTCTGCAACGCGAGTGAATCATTGTTATCACTCCTTAGTTCAGAACGATGTGCATATCAATACATTTCGACATACGTATCGAATGATGATCAGGATATCGAAGTTCGAATTACCATTAGAGTTAGGAAAGTTTTTCTAAGAAACACAAACTTTTCTAAGAATCACTTAGATTCTAAAAAAACCTTGTACAATTTTCATGCTTGGAATTGTAAATTCCAGATTTATGATATATATTAAGAAATTTATTAAGTTTCTCCCAGATTTTTACTTATGGAACAAGAATTAGAGAAATATATGAGTTTTCTTCATTTTTTTCCATTTTGTAGTATATTATATTATTAACGAAGAACTTCGAGTAGTTTATAAATAGAAATATAAAAATTGATTTACTGATGAAGTTGGTTCGATGAAATGAAGTATCCATTATCTGAATCTAATTTCATTAACTTATTTACTACATTATGTTCTAAAATTCCATGTCAAATAGTTTGGAATATAGAAAAAAATTTATAAAACTATTTAAGCTTAATTTAGACAGATCTCGTTTTGAGCTATTAATTTTTTCAATTATTTCGTACTTATAGTATTTCGTACCTATATAGTGTTTGTCCATTTTGTCATTATTAAATCTTTTCGAATATTATAAATTATCAAATATTTTCAAAAGATAAAAGGATTATCCACTAGAAATTAGTCATCGTAATATTTGTTTCATGGCTATACTGGATAGACAAAGAGTGAAGATTAAGAATGAAGAAAAAGAATCAAGAAAGATCGTGTTTAATTAGGAATCTGTTCTATTAAGAGATATGGTACAAATCGTAAAGTATATCTACACAAATCTTACAATCTAGAATTCCGGGCTCTCTCTAGACGAAGGTCAAGACTAAATCTATATAAAAATAGTACAATTAAAATTTAGTAAAAAAGTACAGTTTTGCATCAATCATCATACAATAAACTTTCACATGAACATATCAGTTACAATCATACACGTTTTTATCCAAAATACAAAAATTTCAAATATTCCCACAATATATAAGATACAATAATTCGATTCTGACTTTGTAAATGAATAACAATTGTTGCTTAATATAATTTTTGCCAAAAAAGTAAATTTCAAGTAAGAAAAAAAAATACCGAGCGACTTGATTAATGTCAAAATTTTCGCACAATGTATGATCTTTTTTTATTTTTATTTTTCGTGAATGAAGATTTATAGGTATATCGCGGGTTCATACATATTACATCACCGAGGCATGTCGATCGATATACGTATTAATATCATCGTTATAATAATGTTAAGTAATTACCGAAAATCTTCAGTTAGGTAATACAAATTAAAAGTACCAAATTGAAAATAAATATTTACAATAAAATGGAAGTAATAAAATGCGAGACGTATATACATCTTATTTTTTTAATATGTATCTACTAAAAAAGTATTGGATAAATAAATAAAATAACATCAGAAGCAAATTTTTCATGAAATCAAATTTTACTGGGTTCGAAATAAATACAAAGAGAAGGAAAATTTTGGCAAAGAGCCGTAATTTCTCCCCCCGACTGGCTAAGAATAATCTGCCACCAGGAATACCAGCGGTAGTTATTTTATTTTATGTAGAAGCCATAGCTCTTTTTAAAGTTTTTAGAAAAAGAGAAGAGTAAGAAATTTCTTTGTATTTATACTTCGAATGCAATGCAATGCAATGTAAATGATTTAAATAAATCATTTAAAAGACAATTTTGTTTATATAAATTTGTTTATATAAATTCTTGTTAAATATAATTTTCCTTAAATATAAAATTAAATTTAATTATTAGATTAAATTAAATTAATAATTTTTGTTAAATACAAAATTAAATTTTTGTTATATATTATATTTTGTTATATATAATATTTGTTAAATACAATACTTCAAGATAACTATATAAACTATATAATTTATTTTACAATTTTAAAAAACCCTCGATTAGATATATTAATTTTATCTTCTAATTTATAAGATATATCACATGAAATTTTTAAATATGGCTGCTGAATTATGCTCATAAGAATTTAAAAAAGAAAAATAAATGATAATAATTTGATATTTACAATAACTTTGAACAATTAACTTTAACATATAATAAGGTGAAAAATAATTAGTGTGAAAACAGGTGTACATAATACGCAATATAAAATATTAAACTCGCGCCAAGTTTTACTCTGCGCATGCGTTCAAAGAAAACGGTGTAAAGCTTAGCGCGAATTAGACCGATTTTCGCAAAATAAATTAAAACGAAGGACGTGTGTTTCGAATTGTTAACGAGATGTTATAAGAAAATAGTTGTTTTCGAATACAAGTAATAAATTAAATAATCAAAATTAAAATGAAGATGTACGTTTTCATGTTTTAAGAGGTTATTACTCGTAGTCTATGGAAGATATAATTCATATGAAGGTCATTGGGTCAAGACCGGTTACCGGCGACATTATCATACATCCCAATTGAACTTTCAATGAACGTAATCTTTGGACAATGCACGTGAAAGAATAATAGAATTGTAGTATATATTGTCGGACTTAAACTTACCACCCATGGTTGAAAAATTTTTATTTCTCTTTCAATAGACCGATTTTATACACTCAACACTTGCCGATACCCGCACAATTAACAAGAAACCATACGCACTTCATCAGCGCTACAAAACGAGTGACGACTTGCGAATCTCCTTCCATGTCATGTCGCTCTCCCCTCCTTCAACATCATTTGGTCCTCACTCTGTATTATCGACTGAAGGTTTGGAGACACTACCACAGACAAGGCATTACATAGATACCCCATCTGTATATACTACTACCATGAACAAGATATATAACAGATTTTATCTAATACTATAAACACAATGAAACTCATTTAGACATAAAATAGCAATCAAGTGAATCACCATAAATAAATCTTTCTATAAAAAAAATTAGTTTCTCATCTTCTATAATTACAATCATTTCTCTCGTAATCCCCAAAGCAAAAAAAGTTGTTAAATTTGATATATTATTTTTTATATTTTATATAAAATCAAAAATATATTCTTTCTTTGAATTCTACTGAATAATCTCAAGATTATTCTACTAATAATCTCAAGATTCGAAACGATGACTTATAATTGCATCAACACGTGTCGTACAGAGATGAGAAGTTCCCCGAAAAGAATGTGGGTTTGGTTGGTTATTTCCAATCCATTCTTAAATTTAAGAATACCTATTGGTTGAGAGTGTCACGTAGAACAAACAAAACCTAGTGGGTTACTGAAAGAAGGAACTGTTTCCTTTCTTGCATGGGATTTTTCAATTTTGTACATAGATACAGCTACATATAATTGAAAATATACAATTTGCAATTCGTCAGTAGATGGTGCTAAAGGTGAAATTCCTGTAACGGATGATTTTATGTATAATGTGAGGTTATAAAGGATAGAAGGTGGAGTGTATTTCGTCTCAAAGTCGCCGCCAGATTCATCAATAAGGTTCATGCCAGTGACCCCTAACCTCAGACTCAATTTATTAGGAACCTCTAGCTTGGGCCAAAAAGCGACACCTATCCTAGACGTGTTCCACACGCTGCACGCTTAACTTAAAGATCGCACTTGATCCGTAGCTAAGCGGCAACCACTTACGATTTGTAATATTCATGTCTTTCTAACTGGTATACTAAAGAAAGACTGGATGTGCTAGCCGCTAGAGGCATTAAAATACTAGTGTCGCGGTGAAACGGTGGAATTTATATTGTTGTCCTTATCGCACACTACCTTTCTTGTTTACGGCTCGAATATATCTGTTTTGCTGCACGCTATTAGCCTCCTTGTCTACCGCTCTTATATGTCTGTCCTTGTCGCACGCTAACGTTCTCCTTGTTTACCCCGCGTGTATGTCTGTCCTTGTCGCACGCTGTTGTCACGCTCTCCTTGTCTATCGCGTATATATGTTTGTCCTTGTCACACGCTACTGCTCTCCTTGTCTAATGACGCTAGACAAGGAAAGAAATAGTGCGACAAGGACAGCCTTCGATCTATTGAAGAAAAATTCAACTTTTTACCCACACATTTTTCTAGGACAAAACACACATAGAAAGAAAGCGGGGAGCCTAATTATAAGGAGGCATATAAAAAAGTTCGCAAATTATTCTTCTTAATTAGGTTTTTCTCGTAATTAGTATGAACTGTCACAATATGGACATGGTGGCGCCATCTAGCGGTAACTCAGTGATATTAATTATTTATAAAAACACTTATTTCTGCATTTTGCGGGTCAAATGGGGTATAAAAAGGAAGCTAAGGGTCTAATTAGGGTAATACAATCACAAACGTTCACAATTCATTTCGTTCAATTAGGTTTTTTTGCAAATGAAAATTTCTCTGTTTTACGGGTAAGAAACACTAGCGCCGCGTTGTGGCATAAAACGCAAGCTTAGGATCTCTAAAATCGGAGACGCAACGATAACAATTTACAAATGATTCTTCTTAATTAATTTTTTCTCGTAATTTGTCGAAAAACTGTCATCTGTCAAGGGTTTGTGTAGCGACCTATAGTTCCTCGAGTACGAGTTTCGAACACCAACTTGCACAAGCCGCAAAAGCGCCTAGCGTCGAAGTCAATCGATATTCGATGTTAAGCTGAGTGCGGAACCGCTAGGATGGGTGACCATCCAGCCTAGCGAGTAGTTACAAAAACAAGCGTCTGGGGTAAGGAGTCAACCCCACTAATGAGTCTAGGCAGCGACTCTGAGACGAAACACACAACCTTTCCTCACCTTACTCACATCATCACTTCCTACATTATCCTCGCATTATCATCGCCACTTTCAATCCCTTCATTTGTATAGTGTTTATGATAATTTATATTTATATCACAATACTATAAATAAATAACTCCGTAATTAATTTTAGTTGTTTATATAAAAATATTATCAATATCACAAAATATACAATTACTAATAATTTAATGAAGATTACATAATGAAAGTTAAATGACGAAATGACGAAATGACGAAATGACGAAATGACGAAATGACGAAATGACGAAATGACGAAATAACGAAATAACGAAATAACGAATGAAGATTTTCTACTATGGCTACAATATATATAAGTGGCAGTAAACATTTCCATGGTGATAATAAAATTAATAGCTATTTTTAAAAACTCTATTGTTTATATTAAATACGCATCTCGACAGAACATAGATGTCGTTGATCTAAATTCTTCGAAGTAGAGGTCGCTACATTTGTGTAGCGACCTATAGTTCCTCGAGTACGAGTTTCGAACACCAACTTGCACAAGCCGCAAGTGGCTGTGCGCCTAGCGTCGAAGTCAACCGATATTCGATGTTAAGCAAACAGAGTGCGGAACCGCTAGGATGGGTGACCATCCAGCCTAGCGATNTAGTTACAACAACAAGCGTCTGGGGTAAGGAGTCGCTGCCATCAGCCCCACTGATGAGTCTAGGCAGCGACTCTGAGACGAAACGCACAACCTTTCCTCACCTTACCCACATCATCACTTCCTACATTATCCTCGCATTATCATCGCCATTTTCAATCCCTTCATTTGAAGTAATGGTGGCGCCATCTATTGATAACTCTGTGGTACTAAAACAGAAAATCCTGTTTTTAGTACCACCAAGTTATCAATAGATGGCACCACCATTGCCTGAAACCATTGACAAGTGACAGTTTTTCGACAAATTACGAGAAGAAATTAATTAAGAAGAATCATTTATGAACTGTTGCGTGTTCAGTTTTAAAAATCCTTAGCTTGCGTTCTATATTTTGTTTAAGTATAGTTTACGTATATGAAGAATGTTTCAATTTCGTTTACGTTAGTAGTAGTGCCAGTAGTGAGTGCATAACTTCGCGCAAACTATAGTGAATGTTAGATTCAGATTTATTTGCGAACGTAACTGATAGCATTTTCTTAGAATGTGTTCGTGGAGTGTAAATTAGTAGCGTGAAAAATTAAAATTAATTATTCTCTTAATATGGTTATAGAGCTTTTAGTTTCACCGATCTGCCACAACGCGTGTTTCTTATCCGTAAAGCAGAGAAATTTTCATTTGCGAAAAAACCTAATTTAGCGAAATGAATTGTGAACTTTTGTGACTGTATTACCCTAATTAGACCCTTAGTTTTCTTTTTATACCCCATTTGACCCGCAAAATGCAGAAATAAGTGTTTTTATAAATAATTAGTATCACTGAGTTACCGCTAGACGACGCCACCATGTCCATATTGTGACAGTTCACACTAATTACGAGAAAAACCTAATTAAGAGGAATAATTTGCGAACTTTTTTATATGCCTTCTTAAAATTAGGCTCTCCGCTTTCTTTTTATGTGTGTTTTGTCGTAGAAAAATGTGTGTGTAAAAAGTTGAATTTTTTATCAATCGAAGGGTTTCCTTGTCGCACACTGTTGATTTCCTTGTCAGCGTCATTAGACAAAGAGAGCACTAGCGTGCGACAAGGACAAACACACTCGCGCGGTAAACAAAGAGATAGTGTGCGACAAGGACAGACATATTCGGGCGATAAACAAAGAGGGCAACATGTGCGATAAGGACAACAATATAAATTAGTTCCGACACCTATCCTAGGGGTCATCCACACGGTGCATGCTTAATCAATGATTTCTTATAGAAGTCTTTTAGTTGTAAATTTATAAGTGTTAATTGTTTGTTGATTTAATATATAATTTGAATTTCTAAACAATATGGAGGATATGTTTCGCGATATACGAATATACATGTATATTTTTCTAATTATTGACTTTTTTACACATATGTATATTAACAAAAAATAAAAGTTGTATTTTTAAAAATATATTAATCTTATTTAATGTTATACGAACACACATATTTATTGAATTTATCAATATTGTCACATCTTTTAAACGCGTTATACGAATATGCAGCAAATGCGTTTATATGTAGAAAGTCATTTTAGTTTATTAAGAAAAATGCAAAATTCCATTTTGAAACTTTATCTCACATTTATTTAATATTTAGTTTAATATTATATTATAGTATTCAAAAGGCGATTAAATTTTCAATAATATATTTCTTTGTATGTTCAATTAATGTGAACACTTAATTGTAAATATGCTTACTAACGATTAACGAAATAATGTATAACATTTATCCTATTAAATCATACAAATCTATCAGAGATCAAAGTCGCAATAGATCAGTTCATTAATTTTAAAGATAGCAATTATGTCTTGATCCAAAGGCTGGATCAACGAAGTTGTATTTTGTGGTAAAAAAAACCATTTTTACGTTTGGATGCTCTAAGTTGGATGGATGACATGGTACATTATCCAATATTAAAGGTATTTTGAAAGGAAGACCTTTTTTTCTTTAAATAATTTTTTGCTTCTACAACAAAATATTTATGAAACCAATTGCGAAAAATCTCAGCAGTCACCCACGCCTTTTTATTTGTTCTTCAATATATGGGAACATTTAAGTCTGTTCGTTTCGTTGTTTGTGGTCGAAGAAGCAAAGATTTTATCAGATAATCCCCTGATGCATTACGGCAAAGTAGCAATATCACACGATTTTTGTTGACCTTGAAGCTTGTAACAAGCTTTTACATTTTGTGTTACAAAAGTTTTGTCAGAAACCTTCTTCCAAAAAAGCACTATCTCATCAATACCTGATGTGGAACATATCCATTTTCTTCAATTATTTGAGCAATTTGTGGTAAAAATTTTTCAGCTGCAGATTTATCAGCAGATGCAGCTTTACCTTTGAATTTAAGGTTTTGTAATGAATACCTTTTTTTGAATTTTTGATATCATCCTTTACTACCAGAAAATTATCCACTGTATCAATTGCTGAAGCTTGTTCTTTTAAATTGTTAAATATATGCACAACCTCTTATCATTAAACTGCTCATGGATTTTCTTTTTTTTTTTGTGTGTGTTGCCCTTCATCCAAATCATTAATGCTTTTTCCATATTTTCTATTACAGGATTTCTTGTGTACAACAAACACTGTGAACTTGATAAAGTTCCAGAGGCCACACTATTTCTAATATTTTTCTTCCTTTTCTTGACTGTTCGGATAGTGAATTCATTTATTCTATACGCCTTAGCAATTGCTGAGGGATTTTCTCCTTCATCCAGTTGACTTAAAATTTTCATTTTTATGTCCAAAGACATAGATTTTCTGTTTCTTTTTATTATTGAACGTTTATTAAACATTTCTGAATTAAAATTACAATATAAAGTATAAATCTGAAAAGATGTGCGGTAAAAACGTTGCTTACTTACTGTGTATTGAATAATATACTGTTGTCAAAGCCGATTGTTTAAGACTGATTCTAACGTCTGTATGTTTAAATTAAGTATTGTTTTATCGATGCTTCTTATGCATGTGTTATAATTTGGCGTGAAGAGCCGCGTAAATGGAGGAACGACTATATATTTTCTGGCCGTGTATAAAAAGTATCGTGTAAGTAGAGTTCTAATTTACCGCGTAAAAAAAGACTCGTGTAGAGGGACGAATGTATATACATAAGTGTAATACCACAAACGATATATATACATCTTGCCTGTGTCCATATCTTCGTATACGTGAATTTTACAGCCCTTCGCGACACCTGCCGCGAAAATATTGCAGTAAGCGATGCGTCGTTTCAGTTCCGGGTGTTCCTCGACGACAAACAAACATGCATCGTGTAGCGGGAGGAAATACGACAGTTGACGAAATTGTAGCGACTTGCTCGCTCGTGCACTATAATTCTTCTAATTCAATGGTGTAGATAGCTTGACACTATAAAATGTAGCTCTAATCCCTTAGACCAAATTCGTTGTTGCGGTTGGGAAACTGCACACCCATGAGATCTACTTCCATTTCCATCTCCAGCACGTTGACGTTTACTGAGGAGTGGCGCGCAAAAAGATGGCCAGCTCACCGACCAGCATCGAAAATCAAATAGACAGTTTCTTGGAACAGTTCAAACGCAGTGCCTCCCGCGCTATGGAAGAGTCTCACAGATCCAGTTACAATGCTTGCAGCAGTAGTATCAGTCATAGCCGAAGTGGAAATTTGGATCTTGAGCTCTTGGAAGCTGGTAAGTTTTTAAGAGCCTCGTATTACTTCGACGTGATTATCTTATCGGATTTAAATTTTAGTTACTTTCTACTGCTCCTCCTGTTACTCCCTATGCTGCGTGTAATTTCCTTTAATTTTCTACTATTGATGATTGATTTTTTGGGCGTTTCTTGCATATTTCGATGCATCTGCCTTTTCACGGTATTGTTAGTTTGTACACATTTAAACTGGATTATTCATAGTGTCTGTCACGTTATGTGTAAGTTCATTTACTATTTTTTTCATTCAGGTTTAATATATATTTTCTTTAAATTTTGTTGATACATAGTATGACAGAATCTATGTGTATAAACATTTGTTTTAATAATAATAAGAATAATTATTCCCACGTACTTGTCTTGCATGATGTTAATTAAAAATTACAATGTATTTAAAGAATTAAAAATTGAAAGAACAGAATTACGATATATTTTACATATTATTTGACTCAATTCGTTAAAACTTTCATTATATAGTATAACAGAGAAATATATTATATAGTATAATAGAGAAATTGGTATATGAATTCACATTCGTATTGTTTATTTTTTATAACATGAATGTAGCAATTGAAAAGATGCGAATATATAATTCTTTCGTAATTTAGTGTATTTTCAAATCAATAAAGTAATAACGTAGTAGAATTATATGCAATTTGGCTTAATCGGACACTTCTAATACTGACATGCTGCAAGTCACGTGCAGCTACCCCCCTTTAGGAATCGAGCCTTTCGTGATTGGTTGTTTCATTTCATCTTTACTTCTATCATGGAACATTATGGCGTCGCATATTCTGTTAGGTTACGATAGAGGTCGTTGTCCGTTGTCGGTGTTTTGTGGTCAAGAGTTGTAAAACTGCGGAGTTGCAAAATGCATTCAACAGAATAGTAAAAGAAGTACCAAATCAATGTAATTGTCATCTTACAATTGGAACTTTTACATTAATATATTATATATTGTTAACAAAATTAATTAGTTGATATTTATTCTTACGCGAAGTGACAGCATTGGAGTTGTACAGTTATATCGGGGCATTAGGGGGCGCATAAAAATATTCGAATAGAGTACAGAAACTGATACCACCATGAAATTCCATTAAATGCGCGCAATAAAATTAGAATATCTCCCATATATATATATATATAAAACAGAATAACTTTATAATATTAACAATAAATAGAATTCTCACGCGAAGTGTAAATTTTATCGATAATATCGTGATATTTTGTAATATATAAAAATCCAATTATTCAGTGAAGCAAAAACAAAAAAGAACAATATGATCCTTCGACGAAAATCAGCTCACGGTTGCAATTGCCCCTGCCATCAACACTGTTCGACGAAATGTGCAGGTTTGGACCATATACTTTTCTCTACTGCTATCTAAATTAATTTAATACATACAAATATCGCCAATTTCAAAAATTCGAAGTGTGAACAATTCGAGTGATAATCATATTTCCTCTCATTTTTATTTGAATTGTAAAGAGATTATTGATTTATAGGTCTACCCAGTTTGTTTTCACATGACTATGTGTATTACATAAACACAAAAAAATCAATATAATTTATAATTATAAATATCTATTGTAATTTAATTTAACTGATAATTTGAATCATTCAGTTTTATATTATAAATGAGAATATATAATATATTCTTATATATATATATTACATATACATTATACATATATACATAATACATATGAATATATATTGTATACTATATATTTTTGAATATATTTATATCATATATTTAATCACGAATTTTTTGAAATATTTTACAAATAGATTTGGAACAATGTTTTCTGTAGAATATACGTGACATGATCATTCAATGCAGAATGACATATTTTTGTTTAACAATATTAAAAAGAATTTAAACTAGCATTAATTAATTAATTATTTCGATGGTGTATTATTCTTCAACATGTATCCAAATATAATGTGGAGATTTGTTCCATTTATACGGGACTAGTACTGTTATCCCCTCCACAAAATGTTAAGAGCTAGATTCGCCATATCATTAAATGTTGTGCTTTATATTGTTAGCCGGTATTATTAAAATTTACAAGAAATTAATGCCGTGACAACATAAATTTTCAAATGTGGTATTTTTTCAATGATGTTTTGATTAACTTTGCGGAAATAATTCCGATGTTAAACTAAAGGAAGGTAAGTAAAATTTTACTTGCCACATACCCATAAAGATGGAAGGCTATTATGTGTAGTGATTCTCAACTTCATCGTCAATATTTCAAAATAAAAACGCAAGGACAAATTTATCTCTTTGCTGTGTCATTGTTGTTCATTGTAATTTTCTTTATTGTTCTACAGTATAATTTTCGCTCACTTTTTGTTAAATAAATTTAAACAAGTTTTATAATTGCCATATAAACACGCAAAGGAAATTAATCAGCTGATCATTTGTTTAGGATCTTTCAATATGAGATTTACATTGTATATTTTTTAAACACATAACGTTTATTTCTTTTAATTTGTGTGGTTTTATCATTGAACTATTACTGTTTACCAGAACATATAGAGAATTAAAAGATACGTCATTGTATAATATTAAGTGGAATATGGATACTAATTTATGTGAAAAAAATGAAGTAGAAATGAAAGCAGATGTTGTAACATTGCAAGATACTTTATGTAATAAAAACCAAAAGATAGAAGTATCCAATTGTCAATTTATGATTAATGATGAGTTGACATATACACAAATAAAAGAAAAGGTAAGTAAACATCTGTATTAAAGCAATAAAGCAAAAAGAATATTTTTTAATTGTTTTTAATTTTATATTAGTAATGTGTTAATAATCTCTTAATAGCATATTGTCCTGTGTTTCAGCCATATAATATCACCTAAATATCCTCCTATTTGCTGTTACATAAAAAAATGTTTTAGAACAGAGTTATATTATTTCACGATTCTAACAAAGATATGAAATAGTGGATCGTATTTTCTCACTCGATTATTTTTTAATGTAATTTCAGGGTTATTGGTGTATTTTTAAACAAAACACTATATTTTGTTTATTCATCAATTGATACATCTTTTTTTATTAAAGTTTTTTGTGTCTAAAAATGCTTAATATGAAAGTTATTATAATTTTATTTTTATAAAATTTGACGTGTTTTCCTTGTCTTTTATACATTAAATTAAATGAAATTAAAATTAAGTTATATTTTAAAAGTGCTTTGCTTCTGTTTTGGATTGATTGTTATATAATAAAATATAGAGTTTCATTTAAAATCGGATCAATAATCTTGAAATTTTCGTAAAAAAAAACAACAGAAAAAATTCTTTTTACTATTGCATATCTTCTTTGAAACAACTTTGTTCTGAAAAGTTTTTCATACAACAGTAAATAAAACAGTATTTATGTGATATTATTTAGCTGAGACATGTCATGTAAAAGATTTTTATATTACAGAAAACACGTACAGATGCAACAAGTAGTACCTTCAAGCCAAAGAAGAATGTGGCAAAAATGAAAATGAAGAAACATAAAAGTGGAAGAGAATCAAATTATGAACCCACAAAGTTAGAAAATAGTCTAACTGAAGTATTAGAAAGATTTAAAAGAGGATGCGAGTGTCAGGATGACCAGTGCTTTAAAGGCTTAAATCCTGAAACAGTATATCGTCATAGATTGAATATTGCAGAATTAACCAAGGCTGAACATGATATGTATTTAATGGGTGTTACCATGGCTTGTTTAACGAATCCATATGAAACAGCAAGACACACAGAAAGGCGTAGATTACGTGCACAATATGTATATCAGGGTAGAAGAGTATGTTTAGATGCTTTTTTGTATTTAGAGAACTGTACACATTATCAAATAAAACGAATTAGGAAACATTTAATGACGCATGGTGTCACTCCACGAGTTCATGGGAATCATGGGAAAATTCCTCATAATACATTTTCTTTAGATATCTATAAAATTGCAACAGAATTTTTGAAAAATTTTATTGAATTGCAAGAAACAAAACAAAAGACAAAAATTGCAAAGAATGCACAGTTACATCTTCCATCAGACATTACACGTAAAATAGTATATGATTCTTATATACAGTATTGTAGAAAAATGTCTCCTGATATAAAAATAATGGGGTATTCAACATTTAGAAGATTTATGAAAGTTCAATTTCCACAAGTAAAATTTGCTAAATTAGAATTTATGATTAGGAATCAGAATATACAGAATCAAGGATGTACTAAAACTGACTTAGAAAAAAAAGATATAACTGATAACGGAGCATCTGACTCAGCAGATCTGATAACAGAAGGCAGTGCCTTATTACCTTTATTAATTGCTAATGAAACAGGACAAAGTGATACTTATTTTTTAACACCAATTAGCAAACTACAAGATGGTATGAGTTATCAAATAACTACAAGTGGACTTCTAGTCAATAAACCAGCTTTACCTGTCTAAGACAAATGATATTTGAAACAAAGATAGTAATTTAAAATATATAAATATAAAACAAATATTTAAATGATATTTTAATCATTAGATTTTATAAAATGACAGTATAAATGTAGTAAAATAGACATTTTCTTTGTATGTTTATATTGTCATAATTAAAAAATATCATATTTGAGATAGCTTAAGTCTTCAAGAAATAATGTATTAACGATTTTTATTGGTTTATAAAAATTTACTCATTAATTATTAAATATTTTATTTCTATAAAAAAAAGTGAATCATAATATATGATTTACGTGTGATTGTGTTATGTAGTGACATTTGTAATCTGTAAAACAAATATATAATAAATGTTATGTATAATAAATAATTTATATTTTTATAATTTATGAGTTTTTTCTTTTTATATCCTCTTACACTCATTGTAGAGAACAAGAATAGTATTAAAACGCAGAAATTTTAATTATACTCTAGAATTTAATTCTAATATGTAAATCAAGAAATTAGAATATCAGTAATACAGTGTTTCTCAAATCACTTTTCAAAAATAATATATTATAAATTAAATTGTTAATATTAGATAAAATTTAAAAACAATATATTAGAATTAAATATTTAAATCACAAAAAAGGAAAATTGTGCAAGCAAGTATTAAACCTTGTTATTTAAAACAATGAAACATAAATTTAATTCAACAAATTATATATTGTACATTTATTTTGGAATATCTTTTGTTATTAATGTATTTTTTATTATAGTTCATTAATATATCTTTTATTCTAAATAAGATTTATTTTTCTATAAAAGGATATTTTATAATTAAATTAATGTTAATTTAAAGTTTGAGAGCCTCTTATTTTACAGTTATAGCTGAAATACTGTAGATATAGCAGGAAACTGTTTTAGTTAGTTGGAATCAGCAAGGTCAGCAAGTGCACATTGAGATCTCACATTGACATATAGGAAATATTGCATAAGTGATTATCAATACAATTGTATATAATTTTATTAAAATACTCAGTTTAAATAACTATATAATTGTTTAAACAATTATTTTTATTCATAATTATTCATATTTTTATTTACAAATTGTACAATTGTACTATATGTTAAATATGATAGAAACATAAGATGTATGCTTATATTTTAAAATATGTAATTCATTGGTTTTATATTTGTTAGATGATGTAGAGAGTATGACAGGTGAAATTGAAAATGGAGATTTGGCAATCCGGGATGTTGCAGACCTTCTTCAATCACAGTATGCTATTATAGCAGGTGAGTAAACATTTGAAATTTTATTAAATTTCAAATTTAACTATTGCTTTTTCTAAATAACATGTTTCACATATACAGGTGGAAAAACTCGAGAAGGATGTCCCATAATTACTTTTCCAGATAATGGTAATTTTCATAATTTATCTGACTTGGATTACCAACGTCTCATGTTGTATCTTACATCTGTGCCAACGTAAGATTTCAGTCTTTTATTGTTATTAATAAATATTTATATATTTATTTGTATAAAATAATAATTATATGTTGGGAAAGTTATTTAATAAAACCTAATAATTTTTAGATTACAAGAAGCTGACCTTGGATTTCACTTAATAATTGATAGAAGAAATGATAAATGGAACTCTGTAAAAACTGTATTATTAAAGATTTCTGTAAGCATATACATATATATTAATTCACACAGTGATGATATAATAAAAAGTTTTAACGCAATTATTTTATATTATAGGGTTTTTTCCCTGGTTTAGTTCATGTAGCATATGTTTTGCGTCCAGCTGGATTTTTACAAAAAGCTATTTCAGAAGTATCAAACAAGCTGTTTAGAGAAGATTTCAAATTTAGAGTTATATTTTTAGCAAATGTTACTGAACTCCATGAATTCATAGATAAAGATCAACTAACTGAACAACTGGGTGGTACCTTGCCATATTGTCATCATACTTGGATACAGAATAGAATTGTAAGTAAAATCATAAAAATAATACAAAAATAACCATTTATTCAATTAAAAAAATTTTCAGAGTTTAGAAAAATTTTCATCAATGACTCAAGACGTATCTCTCGCATTAGATTCTTTCACCCGGCGTTTGGCCGAAATTGAATTTCCTAATAATACAGTTGCAACTACATCTTTACTATCTCAACAACAAATAGAATATAATGAATTAAAAGAAGAAATTCTTAGTGCTGCAAGACATGGTGAAGCACTATTGGATAGTGTAAGGCAATTAACTGGCAAGGGAACAGCTGATAGATTAGGAAATGTTGCAGCAATAGAAAGGTATAAAATATAGTTTGATACTGAAATTTGACACTGATGAAATTACAACTATTTTTATTTATTGGAAAAAAGAATTAAAAACTGTTATTTATTTTTAGATTACTTGTTCAATTGGAAGAAACAGAACGTACTTTTGACTTGTTTTGGACACATCATAGCTCTCGTTTGAGACACTGCTTAGCATTAAGACAATTTGAAGCAGACTTCAGAGAGCTGCAAGCAACATTAGATCAACATTTAAAAACTATAGAAGAAATGACAGAAGTAGGAGAAACTCAAGCAAGAATCGAGCAGTTACTTTGTGACACATCAGCATTTCAAAGAATATGTAGAGTATGTACCTTTATTTATACATGTGTATATATACATATATATATGCATATTACTTTTTATTATTAAACAAATGTACATTCTAACGTATACAAAACAACAGAAGTACACAAACAGTAAAATTAAGCCATTCTGTTTAAATAAAAATAATTAGTAATCTAGGACAATAATATTAAAAAATACTTATATGTAAAACAATTATTTATATCACTATAAATTATATATAACTAATGAAATGATATAATGAAAGGAATACAAGCAATATTAATATTAACAGCTTTAAGTTTGAGAATGTTCACAATGCACTTAAGGCAGCAAGGTATAATATTCAAACCAGTATTACAAAGCATTCATTTTTTTTTTAAATTATTCAAACTCTGTTAAAAAAATTTTATGGAAATTCTGGTTTGAATAATATTTATATGTAGATACACATACATATAATGCACATCATGCACAAATGTTATTTTGCACCGCTTTCCTCATTTTGTCGATAGTCCTATTTGTTGCATACCATGTGGATTTGGGTCTTGGTAAGCAATCCACTCAACAAAATACATATATTTTGTGATAGATTTCAATTTTTAAAAATACGATAATAATAATTTAGTATTTCAATTTTTCAATTCTATTTATCATATCTTTAAATGCAGTAAAAAAAGTTATTACATATAACTTACATATAATTTATGGGTTTGTGAATTAAATCTCTATCAAATTTTTAATTATATCAAATGCGTATACGCATTCAAACTTTAAAAATACCTTATTACGAAACAAAAAATAGGGATTTAATTCATGCCTTATACTGGCATGATGGACTTTGAGAATGAATGTCATTGTTATTTCTCATTTTACACTGCACGTAAGATAGTATCTTTTTTTAAAATACTTTTTTAGACTAAACAATGACAATTGATGAAAAAATTTGATAACTGTTTGTAGTTTTCTTATTAATGTTATTTTTATATTTATAGACATAAATAAAGTTACATAAATTTATAGGGAGATATAGAACGAGCGGAGGAGGTAATATCTGCTGGTCAACAGCTATTATCTGGAAGACATCAATGTCCTACAGATGTTGTAGAACCAAAATGCGTTGAACTACAAAGAATTTGTACCATTCTAAGTCAAAAATTAGAAAGACGATTACATATGTTAACTAAATGCAGGGAACTTATGGAACGTATAGACAAGGTAATTATTTGGAAATTAGCTGAAACAAAGTTATGGAATGTATAGACAAGGTAATTATTGGAAATTAGCTGAAACAAAGTCTATTTTTAATTATATATATAATAGGCAAACACATGGTGTACACGTGGTATAGAATTACTTGCATCACAAAATAACACGACACCACCTGATCAAGCACTTCAGGAGTTACAAGAGTTAATAGAAGCTGCTGAAGAATTTCATCATCCTAGATGTATTTTTCAAGATTCTGTAATGCCTGAAACTAAGGCTCTCATTAGTCAAGTATGTATTTCTTGTAAATAAAATTTTTTTTAAAATTATTTTACTTATAAAATAAATTCTTAGGTTTTACAAAGAATAGAAGATGTGTCTTTAATGTGTGATAAAAGAATAATGACATTAAAACAGCAATTAATTAAACCAGCAAGGCCAGTTCAAACTGTAACACCTGAACCAGTTAAACCATTACAATCACTGCCTCAAATTGTTAAACCTGGAAGAATTCTTAAAAAGGCTAACACTATGCCAAAGGTAAATTTTATTTAATTTTCTCTTTAATTATTGTACTTCATTGATTATATTTTTTTTAGATGGAGATGAGTCCTATAGAAGGGGAATCTTCATCTCCAGAAAGTGAATCTAAAGACGCAGAAGCTTTACGTTTAAAGCGTGGGCATGTTTTAGCCGAATTAGTTGAAACCGAACGAATCTATGTTGCTGAATTAGGTTCTATAATTAAAGGTTACAAAATGGAATTAACAAATGAAGCAATGGCTCATTTAGTACCAACGGCATTAATAGGCAAAGGAGATATTTTATTTGGAAACTTAGAAGATATTTACATTTTTCACGGGGAAACATTTTTGAAAGATTTAGAAAATTGTATTTCAAATACTGAACTTGTTGCATTATGTTTTGTACAAAGGGTAAGTATCTATGTATTCAATTTTAATCAGTTAATAAAAAATTAATATAAATATTTTTAATATGAAATATATTTATTTTTAGCGCGAGGTGTTCTTTAGATTATATAGTTACTATTGTCAAAATATCCCGAGATCCGAAAGATTGCGAGAACAGATACAAAATGAACCACAGTTTCTTACAACTTGTCAACAAAGACTTGGTCACAAATTACCTCTTGCTGCATATCTCCTAAAGCCTGTTCAACGTATAACAAAATACCAATTGTTATTGAAAGATCTCTTAAAATATAGCGATGAACCATCATGTTGTACTGAATTACAAGAAGCATTAGATTGTATGCTTGTTGTATTAAAGTGCGTTAACGATAGTATGCATCAGACTGCAATTACTGGATTTGGTGTAAATACAATATTATTTACAAATTTTTGTTATCTCATTCAATGATATTATGTTAAGAATTGATATTCTTCTTAGGGTGATCTAAATGCACAAGGTGAACTGTTATTGCAAGGTTCTTTCAGTGTATGGAGTAGTAGTAAACGAGAGCGACTTCTCAGGTTAAAACCATCACAGCGACATATATTCTTATATGAAAAGGCTCTTATATTTTGTAAACATAGTAAACCACAAGCTCATGACAAAGCTACATACCACTTCAAGAGATATCTAAAAGTAACTTTTAATAACTTTGTTTTTTCTTTTTTTTATTAATTTTTTTTTTTATGTGTAGAAAATATAATTTTATTTTTCATTAGATGTCACAAATTGGACTAACAGAATCAGTAAAGGGCGATGCAAGACGTTTTGAAATTTGGCTACAAGGTCGAGCTGAAGTACATACAATACAAGCACCTACCGTTGATGTGAAGCAATCTTGGGTGCGTCAAATTAAAGGCGTTTTAATGTCTCAATTAGCTGAACTTAAAGGGAAACAGAATTCTGCTCTTGGAAAAACCAATCACAAGTATATATCATTATTTATAGAACTTAAATTAAATTAAATTAAAAACTCTAATGATGATAATAATTTTGCCCAAAATATTTGTAGACCCTTGCGGCAAACAATTTCCTGGGAAGCTCAAGGCAGCGTTTCAGGGTCTTTGAGAACACTTTCAGTTGATGGTAGTAGTGTTATATCACATATTACAGATATTTCACAATCAACTGAAGATGATGTCGCATGGAGTTCGGAAAACAGTAATACTGATGATGAAGATGCTTTCAGTGAAAATCCTGGTCCTGCTCCTGTAAGTTTCATTTAGATATTTAGATAAAATTAATTTGCTATTAAGAGCAGAGCTATAGTTAAAACTTTTAGAGTTAAAAGTTAATACGCTATAAATTTTATATCCAATTAGGGTGGAAGATACGTAGCATTAGCTGATTATTGCGCAGTTGGTCAATCAGAAGTTACAATGCGCGAGGGAGATAATTTAGAACTTCTTAAAGTTGGATGTGCTGGTTGGTGGTTTGTAAAATTAATAAACACTGGAATAGAAGGATGGGCACCAGCAGCTTATCTGGAACCAATGAATCGAAAGACTTCGCGTAGCTCGCAATCAGTGAATAGTCAAGAAACTATATGAAACAGGCGTCTAACACACTAGATTTTCCTAGTGTGTTAGATTCAAGCATGTATTTAAAGGGTAGCACTTGTTGGGGTGTAGTATTAACAATCACGTATTGGGAGATTTTATAATGCATACAAAAATATAGATAAGACTCGGAAATTTTTCATAATATACATTCATCAATGTAATTAAATTTGTTTTAAATTGTACGATATAGCAATATGTATTTAATCGATTATAATTAATCTGTGAATAATTATAGTTATATATAACTAGAAATGAAAAATTAGACGAGAAGAAATTTAAGATACTAACTTGATTATTTGATTCTCTATAAAAAAAATATAAATAAATATAAACGAGAAATCAAAGAATGAAGAAATGCATGAACTTTTTTACTACATAAAGAATGTTACGAGAAAATTTGTTGATGAAAGTGCTTTATGCAAGCAAATAAAATTTGCATTTACTATATAATATTAACTAGATTTATTCTTACAAAAGAATAATATTTATAGAATTGTATAAAACGTATTTGGATAGTGGATTAAAAAGTTTATGCACGCACATATGCATATTTACATATACGTACAATACTATAAAATTACTATAAGTTATTTATATTGATTTATATTTAACTCTTTTCTTTGTATTTTCCAATATTGCAAAGAAAATAACTATAATAAGATGCAATCATTTCGATCACATAGTTACTACTTCCAAAAGTTACATTAGAAATTACAATCTATAAAATTTGTCTATACTTGTGATCTGTATAATATTTGATTATATGCAAATATTCCAAAGTTTATATTAGATTTGGGATATTTTAGTTTTGTATTATTAGTCAATATTGAAATAAGAAAGCTTATGTATAAATACATGGAAAAATCAGATATATCTGTATTATATTTATAAAATATTTAGTAAAATTATGTAGGTACACTATGGTTTAATAATATACAAAATTTATTTATATATTTATTATATTATCAACATTGCATTTATTTTCAAAAATAATTTAGTATATTGTTTCCAATACAGAAAAAATTTAGAATATTTGTAACTTATTGGAAACTAACTAAAAAATCTTTAAAATTAAAATAAATATACAAGTATTTATTTAATACTTCGTCGAATGAAGTATAAAAATTTAGCAGAACTTTGTTGACATATTAATATAGATAAAATAGAGAATATACTGTTAATAAATCTTTGTGACCAAACAGCTTGATATTAGTACTATTTTAGTATATAACAAATAGCTTATTTCAAATATTTAATGAAAAGGAAACGAAATATTATAGAATATTAAGTAATATATACACAAGTTTTCAAAGGTATAAAAATTAACACCAAACATTGTGCAATATATAGTACTGTAATAAACTTTAGAATATAATATTTCAAAAAAAGCAATTTTAACAGAATTGGTAATTTATGAATTTCTTAAATATTTAATGATGATAAAGTAGGTATAATATAATTTATACTGAAAATTTATATATGGATATAACACTAAATAAGAAATTTATGTTATGAATTAATATTTTTCTTTCATAGGTAAATGTGCAATAATTATGTTTATTTTATGATTAAAATTATAATTTATATTACTTATTTATACATAACAAAACTATTGTGATTATAAGATATACATGTTGAGTACAAATAATTTATTTTAGTAATATGGCCATTATTGAAATAAATTTATGTTATAATATAATATAGTCACCATAATAAATATTATATTTGAATAATTTGAAAATAAGATTAATAGTTACATTGTTAATGGTTTACTAATAGATGTTAATTTTTGACCAAAGAAAATTGTATATCTTCTTCTTTGGTAAAATATGACGAAGAAGATACTATTATAATTTATAATTTTAAAAAGTATTATGTTATGCAAAATTAATTACTTTTATTTTATTATTTATCATTTTTATCCACTTTCACGCCGTCCTAATATCGACTAGTATACTTATAGAATTTTATCAAGTAAATTATTTTATTTAATATTTAATGTATAATTTATCTTATACATTTTTTAAAAATATAAAGTATATTCAGATACAGCAATATTGATAATTGAGTGTACAAATATTTACAATGTACAAACAATTTTAAATCTGATTATACTTTTTATTAAAAAAGTAATTACAAGTTTTACTTTTCATTATTTATATTTTTCATCAGATTTTTGTATTGTAATATATATCCTAGTAGAAAAAAGCAAATAAATATTTAGGTTATTAGAATTTTTTGTAGATAATATTAAATTAATACATAGACAATAATTATATGTCAAATGTGGAATGATTCTGTTACGAATGTATTAAGGGTATAATAATAATTTTTAAAGCAAATGAAGCAATGTTACTTATTTTTAGAAAAGAAAACAGAATGATATTAATGAAAGAAAAATGTTTATTCTTTACAATATTAATAGAATTATGATATAATGATTAAAAATGTTCTTAGAAATATTAGATTTGTTTTCAAAATAGAAATCTGAAATTAATTTAAAAAAGGAAATTTATGCCAGAAATTTTGTATGTTAGCTTTAATAAAAAATTTCCTTTGTTATTCTTTTAAGGTAAATTTAATATAATTTATTTTTCCACAAGAATAACGAAAAATAATAATTTATATATGATTAAAATTAGGCATTAAGAACAAACTTGTCAAACATTTTAGTAAAAAATTAATTCAGATAACAATTTTCTGTTGAAATAATGAAATTTTGTTTCAACCTTAGTCAAGCTGAAATTGATAATAATAATAATAATAATAATAATAATAATAATAATAATAATAATAATAATAATAATAATAATAATGTACTTATTATGTTTAAATTAACAGCCATAAAAGTCATAGTTTTTAATAATTCTAGACCATGTTAAAACTGGTGTAATTAGTATTGTATTTTGTTTAATGTATTTTGTGCGTGTTTATTAATATAATACAATAAGATAAAACTATATATGAGCTCATAAAATAATTTCTCCTCTTTAATTTGTATCTAGTTTATTTTTTAATTTCGCGATAGAAATATATAAATATGCTTTAAATATGATTATATATATAATATATGTATAAAATGTTATTCTAGATTTTCCAATATTTGTGTTTTTTAGTAAACATTGTTAAATAAATATAAAATAAAATTTCATATTTGTTGATTATCACAATTAAGTAATTTTATAATATCCGAAATCCAAATTTAAATTTAAATTTACGGCCAAATTCGATTTAAATCGATATTAATTTAAACAAGAAACGATAGATGAGGCAAGTATATACACGACGAACCATTTCACTGTACTCTTTCAGAAGACGGAAGGAACTGATTTATTTGTCACTGGTCACGCTGTGTGTAATAGTGACTTATATTTTTAATAGTGGCCTTTAATATAATCATTTTCGTAAATTTCTTTAAGTTTTATTGTTAAGTTTCATTAAAAGAGTGGTCGATTAACAAAAAAAAAAAAAAAAAAAAAAAAAAAATGGCTCCGCGTGCAGAAGCAGTACCGAAAGAAATTTCAGAGGTTCCAAAAAATGTGCCGACTAGAGGAATTAATGCAGTTTTATTAGGTCCACCTGGTTGCGGTAAGGGTACACAGGTGAAATTAATTTTTTAACGAAAATTTCAACTCATAGGTTTAAAATATTAATATGAATTATTTAATTATTTAATCAAATACCAATTGTATTTTAGGCTCCACTATTGAAAGAACGATATTGTGTATGCCATCTATCCACAGGTGATATGCTTAGAGCAGAAATCAATTCTGGATCCCCTATTGGAACAGAAATTAAAAAAGTAATGGATGAGGGTAAATTAGTTAGTGATGATCTTGTAGTTAATATGATTGATAGTAATCTAGACAAACCTGAATGTAAACGTGGTTTTTTATTGGATGGTTTTCCTAGAAGCGTTCCACAAGCTGAAAAAGTAAGCTTTATTTTTTCAAAATGATACCCAAATAACTTAAAATTAACGTCATTAATGATAGTTTATTCTGATTCAATTTGCCGAGGTTATCAATGACCTTGAAATAACATTGAGATAAGAATATAAAACAATGTATTTTTTTTATTAAATTCATAATATCTTTTCTATTAAAATAGCTTGATGAAATGTTGAAAAAGAGACAAACTAAATTAGATGCTGTCATAGAATTTGGGATTGATGATAATCTATTGATAAAGAGAATCACAGGGCGTTTAATACATCCTGCAAGTGGCAGATCATACCATGAAGAATTTTCTCCTCCTAAAGAACATATGAAAGATGATGTAATTAATAATGACTATTTTTATTAAATCATTTACAAATTAAATTCAAAAATATATAGAGCAATAAATAATTTTTTGTTAATAGATTACTGGAGAACCATTAATTAAAAGATCTGATGATAATGCAGAAGCATTGGGGAAACGATTAGCAACATATCATACACAAACTCAACCTTTGATTGACTATTATGCTTTACAAGGGATTCATTATTATGTTAATGCAGCTCAATCTCCTACAAACGTTTTTAAAGACATTGATCGCATTTTTTTAAAAAACACTAAAGAAGAGAAAAAGAAAGGCCTTTTCAGTTGGCTTTTTTAAGGTGTTGAATGAAAAAATATACCTTGTTTTCCTTTTACAAACAAAATGGGCAATATGTAGTTAATGGAAAAATAGTTTCAATATTAAATGACTTCTGACTAAATTTAGCAATTTAGATATATGATTTTTAGTTTAAAAACAATTTAAGCTATTTTTAGTCAGTACAGTATGTATTTTTTGAATAACTAATTGATTGGAAAATATTAAGCAAAAGAGAAGAAAGTAAAAGTGATATTTCATTGGTTAAATTGCAAATAATATATATGTTAAAAAATGAAATGTTATAAGCAAATAGTTCAAAGCACACATTTTAATAATAGAACGAATTTGATATAATATTTTCATATATAATTGAATCATTTAATTGCATAAGGTAATGTATGTATATATAATGGGAGACATCATTTTTTTGTTTAAATTTATCATAGAATATATTTGTATTGCTTTCTATTTTGTCACCTTGATATTCTTTGCTATTTCTTAAAGCTTTTATAAGATTCTTTGCATAAAATATGTCATTCTTTAATTTTGTTGACTGGAATTTATATTTAGGAATTTTTAGTACAAGAAAAAAGATTTATTCAATAATTAAAATATTTAAATATAAAATGTAAATATTAATTAATAACACAAAATTTTAAAAGGAATTTGCTTCAGTGTTATTTCTTATGTAAGACTTGATAAAAGCATAATTTTTGAACTCAAGTGATAAAATAGTGCATTTTAACATACCAAACAGTTTTAATAAAATGCTTTATTGATATATATATATATATATACACATATATTTTATACGCACACATGTTTTTATATATTTTGATTAATAAATTTTATTTAGATAAAGCTGTATAAATAGAAGGCACTAAATATTTTAAGATACATTACTAAAATATTGAAAATATAAAAATGTCTATACATCCTTAGACACAGATAATTTTCCTAAATGGCTATAAAATGAAGTGTAATATATATTTTGAAACCTATTTTCCACATAATTCAAAGTAACACAAATATATTATAGAATTTCCACCTCAAAAAATGAATGTATATCTGAAAATATAGAATAAAATTTCTAATATACTGAAATATTTGATGTGGTTTCTTCCGAAAAAAGAACAAAAATGTGAATATATGCAATAAAATATATGTGAAAAAGTATGAAGGAAATTGTAATGGTTAAAACTGCGCGGCAAACGCCTGAAGAGCGCTGCTTAAATGTATCGCGCATGTGCACAGATTACCAATTGTTCGTGAGTTTCGTCAGAAGCAAGGTTTGAGATAAATAAGTTTTTCCGCTTGTCGAACAGAGGGATAAAGAGGTAGAACGAAGAGGGAGAATTCTTTCAGTTTTTCAGTGGAAAACTGTGTTTTCCGTGTGCTGAGGGCCGGTGGCCGAGTGATGCACGCATATGTCTAGGCTCGGGGGGACTCAGGTTCTAGCCACAGCACAAGTGAAGAGGACGGCCGCTGATCACGCAGCGGTATTAAACTTTGGTGCTGCAAAACGCAGCAAGCTGTCCGCCGTTGCGGTCACTGAGATCAACGAGATTGAAAACATGACGGACACAGCTGCAACCACAACTGATACTCAAAAGAGAGCCAATTTCTCGGCTTTAACCGTTGGAAATCCAAACGGCGTCAACAAGATTTCACCAAGTTTGGCAAGTGCAAAACCTGGCACAGCTAGAAAGCTCGTCATCAAAAACTTCAAAAGTAAGCAAGACCATGGGACTACCTAACCTCAAAATCAGCTGCTACCATTCGTGAAGATTCGTGGTGTAATTTATGGTTGGCAATGTGCCTTCGTGAATTGCAACATTATTTTTAATACGACTTCAGTACTTTTGTAACACTCTTTCCCCCCGTGTTCCTTAGCCAAGGCCGAATTAGTCATAAATGCGATTAATAAAACCAAGCTAACATAACCTAACTTGACATCATGAAAAACCAAACTGGATAAATATCTTTAAAAGACGTATTATTTGCTTCTTATGCATTTATCAGACAATGATCGTGTAATTAATCAAAAATATCAATTCGTATATATACGTCTTTAATTTTATTATAGATTAATTAAAAATAATGAATGAACTATTTCAACAATGATAGAATAGCGTTATTTGAGAATGTAATTATAGTTTGATTTTATTTTCTCTTTCTACAATAAATTATTTTAAAAAAGGAATGCCAAAAATAAACCTATTAGCTCACAATAATTATAAAAAATATATTAATTTGATAAATATATTGATTTGAATTGAATATTTCTCTACTATTAATCTCACTGTATATGTGACCAACTACATATAAAATTTATTAATATTATAGTTATTAATTTTATTATAGAATATCATCAAAGTATATTAAAGAGAATTATATGTATATAAATTATTATATATTAATATAGTATATATATAAACTTTTCTGAAAATAATAGTCATAAAAATAGTAATAAGTATAAATATTTAAAAAATTATATATTTTCTGTAGATAAACCAAAATTGCCAGAAAATTATCAAGAACAAACATGGGAAAAATTACAAGAAGCTGTAATTGCAATACAAACCAGTAAGAGTATCCGTTATTCGTTAGAAGAGCTTTATCAGGCAGTAGAAAATATGTGTAATCATAAAATGGCATCTACATTATATACAAAGTTAACAAGGTTAACAGAAGCTCATGTGCAAGCAAATATAGAACAGTTTTTAGCAGAATCAATGGACAGGCATATATTCTTAAAAAAAATGAATGAATGTTGGCAATCACATTGTAGGCAAATGATTATGATTAGAAGTATTTTTCTATATTTGGATAGAACATATGTATTACAAAATCCAAGTATTTTATCTATTTGGTATGTTTAAAAATTTTTAAAACATTAAAAGTATTAAAAACATTCTTTATGCAATTTGCTCAGTATTTACATTATTTTAGGGATATGGGCTTACATTTGTTTAGAGTATATATCGTTCTAAATAATTTAGTTCAAACACGTACAGTGGAAGGATTACTTATGCTTATTGAAAAAGAGCGTCAAGGTGATACAGTGGATAGGACACTTCTTAAATCATTGTTACGAATGTTATCAGATCTACAAATTTACCAAGATGCCTTTGAAACTAAGTATGAATCTCTATTAAATATTAGTACAAATTGAAATAATTTGTATCTCTCATTAAATTTTGTTTTTGATAGATTTTTGGTTGCCACTGAAAGATTATATGCCGCTGAAGGTCAACGATTAATGAATGAACATGATGTTCCTGAGTACTTAGCACACGTGGATAAACGGCTTCAAGAGGAAAATGAACGTTTGTTACATTATCTCGATGCATCAACAAAGTAAATATTTAGTTTGTACATATTGACATTTGATATTGTAACTATAATATCGTTATTAATTTGTTACAGGTGGTCATTGATACACACAGTGGAAAAGCAGTTATTATCTGAACATATTACTAGCATTTTACAAAAAGGATTAAGTGGTTTGCTGGATGAAAATAGAATTAATGATTTATCTTTACTTTATAATTTATATAGTCGAGTGAAAAACGGCCTTGTAGAACTTTGTCTAAATTTTAATTCTTATATTAAGGTATTTTAAGTTTTCTTAAAGAATGTTATTCTAAAACCAAATCAAGTAGATACATTTTTTGTTTTTTTTTTCACAGAAAAAGGGTAAAACTATAGTTATAGACCCTGAGAAAGATAAAACTATGGTTCAAGAACTTTTAGACTTTAAAGATAAGATGGATAATATAGTTAACACATGTTTTCATAAAAACGAAAAGTTTGCGAACAGTTTAAAAGAAGCTTTTGAAGCCTTTATTAACCAACGTGCAAACAAACCTGCTGAATTAATAGGTAATAGAGCTTTCTTAAAATAATAACATTGATATTTGTGTATTAACTACTTGTGTATTTGCAGCGAAATTCGTTGATTGCAAGTTAAGGGCGGGCAATAAAGAAGCGACGGAAGAAGAATTAGAGAGATTATTAGATAAAATCATGGTATTATTTAGATTTATACATGGAAAAGATGTGTTTGAGGCATTTTATAAAAAAGATTTGGCTAAACGTTTATTAGTTGGAAAATCAGCTTCTGTTGATGCTGAAAAATCCATGTTATCCAAATTGAAACAAGAATGTGGTGGTGGTTTTACCAGTAAATTGGAAGGAATGTTCAAAGATATGGAACTTAGTAAAGATATAAATATTGCTTTTAAACAGGTAAGTATTGTATTTATATTTAATAATATATTTTTAACTTGAAATACAAATTTTATCTATACGTTAATTATTATAAAATTATAAATAATTATAAAATTTTATGCTATGAATTAGTATGCAGGGAATTTGCAAAGTGAATTATCTGCTAGTAATTTGGATTTAACTGTTTCAATACTTACAATGGGTTATTGGCCGACATATCCTGTAATGGAAGTAACATTACCGCCAGAAATGGTTCAATATCAAGATGTATTTAATAAATTTTATTTGGGAAAGCATAGTGGTAGAAAATTGCAATGGCAACCTACTTTAGGACACTGTGTATTAAAAGCTTGGTTTAATCAGGTATTATTACAATATTATAATAAATTTATCTTAAATAGTTGCATTAAATATAGTATTCCATAAAAATATTTTCAAAATAGGGTAATAAAGAACTTCAAGTTTCATTATTTCAAGCATTAGTATTAATTTTATTTAATGATGCCGATAACTTGTCTCTGGAGGATATAAAAGCAGCAACAAATATAGAAGATGGTGAACTTAGAAGAACTTTACAATCTTTAGCTTGTGGAAAAGCAAGAGTATTACAAAAAAATCCAAGGGGAAGAGATGTTGCAGATAATGATAGATTTGTTTTTAATGCAGATTTTACAAATAAATTATTCAGAATTAAAATAAATCAAATTCAAATGAAAGAAACGGTATAGAATAATTCCTTAAATATTTTTTTGTATAATGTTGATTTTTAAAATATATCATTTATTAATTTTTTTAGAATGAGGAACAAAAAGCTACAGAGGAAAGAGTATATCAGGATAGACAGTATCAGATAGATGCAGCTATTGTTAGAATTATGAAAATGAGAAAAACACTTTCACACAATTTGTTGATTAGTGAATTATACAATCAGCTAAAATTTCCTGTAAAGGTATATCATTGATTTATAAAATAATTTAAAATAATATTAAATTAAAATTTAAATATTTGAAGGACATATAATTACATATAGGAAATTGTTTTCAGCCTGCAGATTTAAAAAAGAGAATTGAATCTTTAATAGATAGGGATTACATGGAACGAGATAAAGATAATGCAAATGAATACAATTACGTTGCATAACCTGAACCAAATGCCAAAGTCATATTAGACTGGATGGTCACTGTGTTTCATAGCAAAAAAACCAATTTGTTTTGGTGTTTGCCTATTGTGAATGTGACATGTTAAATAAGAAAAAAATGGAAAACTTAAAACTGATTGACTGTTGGTACAATATTGCATCATGTGGTCAGTTGATTAAAAAATTTAGAGTGGACACTATTAATTCAGGTTTTATAGTGCGTAATGAATACTGAACAATTAAGATCTTTTTTCAAATAGTGCTTTATCGTTGTTATTGTTTTGTTTCTGAATTTCGCTAAAAAAGGACCATGTGCAAAATACCTTAAATGATACAGCATTTAAAAAATATATCAAGAATTTTTTATGCAGAACAATTTTTCACAGCATATGGATTTAAGAAGATAACATAATAAGAATATTCTAAGAATTAAAAAAAGAAGCGATGATTGAAAGTGAACAGGAATGCGTTATTTACAGAAAATAGAAGATAATGTGCTATGAATGTTGAACCTACTGATCATTGAAATAATTTTGAACAAGTGGAACTGCATTATAAAATAAAGGTTCGTGTATTGAATATATTCACTATATGAAAAAATACTTCATTACCGAATTTTAGAAATGTTGAAAAGAAAAATATAAGACACTATGGTATGTGCATATTGAAAAAATGAACGCCAAAATATTTGAAAAAATCTTATTAAGGACATAATATTATGAATTTCTATAACAAATTTTTGTACATTACCTTATAATACAGAGTTTATGAATAAGAGAAATTACACAATTTGTACAAATGATGTCCATTTTTGTCAAAACAATAGGAAAGCAATATATATATATATATATACACACACACACACACACACAATAAATTTGATAATATGTAATATGAAACACTTTTCAAATGAATTTTATTTTATTTTATTTATAAACTATGTATTAGAACTAGTATTTTATTTAAAACAATTTTCTGTATCAATAAATAATTTTGCTTGTTTATATAATATAAAGTGTAAACAGTAAAAAGTGTTTCATATTACTGTAAAATGATAAATGCTCTGCCATTAGCTTTACAATTTTTACTATAAAATTACTACTTAAACATGAATACAAATAATATGATACTTAATTACTTTTTGCATATCCTTTGAGTGAATCATAGTTTAATAAAGTACAGGTTTAAAGTTGTATATATCTTTTATCTTCTATCTTTGTATTCAAATTAAAAATTAGTGATACAAATTTACTCTTGATTAATTATGAATTTGTTTCACTTGTATCGTAAAGTCGAAGCTAATTAAAATTATGAAGTTTTAATAATTTTATTTAAAATAAATTTTTTAAATTTATATATTTCAATATTGTACTGCGCTGTAATTATGCTCTATGAAAAGTATCAGAAATCTGAAGAAACATATGTTGTGCTCCTAATAATTTATTTATGATTCCAATATACATTTCGTTGTAAATTAATTATAATTCTTTATAATTTTGTATAACTCTGTATTACAAGGTTATTTCACAAATGATTGTTAAAGAAATAATTTATAATTAATGTAAATGCTGTGCAAAATAAAATTTCTAGAAAGGTAAAATATAAATGAAATTACTGTAACTATATTAAATCGAATACAGAATTTCTTACTGTCTCTTTTAGTCTAATTTAAAAAGAAAGACAGTGATTATTGTAAAAAAAAAAGGTCCAGCGCTTTTTTGTGAATACAAATATCTAGTTATATTCCGTAAACTATATAAGAAAACACTTCCAGAAAAAAAGTAAACAGAATTTCGTAATGTAGAGGTCGATTAAAAAATATGTATGTATATATATATATATATATATATATATATATATATAGATATAGATATTATTATTATTATTATTATATTATTATTATTATTATTATTATTAATAGAATCGATAAGATTTTGATTATTCAGTGACTTGTTTAGTCATTTTATGTCGATGTGATTACGAAATAGCTTATTAATAGAATTTTGTATGAACATGGAAAAAAAGGATGTTGATTAATGAATCTTTAGCTAATTTTAATGGAAGTCCCGATGGAAAGTTTTAATATAAATTAAAACCATCTTAAACGCAGTACATGGTAAATCCCTACTGGAAGCCATTTTAAAAAACAGAGTAGAAAAAAATAATATTCTTATGTTAGAATTTTCTTATTTTATTCTATTCTTTTTTAAATAAAATTCTGAAAGGCTTTTTGCGCCATTTAGAATACAATTCAACGATAAATTATATAAATATTGTATCTTCTCATAAATTACCTTATACTGCGTTTCCTCTGTATCACATTGAAGAACTTATTTTTGTGTAATCGTTCGTAGATTTACCAAGATTGTAAATAGGGTAAGAGATTCCATACTTGTAATAAAATAAAAGAAAAAACTCAAATTATGTTTTTTACATGATACATTAATCATAATTATTTACATTTTATTTATAAGATAAAATATTGGATTATAAAATTTATATTTTTACAATTATGATTGAAATGACATATATTTACAATATTTATTTTAGATATTATTTTAAATATCTTAAATATCTTACTATAAAATTTTTCTCTACTCTTATAAAAATATTTTATAAATATTTTATATTTCTAAAAAGATATTTTTCTAAATACCTTTTGAACGGTTTTTTATCCCCTTAATTTTTCTACATTTTCCATTTTCATATCGATTTCATAAAGTAAAGATTTCGCGAAGTTGCTAGCATTAGCATCTTTGTTCAAGAAGTCAGATACTAATTTAGAAGGTGGTTTCCCACCTCCATGTGCTAAACATTCTTTTCGATATCGATCACCTGCTGTTCGACTGAAAGGATCTGCTTGAAAATATGTTTGCCATATCCAAGAAGCAATTGCTCGAGATACTAAATAAGAATAATATTTCGCACCATATCCAACCAGATGAGAAAATCTTAATTGCCATGCCTGCAAATAAAATTTATAGTATAATAAAAATATAGTGTAATAAAAATCCTTTTATAAAAATCAAAAATGACAGAATACATACTGTATTTTCAACATAAGGAAGCTCATAATATTTTCCCTGTATTTCTTTCAAAATTTCGGTCGATGGTTTTTTTAGTTTGGTATTGTGATAAACTTGGTCTAACATGCTATAATATATTTGATTTTGTAATTCAGAAGCACAAAATATGTTCTTTGAGGCATATAATTTATCTAATAATGTTATTGGTATTTGCTCCAAAGATTGGAAATGTTTAGCAAATGTGGACACAACCTAATAATACGTATTATACGATTAATAAAATAAAATTTATTTAATAATTAAGTTGTAAAAATAGTAATTCACTCTTGGATCAGTTGCAAAATATTCCATTAAAACACTTGGGACCTCTGCAAAATCTGTGCTGCATCTGGTTCCAGTTACATGCTGATATTTTGTTCTACCTAGCATAGAATGTAATGCATGACCCATCTCGTGGAATAAATTTTCAACAGAGGCAGGACTAAGTAGACATGGTTTAGACCATGTTGAAACTGGCAATGATAACATTAATACTACTATAGGATTCTGAAATTGAATATTTGAATAGTAATTAAAATTTTGTTAAATATATTTTATATATTTCTTATTTATTAAAATTATACTTGATATGATCCATCTGGTAATAGCCTTCCACCTCTAATGGTAAAGTGACAGTCTTGATTAGGTTTTCCTTCTCTTTCAAAGAAATCACAGTATATATAACCCAAAATCTTTTCATTTTCATCTACCACGGCAATCTTATGTACATTATTTGCCCAAACTTCACCAGATAAAACTTGTACATACTCCAATCGAATACCATATAATGCTTGTATCAATATGTTAATGCCATCCATACAAGCACCAAGTGAAAAATATGGCGCAAATTCACTAATGGACATATTTAACCAATTTCGTTTTGCTTTCGCCGTAAAATAAGCTGTATCCCATGGCATTATTTTCTACACATGAAAAATAAAAATGTAGAAAAACACAAATAATATAATTTTATAATTTAATAAATAAATAACATATTTTTATAATTCATTTAATAAATTTAGTAAACCTGTTTTACAGGCGATTCAGCATCTTTCATTTTTTGCATTTCGTTAAAATCTTGCATTGCTTTAAGTTTTAAATTATCATTTAGAATATTAAGAAATTCGTATATTACTTCAGGTCTTTCTACAGTACTTCCTTTAACAGCTCTATAAATTATTTACTTTTAATACATACAAATATAGCTAATGTCAGCTATATATAAATAATATATAATTTTAATTAATTTCATTTTTATCAACAAATTTAAACCTACCGGTGAGCATAAGATGAAAAACCACAGAGTTCAGCCAAAATGTGTCTAGAATTTAGAAGTTCTTGTAAAAGATATTCTTGTTCTTCATCAGGATATAAAAATATACGATATGCTGTTTCTCTAAGGAGATGATTAGGAGAATCTACATATAGTCCTTGAACATGTATTTTATTATCCTTTTGTGTGAAACTGTGAAAAAATTTAAAAAGAAATTTCAAATATTTTCAGATTAAAAGAAATATGTATTTTAAAAATAGAAAAATATTAAGAAATATGTTATTTAAAGTTATTCAACTGTAATACTTACTAATGCCTTACATTAGATGAAACAATATTAGCATCTACTATTCTTGCATTATTAGTACCTGTCATGAACTTTTGGCCTACCTATGTACAAAAAATATAGTTATATAACAAATTCATAAATAAAATGTAATACAATATTATAACATATACTTGTAATATGTAGTAATTCAACTGTACAACTTTTTCTCTTATAGATTCTGGTAAATGAATAGCACATAATTCAAAATCAGATAAGAATAATGTTGCAACATGTTTATCCACCAGAGATGTTTCTTGGATATCTCCATTACATACAACATGCTTTAATGCATTGTATAATTCACGATGAGTATTTAATCTGAAAAAATTTTCCAATGAGTTTTACATTATCATTTGAAGATAATACAAATATTACTATATAATTTTTATGAAAAGATAGTTACTTTTCTACAATACCACTAACACACAGGCAAGTATCTTCTGCAGCTGCAACAAATTGTTTTTCTGGATGCGCAATTCTAATGAACTCTGCTAAATCTGCAACTTTACATAATGTATCAGACATATCATCAAAAATTTCTACCATTTTTCGTTTTCTATTTTGACTTGTAGATTCTGCTATAAGTGCATTTGTCTGATTTATTGCTTGATCTTTTAAAATATTAAATCCTTCTGATGTTTTTAATTCAGATATTCCAAACAATCCCTGCAAAATACAGAAGAAGTTTAGCACTTAGTACATTTTAGAAAAATAAATACTCACAGTTTCTTTTTTCAAAAAATCAAAACCATATTTTTCTTTACTAATGGAATTGAACGCTGTTGCCAGAGATGACCACGTATTAACATTCCTGTGTCTTTTATAGTTTCTTGAAAATTGCTTTCTCAATATTTGAATCATTTTTTATAATCTGCTAAGTAACTTGTACTAACAGAAATTATAATGTTCATTCAAAAATTCTAAAAATTGAGACATTCATGCAATCGATACTTAGATATCAATTTGCATGCTGTAATGATAAAACATAGAATCAAAATATTTATTCAAGTAATAGAGAATAATATGTTAATGTAAAAAAGAACGAAGAAAATTATTATTCAAAAATTATTATAATCTCGTTTTCGCAAATAACCATTAGTACTAATTTAGTTGTATTATACTGTGTTTATGTTTGATAAAATGATACAAAAATTTAAAATGAAATAAGTTTGGAATTGAATCTCTACTAGAAAAAGAAAGTAATACAGATACGAGAGGTTACACATACAATGATTATATCATGTATTTAATATTTAATACAATATTGACAGTCTGAGAAATCGTGATTCTATTTTTGACTAAGTGATGGCATCACATCATTGCGGTTGTTAGCTTGTAGTTACAACTGGTGTTTTAGGTCTTCCTTGGAATAGTACAGGGATAAAATTGAAAGTGAAAAATAAAAAAAATTCCGGGCAACTGTGCCTTCGCAATGAGGATATTTGATTCATAAAATAAATCTTATTTATGAAAAAAGTCGAAATTTTTAGTATTCGATCATGATCCGTTTATAGAAATTGTCTGTTAGAGTTCAATTTTTCACTAAAAGTTTAGAGGTTACTTAAAAGCACAAATGGTGAGAGGAAACTTCTATAATCATATGCATTCGTTATCGTTGATTGTTTGAATGAAATGAACGTAATAGGATTTCTGTGCGCGACAATACGCTCGAGTGGAAGGGGTACAAATAGCTATACAAGGATATGCGTTATTTGATGTTTAATTTTCTCCGTAATACTTTTTGTAATTTAATAAATAAGTATGCGCGTGTATGATGTTTTTAATTATGTTATTTGCTTTTACGTTATTCGTGTGCATAGTATTTTGAATTGAAATTTTATCCCTTTGAATCTTTTTTGTTATCTTTTAGTATGCTATCTTACTCCTAATAACATTATTGTACAATTAAAGCTACTTTTGAAGTACAATTGAAATTCTATGTTTTATTCTATGATATAAAATAAAGTGAAGATATAGATTTATTTGAAATTTATTCTTTTTTATCTTTTTTCTGGTAATCTGTAAAATTAATTCCATTTTTGGGTTCTCTGATAGTCTGATTCTATGACATGCAAAAATTTACTCACTGCTGTTAAACAATTGGCAGACAGTGAAATTGAGTTAATAAAAACAATAAAGGATTCAGAAAAGATAAACACTAAAAATATTAAAAATACAATGTCTGTAACAGATAAAGAGAGGCCTAAAAAATCTGCAAAACCGTTTAATGTAAGTATAAATTTAATAAAAAAAAAAATGATTTCATAATAATTTTCTTTATTTAATTAGGTTCGTCCATCTGCTGCTTTATTAGCAGCTAAACGAGAAGCAGCTCAACAACGTATATTGCAAGAAAAAAAATCGAACAATATTTTTGTACATGATATATATCAAAAAGCTATTGATGCGTATAACACAAAGAGAATGGAAACTGGCATTGTATTTGATAATTCAATGACAGAACATAAATGCCTTTGGGATCCAAATTATCCAGAATGTCCTGCTAGATTGACAAAAATTTTGCAAAGATGCGAGGAGCTAGGTTTAATAAGTAGATGTAAATTAATCACACCAAGACAAGCTTCAGAGGATGAAATACTTATGAAGCACAGCCAAGAACAGATAGATATTTTGAAAGCCACTGACAAATGTACAGATATAGATACTTTAGAATTATTATCATCGAAATATGATGCCATTTATATACATCCTGTATGTAAATATTTATTTCAAATATAAAACAAAATAATATATTAAATTGTTAGATTTAAGTATTGATTCATTTAAAACTGCTCTAGTCTACCTATCAATTGTCTTTGTTAGCTGTGGGTTCTACAATAAATTTAGTGGAAAGCATTTGTAAAGGAGAAATTCAAAATGGTATGGCCATTATAAGGTAATGTAATTCTATGATCCATACATGAATGAATAAGTAATTACATTTTTAAGAAATTATATTTTTTCATATGTGTTTCAGACCACCAGGACATCATGCAATGAAATCAGAATATTGTGGATATTGTTTCTTTAATAATGTTGCTATTGCTGCTGAAAAAGTTTTAAGTAGCAATTTAGCTAGTAAAATTTTAATTGTTGATTGGGATGTGCATCATGGACAAGCTACTCAGCAAATGTTTTATAATGATCCACGGTATATAAATATTGTATATATATATATATAAATATTCTTTGAATGTTTCTGAATAATTATTTTACTATTTGTAAATTTTATACAGAGTAATTTATTTTTCAATTCATCGTTATGAAAATGGTGAATTTTGGCCAAATCTTAGAGAATCTAATTTTCATTTTGTTGGAGATGATTTAGGTGAAGGGTACACTTTTAACGTGCCACTTAATAAAACTGGTATGACCAATGCTGATTATTTAGCCATATTTCAACAGGTTTTATTGCCAATGGCCTATGAGGTAAATAACATTATTACAATGTAGTGTAAGAGTCTTGAAGTATTAATACAAAGAGTTTTATAATAGATCAATTTTAATTATTCTAGTTTCAACCAGATTTTATAATAGTATCAGCTGGTTATGATGCAGCTTTGGGCTGTCCAGAGGTAAAATAATAAATATTATTTATTAATTTTCTTTTTATCTTAGTTTAATTCAGATTTCGTCATTGTCTCGGCTGGATTTGATTCTGGAATTGGAGACGAAAAGGTTGATATATATAATAAATTCATTATTATATATATCAATAAATCACATATTTTAACATTTTTATTTTATGATATCCAGGGTGAAATGTTGCTAACACCTGCATGTTATGCTCATTTACTATCATCATTATTGAGTTTGGCCTCCGGAAAAGTTGCTGTTATATTAGAGGTATAAAATATAATTTCATTGAATTGTTGAATCTTTGCTATGTACTTATAACATTTTTAATATATTTTCATTATATTTTTCATTACAGGGTGGTTATTGTTTAAAATCATTAGCAGAAAGTGCAGCATTAACATTACGTACTTTGTTAGGTGATCCATGTCCTATGTTAGAAACTCTTACCTTACCATCAATAAGGTAAATCTGAAAATATTTAGTATAAAGTATTTTATTCATTCATTACATAATTTAATATGATTTTAGTATACGTGATACAATTTTAAATGCAATTTATGCGCATAAACCATATTGGAAATGCTATCAGTATCAAGATACATACAGTATTAATAGTACAACAAATAATAAAGAAGAAAATACTGATCAATATTTACCTATAGTTACATTCAAGTAAGAAATTAAAATAATTTTAACAAAAATTTTATTATTGCTTTTAATTATATATAAATACCATTTATTTATTTTAGAGGAACTGATATTAAGCCTGAGATATATGAAACTCGAAATTGTTACCCAATTCAAAATAAAGATGTTATAGAAATGATAGAAAAGCAGTTAAATACATTAATACAGTGTAGGTATCTAATTTAATGGTTAGTAATAATTAATTCTATATATAACAATAAACTAAATATAAATCTTTTGTTTAGTCACTAACTTGTCTAAAGCACCAAACAAGGTATGCATTGTTTACGATGATAGAATGTTAAAACATTGTGATATGTCAGATGATAATCATCCAGAAAAACCAGATCGTATTAATTTTATTTATAAAAAATATCAAGAGTACAATTTACTTGATCGGTGTTATGTGCAAGAGGTATGTTCAAGCTTTTTCTTAAATATTAAAATTTTTAAATGAAATATTTTCTTCATTGATTGTCTTAAAGGGACGAAGTGCAACACGAGAAGAATTAATGTTAGTTCATTCAAAAGAATATATCGATAAAATAAAAGATACAGAAACTTTAAAACCAAAGGATTTACAAAAGCAGGCAAAAACTTATAATTCAGTTTATTTGCACCCTGAAACCTGGACAAGTGCCTGTGTATCAACTGGATCGTTATTACAAGTAGTTCATAGTGTATTAATTGGAGAAAGTCAGTCTGGTGTTGCTATTGTTAGGCCTCCAGGACATCATGCTGGGGAGAATATAGCATGTGGTTTTTGTATTTTTAATAATATTGCTGTAGCAACTAGATATGCTATAGAATTTCATCATGTAAAACGGTATTATGATTGATTTATTTTTAATAATATGTGACATTAGTATAAAAAATAATGTAATTTTCAGAGTATTGATAATAGATTGGGATGTACATCATGGTAATGGAACTCAATCCATTTTTGAGGAAGACTCCAAAGTTTTATATATATCTGTTCATCGTTACGATAATGGCAGTTTTTTTCCAAATTCTAAACGAGCAAACTACTCTTACGTTGGTTCTCAATCAGGAGAAGGTTTTACTGTTAATATACCATGGAATAAGGTTAATCTTAAAAAATATGCGTTATATTAATGAATATTATACGTTAATATTAATGAAGCAGAATTATTATCATATATTATTTATGTATTATATAGAAAGGAATGGGTGATGCAGAATATATAGCAGCATTTCAACAAATAGTAATGCCGATTGCTTATCAGTTTAACCCAGAATTAATTTTAGTTTCTGCGGGTTTTGATGCATGTATTGGTGATCCTCTAGGAGGTATGTATACAATTTTGTGGATGTTTTCTATTTGTTTAAATATTTTTCTCACTTTTAGGCTGCTTTGTAACACCAGAAATGTATGGGCACTTAACACACTGGTTATCTTCTTTAGCCAATGGTCGTGTTATTCTTAGTCTTGAAGGAGGTTATAATACTAATTCAATCGCGCATGCAATGGCTATTTGTACGAAATCCTTGCTTGGTGATCCTTTACCGATGTTAGAAAATGGACATATTCCATGTATAAGCGCTATTCACACTATAAATAATGTTATAAAAACACAAAAACAATACTGGCCAAATTTAGCATTTAATTTATCTTTACCAAAAGAAAGAGTACTTCCTAAGCCTAAAATTCCACATATAAAGACAAATGAACGCGTTATAAACAATGAAGAACTTTTAAAACATTCAGAATCTAAGATAGCGCTGGAAGAAATAGAAACTGAAAAAATGCGGAGAAGACCTATAACTCGGCAGATAATAAATAAAAAATGTAACACAGACTGGCAAGCCGTTTCTGAAGAATTGAAGGAATTAGAAAAGAAGATTCTTATTCCATCTTATAAGCAACAAACGATTAATACTCATGACGAAGGTATAATAGTTTAGAAACATATGTGCCTTTATTAAAATTCTACATAAAATTATTTTCACAGTTTCTAACTATACAAAAAAATGCACAAATCCAGATGAAAAAGGACATTCTGATGAAAACTTTACCAATTCTGCTGCTGGAAGTAGTGGTGAGCAGAATGAAAATGCAAGGGCACAAACGAGTAATAGTAAAAGTTTACAGGATTATTTTTCAGAAAATTTGCATGTAATTACTATTTAAATTTTCATATTATAAATGTTTATTTAAAATCAATTATGATTTTTATAATTGGAATTCATTATGAATTTTATAGTCATTAATAGCTGGAGACATGTTTGCGGTGATACCATTGCGAGATTGTCCACATTTGAATAGCGTTAAGGATGTACCAGTTTCAGGAATTGATATACGTACACCATGTATAGACTGCAACAGCAACATTGAAAACTGGGTTTGTTTACAATGCTATAGTGTTCATTGTGCTCGTAATATTAATCAACATGGTTTAATACATGCTGAAAAAATGGAACATCCATTGGCTCTAAGTTTTAGTGATTTATCAGTTTGGTGCTACAAATGTGAAGCATATATAGATAATCCGGTAAGTTACAATAAATTCTTTTGAAAATATTTATTTTAATACAATCTTATCTGTATAAGTATGTTTGATAATATTTATAGCAATTATTTGCCGCACGTAATGCTGTACATCAAAGTAAATTTAATGAGGAATTACCATGGACGTATAACGACAATTGAAATAAAAATGTATTTGACAAAATTTTGTAATTAACATTATGTATTTCATAACATTTGTAAAACACAGATTTTTGTGGTTAGATAAATTATTAACATAACTTGAAAATATTTTGTAGTTTCTATCTACTTCTAATATATTTTATTTTTCTATGTAGAATAGTAATCATTCAAGTAATAAAATTAAGAAAGGAATAATTTTAAGAAAGTAAATAAAATTAACAAAGGAATAATTTAACAAGTAATAAAATTAAGAAAGGAATAATTTTTTAAAAGTAAAATTGTAGATTGTAATGTACAAGCGAATTTAATTTTACAAAATTATTTAATTATTTAAATAATGTTTGTACATATATATATGTACATACACATACACACACACAATAGATTTTCATTTTAAAAAATTTTATTAATACACATTTTAAATATCTTATATGAATCTTAACTCGTGGTTATGTTAAGTTGTTTAACATAAGTTTTAAATATAATAATGTTTCACTGCTAATAATTACAAATATTTTTATATTATAAGAAATATGTATAACTTGTTATTGCAGTAACTAGATGTAGCTATTATAATGACTAAATAATAAATAAATAAATATTACACTAATTTTTTAACAATTAAGTAAAAATATAATATGAATTATAATTCCTTTCATAATATATAAGTATTTTTATATTTATTATCTTCTAAATATTCAATTCGTATTAATAACAATTGAAATTGCTCAAAAGCCTCAAATATGTTATTCATAATTTCAATCAATTTTTCCGTTGAAAATATAGCCAAAGTTGTTAAATGCGTAATATTTTTAGCAGTTTTTGAGAATGGTAATTTTTCAACTGTAACATGCGGATAGAATTTATGTACAATATGATAATTAAATAAATTTATATTATTTTGAATGAAAATAAATTCTTCCAAATCTGTGGCAGGAAGAGCATAATACAATCTATAAGGTACTTTCTTAGTAACATATTTATATTCGCATTCACGAAGTTTCAAGGCAATAACATTACATACATCTCTTATAGATTTTGAATTTTGTTCGTAAAGATAAAAGTCTTTTATCAGTTTATATTTATGATTTCCACTACTTACATATGTTTTTTTGGTATTTCTTAAATGTAGAAGTGCTGTTGGTATAGAATAAGTATGTGATGTAAATAAATGTATATGTGTAAGATCTGGTTTTGCTTTTAATTCAGTTGCTATATGAGATGATAAGGGTAGAACCCCACCTTGATGAGCAAATCCATAAAAAAACGTTAATACAATATTACATATGAACCAAAAAATTTGTAATTTATTCAACTTATTTCTTGTAAATGAACTTTGGCATTCATTATCTTTTGCAATACGTGCAATAGTATCAACTCCTGGTGTTTGACTCATATTTGGAGCATATAAGAAAGTTAAAGGTAATAATACTGGTATAATAAATCTAGGCTCTTGATGAGGAAATACTGATAGTAATATAATAGGTGTAATAAAAGATGTCGTCATTAAACCAACAACGCTTTGTATCCGTGGCAAATTTAACCATTGTGCCTTTAAACCACTGTAAATGATGATTATTTTCTATCAATTAGTTCATATTTCAAATATTTTGTGTAATATTATTATTTATTTAAAATCATATTATTTATTAATTACCTGTATAACAGTTTCCCAAATGTACAAAGACCAATAACTCCAAGAGCATTATATAAAAGGGGTACATTTACTATTAAATGTAAATAATGAGGATGTAAACCATGATCTTTTAGATTTTTAATATTTGAATTGTATCTGAAGAAATTAAGTGGTGTTACTACAAAATTATTCATACTAATATCAAAATTACCTATTTCTGCCATTGTTAAATAACCAAAATAAAAACTGTCAACTAAAATAAAAAAAAGAGTGATAGGTATTCCACAGGCAATAAAGGTGAATATTCGAATATGAAAATCTCCGAAACCTATACTTTTTGAACCTAAACCTCTTTGTAGCCAAAAGAAAATAGGAGCAAATGCAAATGCAATAAATGTTGGTCTATTAAATATACCAATCACAGTAATAGTTGCAATTTTCATACAATGATTTAAAGAATGTTGGGGTAACGAAGCTTTAAGTTTATAGTATTTTACTCTTTCTACTCCAGTTTTTGCTTTATTATATTTACTTGATAAATAATCACTTTGAACAACTATCTGAAATAATAAATATTATCATTTTATATAAAACTAATTTATAAATTTCTATCATAATAGTATATTTGTACCTTTTCTGAATATGCCATAGAATATGATGTATAATATAACAGTAAGGCTGTTAGAACCAGTTCAATGGTATTTGATAATGTATGAGTTGCATAAACAAGCATAACATAGGAACTGGCATAAATGATTAGTCTTATTTTGTAATTTTGACCATATATGTAACAGACTTTGTATAAACAGTAGTCTGATATAAAAGACAAAGCGCAGACTAATAAACGTGGGAATAATACAAGAAAGTATGGTGATTTCAATGATATACCCAAATAAAATACAGTATATTGTGAAAGTCTTTTTAAAATTGAATATGGTATACCAACAGTAATTTGTGGTATTAAAACAGTTCTTATGGGAAATGTTGAATTAAATTCCCATGGTTTATTGATATCAATGTCAAAATGATCCCCTACAAAATGAAAATTTCCTCAATAAGTTTTTTATATTACAAATTAATCGTGATTATCTCTGTTACTACGTAAGAATATTTTACTTACCAGATATAACTTCGATAGATTGAAAATATTCGTCGGGATGAATATATCCCGTTTGAGGAATAAGCGTTAATATGATTCTTAAGAATACTAAGGCCCAATAAAGATTCATTTTTCTTTTTATTGGTTCAGCAGGTTTGTATTCATCTATGGACCTACGATATTCATTTTTGAAATGCATTTTTGTTAGTTAATAGTTTTATGCAATAAAGAGCAGAACCAATTTCTCACGGAATATTAATTTAATAAGGTTAAAAAAATAAGTAGAAATCTTTGATCTATCACATTAATCATTTTTTAACAGTGAGAAAATGTATAATATATATTTCAGTAAAATAATGTTTTCTGTTCTGTCACATTATTTTTAGTCAGTCAAATAATATTTAATTGAAATATAATTGAAACGTAACGTGCTCTCCTGTGTTGTTGCATTATAGCACAAACGACGTACAATGATACAACACAGCTTATGATCGTTAAAATCATACATATGGCACATATGTATGAAGATACTGATTACTATTAGCCGGTATTATAATAACGCTGTAATTTTATTTTTTCTCGATAACTGATATCACTGGAACTGATATGAAAATTAAATTCTAGTTGATTTCATTATCAGTATTAAATAACGAATGTAGAGGAAGATATAAAATTCAAACAGAGTTAACTTCATAAAATTTTATATTCACTTTTCGATTACATTTAATTTATTATAACAATACTTTTTAAAATGTTATTTCAAACATTGCAATTTCATATAAATCGAGGAATATCGAGAATTTTAAAAATCGACTCTGATTTCGTTTGAATTGCAAAATTATATCTGTATTAATAAATAATAATATATCTGTATTAATACTGCATTATATCTTATATTAAAAATATAATTATTTTTATATTATAGTTATAGTTATAGTTATATAGTTTTATATAATAATGTTACAAAATGAACATTTATTACAAAGTGAAAATAAAAAATTTCTGGTCGAATAATTATTGTTATATAATTGACTTAAAATAATTAATTAGTAATAAATTGAATAATATTTATGATAAATATGGAGATGATATAGACATACTATTACACATTTTTCTATAAGAGTCAAAAAAGTTATTCAAGAATAGCGCGTGGCAATATACATATGTACCACGCAAGCGTGACCACGTATGACTTCTAACACTTCAGTGCCTTTTGATAGTAATATTAGCTGTCTATTTGTTTATTGCATTTATTACATTATGTCCGGTGGATGGGAATTAGTTGGAAGAAATAAAAAAGATAAAAACGATGGGAAGATCAATAAACTTACAAAGATCGAGAAAAAAAAATTTATCGAAAACGCACCAAAGGTAGAAGATTTTCGTAAGTACTTTCTTTCAACTTTTATAAACTTTTATCTACTTTATTCTGATCATCAATAAAAATTCTTAAAATTTATAAGTACTATTATTCAAATAAAATGTTATTATAAAATTTATTTCATGTATGTGTTCAAAAACACATGTTTATTGATAAAAATATGTTTATTGCCTTATACAAATGAAAATATGTTTGTTAAAAAATTACTTTCTTTTTTCAGTTCCTTTAAGTCAAGTAAAAACATTGTATGATAATTTGGATAATAATGTGAAAACATATAATAATTTGGATGATAAAGGAAATAAAAAGTTGTTTAAAGAAAAAGAAAATAAAACAAAAGAGAATGAAGAAAGAAAAAAGCAACAGAAACAGCAACAATCTGATAAAAAAAAACAACCTAAGGAGAAACCTCCAAAATCTATAAAGGATGCATTAAATATGGTAGATATATATATTTAAATATATACTTTAATATTTACATATGACTATTAAATATACTATAATACTTACATATGAGTTTGTTAATATTAAAACATCATTTCTAATAGATAAATGCAGAGGAGCTTTACAATATTTTTACTGGTAGTCAAAATAGATTTCCTGAAGCTCCATTAATTTGGTTGAAAGATCTTGCTGCATTCCTTAATATAAAAATACCTGTTGATAAAGAAGATGCAGTCTTTTCTGGGAAATCTAAAGATTATCCTTTAAGTATAGTACCTAAGCCAATTTGTTCCATATTGGAAAAAGCAATTGATATGGCAGGCAAACAAACAGTACAACTTTTTTATGAAAATACTCTTACTGCAATGGCTGCTGATATGGTTAAAGGATCACCTGCTGTGGGTCACAAAATATTTTTACAACTTCTAGCACGTATTAATTCTGAATTGACAATTGCTAACATTTCTAAATTGATTCGTGTAAAAAATTCTTATCAAAATAGAAAAAATATTGGTCTTTCTTTATTATGGGCAATCTCACAAGCTGGTAGAAAAAATCTGACTGTGGGTTTGAAAGTGTGGCATGAAGTAATGTCTCCTATGTTAGAAACGAAGAGTTACTGCAATTATGTAGCAGAAATTTTGAACGATCTTGTATTTGGACATGAAATGTGTCATGATCTTAAACCAGAACTTTATCTTGACATTGTGGAGGATACATGTTCTGGAAAATATAATATTTCTGCTTCTGTGAACAGAGAAATTAATAACAGCCTTGAAAAACTAAGAGTTGGTGTTCAAGTAATATATTAATATAAAATATCATTTTAGGATAATTAGACATAATATTTCTTTATTTTTTTAGTTGATATTGTTTAAAAATAAAAATATAAATTATGCGAAGTTATTTGAAATGCTAATTACAAAAGTTGAGCAAAAGGTACATGTAAATTATAAGGATGAATTAATCAAAGCACTTGTGACTTGTTTAGCTACAGAGCCACTTTGTTTCTCTGTCTGGAGATCCGTTTATACCAAAAATTTATATCAGTCCCATTTAATTTTAATACATATTGGTAAGATTATATTGATTTGATTTTATGGATTGATGAATTTATTAAATTTAATTTTATTTAATTTTTTTTTAGACACTAAATACCATGTTTTACACACAACATTGGACACCAAATGTTTGAAAGAAACATGTATAGTATTTCAAAAAATTAATGAAAAGTGGAAAAAGGGCAAAGATGAAAATTTTGCTAATAATCGTACTAAAATATGCAAGGTAAATTTAAATTTGTGTTTCTGCATCAAATAGGAACATATATTTAATAATTAATTTTTATATAAAATAATAATTTAATTTTTATATAAAAAATAATACTTTATTACTAAAATTAAGATGGTATAAAAAATGAATGATCATTTGTATATGCCTAATATATTTTGAAATAACCCGCGTAACATTTGCCTCTTGTATTCTACGTCTCATATGTGCGCAATCATGTTGTATCGGAACACTACGTAACGTATAAATCGTGTTTTGATTAATTGCGTTTTGCACATAAAAGAAAGAACGTTTAAATATCGGTACAATTTCCCAGCAATAAATTGCGAATTTTCCATTCGGATTCGTTTAAAGAATTGTGAGTGTGATATTTAAGTGATTTTGAAAAACTTGAATTTTAAATATAGTTTAGGTTAGGTACGTTTGTTTTTTCGGAAAGAGATTATCGATCGCACATTGTCCCTTCGGCATTGCTACTGATGACATTAACGTCATTCATTGTGATACTTTTTTTTGTATAAAGATTACAGACAATATTTTAAGACAAATAGTTTAGAAAATATTTTCATTTTTTTCATCAACTTCGTGGGTAAAAAGTTCGTATTCAAAAATGAAATTGATTTATTTACATCTATAATGAGACTATATTTTGATAATCATATTGACCTTTAGACGTAATAAGAATGTATTACCAGTGTTTTAAACTGTAAATAAGTTAAAGTACGATATAGTGTTTTATTAATTCTTTATTGCAGGCGTTATTATTAAAAATGACAGTTTCTGCTAATAAGAAATTTCCTTGGAAAAAGGGAATTATTTTGTTATTACTTCTTATTAGTACCATTCTTGCTTATGATATATACAAACATGATGATTTTAAAGGTAATATATATATATACACACACACACATACACACATACATATATTACACAAAACTATATATAAAAAATTTAATTTATAATATAATTTTTTAGTAAATAAGTTTTTGAAAAGAACTGGGTTAGTTGCTTATGGACAACAATCATGGATTATAATGCAAGAATATTCTTCTAAAACGCTTGATTTCATAGAAGCTACTTCACCAGAGTATTATAAAATAACTGTAGAAACATGTAAACCTTATATTAAATTAGCAGGAGATATTTATCTTGTAATGAAACATGTTTCTTTTAAAATTTATGACAATATTGCAGAATATATTGAAAAAAATGGTCCTTTGGTTATACAAACAGTAAGTCTTAATAATTTTAATGCATAAATTGTATTTAGATATTTTATGAACTTTACTTACTTTATAGATAGAGCATTATGTCCCAGGAATGTTGGATGAAATTAAATTACGAAGTAATCAAGGTTTAGAACTTTTAAAAGTTTATTCTAATTTATTAGTGGAAATGTTGACTGAACGCTCAACTGCAACACTTCAATGGCTAGAACATAATGTCTTTGTGTAAGTATAAAAAGAAAATTTTTAAAATATAAAGATTTAAACTTCATAATTTTATCTTTTTAGTGGAAAATTAAGTCCAGAAAATTTACAAAATTATGCCTCAAAAGCTATTGACACCACACAGACATTAGCAAGTCAGACTTACGATTGGGTTTATGAAAAGGTGCAAACACTCTCTAAAGTTCCGTGAATGAAATTCATCAAATTTTTATGTACTAATTTTTTCAATGATCAAGAAAATCTCCTTTCATACTTCTGCATTTAGTTCTACAATTCCAAAGTTGATATACATTTCCAAATATATTGTGACAGCCATTTTACCTGTGATATTTGAAAAATGTATCATACTCCGATATGATATTCTAAAACTCCACAAATTTAATGAAAATATCAGTTTTTTTTTTTAAATTTCTACTGTCAAAATAATTATTAATATATAGACTACATTATGTAGTGTCAAACTTAAAACCTCTTATTTGTATATTCATTAATATATTTTCATTTAATGTTTCTAATATGGTGTTGAATGGTAATATAACAAATTGATTTATAAACCAGACAATGTATTAAATAAAGTTACTTTTTGGTATTTTCTTTTTTACAAAAATAAAGGGGAAATATAGAGTATGATTAATTTTATAATACATGTAGAGTATTAACACAATGTCACTGGATACAGCAATAAGAATAATAATATTTATAGGACATATAGAATAATGATAAATATAGGTATAGTAATATAATTATTATTATATATAATTATAATAGCGCTAATAGTGCGAATTTAATGGTGGTGATTATAGTGACAATGATAATTTTAATAATAACAAAAAAGTAAAGAAAAAGAAAAAAAGAAAAATATTGAAGTTTTACGTAATAAGAGATCAGCAAAGTGCGACACTCATCACATTCCTAGAACTATGTACGTAAAAATGAGTCTTTTTGTTTCCTTTCTTTTCAGAAATGAATGTAGTAGAAATTACGTTTTTTTTTTTTTTTTTTATATATAGTTTCACAGCATTCTTCCCTGATTATATGTATGAGCGTGCAATGCTAAAACGCACACTGATTATAAAGTTAATATTTTAGTTTGAATTGTTGTGTTAGAGCTCATGAGGAAAAAAGACTTTCATTGTATTTTTATATATTTGATTGCATAAATATTCTTCCTCTTCGTCTCTAATTCGTGCAAGTACTTCCAAAATTTGACTGTAAAAAGAAATCAAATAATATATATTAAATCTGTTGTTTAACAAATACGTAATACAAATGTGATTTAATCAGTACAAAATTTAATTAAAAAATTGATCAATATATTTACACTATGGTACATGGTTCGTTTCTTCCTTTGACCATTTTATCAGGTTGCCACTTTTCCTTTTTAATAGATGGAAAGTTGGTAATAACATCCTTTGCAGAAGCATGCGTTGGCCTTATTTCACACCATGGACAATCAGTTTCTATCATTAACTTGTCTGATGGTATAGTTGTAACAGCAAAAAGATTTTCTTCTGTTTTTAGAGAACTATAAACAAAATCATTAATTATTACTATTAATTATTTGACCTAAAATAAATATATTATTTATACATACCATCCATTGATACCAATGTACAATCCCATTTGTAAAATAGAATTAGCTTCTTCTGGATTACCATCAAAAGAGTGTACAACACCAGCTGTTAACGTATCCTTATGTTTTCTTAAAATTCTTACAAAATCTTCACTAGCGTTACGACAATGTAGAAACATTGGTAATTTTAAAGTAGAACATAAAGATAATTGCATTTCAAAATACTTTTTCTGAATATCTTTCGAACAGAATTGCAACCTATCATAGTCTAGTCCCATTTCGCCAATAGCAACAACTTTATCTTTATTGTCTGCAGCCAGATCTGATAATGATTTAAAATACGCTTCTGGATCGCCACTTTCTTCAAATTCATTACAACGTGTTGGATGACAACCAACTGTAGAAAACAGTCGTTCTGAAATATACATAACAATCAATATATGAATGAATTCAAGAAAATAGAAAAAACAATAATATAATATGTACCTAGATATTTCCATTGACATGCATTTTGTTGTCATAGTTAGAGAATAGAATGACAGCAACCATTGCATCTCTCTTTCACTGGTTTCTTCATATGCAATGATTTCAGTCTAATAATAAGAAATAAACAGTAGCTGTACATTACAACAATAAGTCTTTACCCTCACAGTTGAAAGCCTGTAAGGTGCATAAAATGTTAATTGTACCAAAATTATTTGTTTCTAAAACATCGATATCTCTACATAAAAAATAGAATTTGAAAATTATACAATATAGCTGCCCTAGTGATAGAGAGACGCGACAGTAGACTAAGTTATATTTAATTAATGTTATAGTTTTATTATTTATATAAAAGCATCTCACCATCTGTTCGTGCTATTTCGAGAGCCTTTTTACTTTCTTCTATATTACCGGCAGTGATTATAATTTTCGAAATATCATTATTCCAACTTCGTTCTAAAACTTTATCCAAATCTGGTAGGTGTTTCTGTGATCCATGATAAATTCCTTGATACATAGGATCTGTCAAATTGGCCCCGATGTCTATATTGAAATTAACAGCGATGGAATATATTAGTTTTTAAAGTATAACCTTTTTGTAAATATATCAAAAGATACACAAAGATACATTATAGTTTGTACAAAAGCATCGATCATTAAAGTGTTAATATGATTATTAAATAAAGAACTTAGTTACCTATAAATTTTCTTAAATTACTCATTCTAATACCGAGCATTCAACCTATCAATGAAATGACAGTTTTCTCAAACACTGGTACTGCCTGAAAGGTTAGCAGGTGTCTTATTTAACCGGCGTTGTGTACTGACATATGAGTCAGTAGATATTTGACGTTCCATGGAAATAAAAATTATACTTTTTTTGTCATTTATTGCATGTAACAGATTTAAATACAATTATATTTTATAAAAATTAATGTAAGCTGTACATTATATTATTTTCTACTGTGCATATTAAGTACATACATACAATCTATATTTATAGAGATCTGTATATATAGAGATTCATATATCTCTACATATTACATTATATTACAATTAAATGAACATTAAGTATAAAATATATAGTTTATAATATATATTTATTACAAATTGTGTTTATTACAATTTTTTTTTCATTACAAATCTTATTTTATTAAAAGGGAAAAGGTGTTTTCAATTTATTATTTAAAGATTCTAATTTATTTTTTACATTATTATTATTGAGTCTCTTGTTCTCAAATATTTTTTTATCAGAAAATTTTATTATTGTAATGACTTTATGATAGAATTTATTTTCTCAACACATTCTTCTTTCTTTTTTGTAATAGCTGCTTCTGCTTCTACAAATTGTTGACGTCCTATCTTGCCTGGTACTAGTTTATCTACATACAATGCTTGTTGTTGATTATAAAGTTCTTTTAAAGTTCTGTCATATTTCTGTAATTCTTGAATACGATCATATACATCTCCTGATTCTCCTTTTAAACGTTGTGCAATTTCAGCAATAGAACTGGTTGTACTCTTATACTCTTGATTAATGCCTTTTACCACAGATAAGAATGTATTGGCATCTTTATTTGCTTTAAGGTATGCTAACTGATCATCTAGCTCATTGTAAGAAGTTACTCTACGGTCTTGTGCAGCTAAAATCTTTTCACACTGCCCAGCAATTCTTAATTTACTTTCTGAAACTTCATCTTTATCAATTGAAAAATCAAGTCTTACATAAGTAATTACTAACAAAAACAGTAAATATAAAGCTGCAGCTACAAGCAATGGTTCTTGTAACATTAATATGCGTGGGAATGTGTACTTTAGCTTAAAATTCTGGATATGATTTTCAATTAAATTCTTTTTAGTGACAGAAATTACAGGACGACCAGTAGTATCCAAGTATGTGTAATGAAGGGAATCTGGCAAGCGTGTTGCAGAATATGGAAGGCTTAGTTCAATATTTTTAGATCCTTCTGGTAAAATAATCTTTACGATTAATTCATCTACAACCATATCATCGAAAACGTGATCCAATAATCTCATTTCTAGAGTATATAAATCTCCAGAATGAAACAAATACTCATAGCTAGGTACATTATATCCAACTATATATTTCGTTTTCCAACCACCAAACAGTGGGAACCTTGGACGAAGATTTAATTCTACTGAATCTTTCTTGATACGAGTATGTGACGTCGAAATATTACCAATTTCATCTCTGTAATAAATATCAGAAGCAGCTGCAGGTAAAATGGTATCAAAGCTTTGAATGCTTGCTTCCCATGATTTTGGTTCTCTAGCAAACTCATAGCGTGAAAATGAGCCTTTTAATAATGCTCCAGTGTGTAATAAATCAATATGTTCTTCTACTGCTATGTTACCCCAATGTGATATTTCAATATTCCTTTCAAGTCTGGTGACAGTGAGAAATTTATTATTGTTTTCAAAGTGTATATTTAATTCTTCATAAGAAAACGGAGGAAGTTTTTCATATGGACCATACGTGATAAATGAATCACTTTGTGAAACAGGTTTAAATTTTGTATAGGTTTCAATATTACGTGATGGTAAAGATACAGTGGTTGTTTGTTTTGTTATAGTGTATGGTGCGTAAAGATAAATGTTACCTATATATTTCACTAATTGCTTTTCTTTCTGCGTAATTTCCTTGGGATGAGGTATGAGCTCATGAGTTAATATCCATTCAATTTCAACAGACATAGTTCTCCCAGGAGATAGTGGGTCTTTTAATTCAATTTCATAAAAAGTTTCATCTGGATAAACATTTACTTTCACCTCAGTTAATTTTAATTCAACTCGTACAGGTTCTCTATAAGCTGCTATGTAGCTAAGACTATTTTTTTGTTCAGGTTCCAGTGAAAAAAGGAAATTACCTATGTGCCGATCTTTACTTCCATTTTCTAATATAAGTCTAGTTGTAATTTTTGTTAACTGAGATTGTAAATCGATATGTTTCTCCACATTTTTAAAATTTAAGTCAGGATCGATAATGTTGGCGGCAGCAAATGATTGGACATATACTCCGACAAGTAACACAACATTACATAGTAATACAATTATATTACGATTAATCATACTTTTTGCGTAAAAATTTCTTTTAGTTCACTATCGAGTAGCACTTTTAACAACCGGCAAGCGGGTTACAAATTGGTATCATCATAGACGTGGCGTTTATCTAAGACCATGTATTATATAGATAAGAAACTCATGTATATCAAAATATTCGAACCTATATATTTTCTAGATTCTTTACAAATGTAATTCAAATATACGTATATAAATTTAAAATATGATCTTTTAAAAATATTGACATCGATTTTTTATTCCTGCTTTAGAAGAAAAAGAAAAGATGAGATACAAGAAGTCATATTATGAATACAACTTACAAATATATGTTACATGGTGAAACTAACCTTTCAAATTGAAGTTATGTTACAAGTACAAATACATTGTATAAAGAAAAAATGGTTTTACCTCAAATTATATTTAATTTAAGAAAATCTTTATGCATCCAGTAAGTAATTTATAACATATAAATTTAACTAAATATATATAAATAATAATCCAAAGTATTTTTATTGAATAGGATAGTATCTTATTATACAAACCGAATGTATGAATTACATTCAAAAAAATTGTACAACTATCAAACAACATTTTATCGTTGTTATGCAGGGAAATCGAAAATTAATGAACAACCCAATACATTTTGCAATGTAAGTAATTTATCAGTCAATGTCATTTTCGTATTTTTTTTTTTTTTAGAAGTTGAATGTTAAATCTCAATGAAAACAAAGTTAGAAAGATACATAATTTTAGTAATGAAGTATATAGTATAGTATGTAAACATATTAATTACAAAATTATTTTTATAGGACTATGAAGTACAAACTGCAAATATATTAAATTCTAATAGAATGTTAAGTGAGTATGTCAATTTAATTTAAACAATATATATATTGTGCATATATTGTTTCATTAATGGTTTTATGTAAAATTTTAGAACTTAAAAAAGTACATCCACAGCCTAAACATGATCTTGACAAGATTTATGACGTTGTAAAGAATGAATTTGACAAGCTATGCATATCGTATGTATATACAAAAATAAAACAATCTACTATTAAATACAAATGCACTATCAATGTCATATGGCCTTATGAAGCATCCTTCTGCAGTATTGCATCTAACAAAAAGATGGCTGCACATAATGCGGCATTAATATGCTTAGATTGGTTATATCAAAATAAGAAAATTAATGATTTAAAACCTATATTTTATGATTATAAAAGTCAGCATAATATTTTGAAATCTCAACAGTTTGTCAAAATTAATCTTACATCAGACTCCAAGAATAAAATACAATCTGTGATTGATGTTTTTAATGACGTAAGATTTATAAACAACAGAAATATCTGCCTAATATTTATAAATATTTTAATTTATTTATTATGATTATGTGTAGGAAATAAAATCTATAATAACAATACCATGCATTACTGAACTTGATGAAGACAATGTAAAAGAAGAAGTAAGAATAGTAGCCAATTCATTAAGTGAGAATAGTAGCCAATTAAAGCAAAATCTACAAGGAAGAAATAATATGAAAATGAAGATAGACTTGCCTATTATGAACTATAAGTATGTATATATACTTACACATGATAAACAAATTATTTATTACTTAAACATTTTTTTCAGAGAAGAAATTCTTAACAGTTTACAAAATAATCAAGTTTTGGTAATTAAAGGGGACACTGGTTGCGGTAAAAGTACCCAAGTTCCACAGTTCATACTAGATGCTTATATAGAACAAAATAAAAGACATGAATGCAACATAATTGTATCAGAACCTCGTAAAATATCAGCTATTTCTTTAGCTAAGCGTGTTGCATATGAGAGAAGTGAAAAGGTGGGTAATACAGTAGGATATCATGTACGTTTTTATAATAAAATGCCAAAAAATCATGGTTCAATTTTATTCTGTACTACTGGTATGCTATTGCGTAAATTAGAGCACGATCCTACTTTAGAAAAAGTGTCACATATAATTATAGATGAAGCTCATGAAAGAAGTCTACATACAGATTTATTATTGAAATTATGTAAAGATCTGCTGGAATACAAATCACATATAAAACTTATAATTATGTCTGCAAGTATAAACGCAGAAATATTCCAGGAATACTTTTCCTCTGCAACTATTAATGTTCCTGGAAAATTACATCATGTAGAAATGCATTTTATAGATGATATTGATTTCTTAAATAATAATTTATTAAATTGGGATACTCTCATGACGAAAGAAATTCCTTTTAATGAAATAGTATGTCTAATACAATGGATTATTAATAATAAACCACCAGGAGCAATTTTATGTTTTCTTCCGGGCTGGAGAGAAATTAAACTTTTACATAACATGCTTCAAAATGAATTGGATGATTTATTAATATTACCACTTCATTCTAAATTACCAAATCATATACAGCAGAAAGTTTTTAAACCTGCTCCTGCAAATATGACAAAGATTGTATTAGCTACAGATGTAGCTGAAACTGGTATTACCATTCCAGATATAAGTTATGTTATAGATACTGCAATTAAGAGACAAACGTTATGGAATGAAAAAAAATCTTTATCCAGTTTATGTTTCTGTCCAATATCACAAGCCAACATTTGTCAAAGGTAACTCTTGTAGAAGTGTTACGATTTTATTTTCAAAAGAGGAAAACATTAAAACATTTTTATTAATTTAGAAAAGGAAGAGCTGGGCGTCTGAAACCTGGCGAAAGTTATCACTTAATTACTCGAGAAAAATACAATGAATTAGACTTGTACCCGAAACCAGAAATATTAAGAATTTCATTGGATGAAGCAATTATTATTAGTAAAACAGTATCTCGTCAGAAAGCATCCGATTTCTTTAACGATCTGATTGATTCACCTAGTGCTACTTCAATAATTTCAGCTGTAAATAGTTTGAAAAATCTTGGCATTCTCGATGAGGATGAAAATCTTACAAGTTTGGGAAAGCGTGTTTCATATATTTCATTAAATCCGAAAATAAGTAAAGCAGTAATATTATCTTGCATTTTGCAGTACGTATAAAAAAGAATTCTTGTTTGTCTATATATTTTATACTACATATTTGTATTTCTATTTTTTATGGTTCTATGATTCTAGATTGCATATTTCTTCCACGAATTTAATATTTCTGAAGAGTTTTATTGTTTATTGTATATTTTGGTATATTTTTTTAGGTGTTTAAATCCTGTATTAACGATAGCCACTATATTTGGTAGTGCTTTTAATTATGGTGTTTCATTGAACGAAAACTCATATCCATTTGAGATGTTGAGAAAACAAAAGCTGAAATATCATAAAACAAGTGATCATATTGCTGTTTCTGAATATTTTAGTTTAGTGGAATCCAGTGATGACAATTGCTTTCAGACTGTTGAAAGTACATACTATCAGATGCAAAGTAAGTGTTATTATATTTAAAGGTAGATGATGTTTAATGCTAACAACAATTATTATTTATTTGTAGAATTTTTTATGCTCCATATGGATGAACTTATAAACAGTGGAATACTTTCAGAGACATCTGATTTTGACTATTTGAATGCCTATTCCCAAAATAATGAATTAATTCGGGCCATTTTATTTGCTGCTACGAATCATTTGATAAAAAAAAATTATTACGGATATAAAAGAGGAGTTTTTACAAAGAGAGCAGACATATTAACTACTGAGTTAATATACTTTTAAAAAAATAACTATGCAACAAAAGTTAAATTTACATAATTCTTGTTTTTTTCTTTAGGACAAACAACATCGTTCAAATTAAAAACGAGAGTGTAAATTACAAGAGAAAAACATGGCCAAGTGATTTATTAATTTATGTCAACAAGATAGAGTTTGTTAATAGACATACTTCTATGGTTCTTGATACGAGTATGATATCGCCATTATCAGTTCTGTTATTTAGTCAAACTGACGTTCAGTGTCAAAAAGTATGTTTTTGAATATAATATATGTATGTGTATATAATATTAAACATTACTTTTCTTGCAGATACAAGACAATGCTTCCACTGAAGAAGAACAAATTTGTATTAGCATAAATAATATAAAAAATTTACATTTGTTATGTGAACCAGAGTTCGTATTTGTATTTTTATTTTTTTTTACACGATTAATTTACACGTTTTTATATATTGTTTTTTTTTTCAGAATCGCGGATGTGTTATTAGAACTTCGGAGTATATTGTGGAATATTGTACATTTTATACTTAGATATGAAAGTAAAGGTGATTATCGATATAAATTACATTTAATTCGACCGTTTAAAGAAATCCTAATGGATTTAATTTCGGAATTGTTGACGGAATCGTCACGACATATTGATGATAATATTGAAAATGATGTTGAAAATGATATTAAAAATTAGAAAAATTTTAACTATTTAAATTATTTTATAATATTGTATGATAGAATCTTTAATTTTTATTTTGTTAGTATGTATAAAAAAACTGTACATATAAATAAATAAATTTTATGTGTAGATGTAAATAAATATATATGATCGTACAAATACATAATATCGATATATTAGTATATGATGTATCGAAGTCTGTTCATATACCTCGTCTGTGACCTCATCTGTTGTCTGTGACGATATTTGTCTAAAACGATGTGAGAGGATGTGATAAGAAAATGGTGATCCCGAAAATGTGGGACATGAAAAAGCATTGGATGTTCAGTTTATGCTAGTTAGTCAATGATGATATATAATTTTGATATTTATTTCAATTTTATTTATTACCTAGTATAAATTTTCAAAAGATACTACTGTATTTTTTGTATTTGTGTTCTATGTTCTATAGTTATCTTCGTTATATAATTATATAATTATTCAATAGAATTTGATATCTAGTTTTTAGCATCTTAATAATTACTCATTTCATTAAAGTCCTAAAACCCTGCCAACACCATATTCCCAAATTTATGAGAGAGAATGTAAAAAATTTGATTCTCAATCCCATTAGCCATCTTATAAATATCTATGATTTCACAGTCAATACAGAATATTTTTATGAATTTACATATATTAATTTTTAACAAATTATAGTCTACTGATTGTCAGTTTGTCTATATATATTTTCCTATAGTATCAATCACATATAATATCAATCAAATTACATATATTTGTGCTAAAAATTGTTTTTATTATACGCAGCTTTTTTTATGGAAAATTTTTTAGCTGTATCAGAGGTAGTTATTAAAAATTTTCCATCAATCAATTAAGTCGCATGATTTCTGTATACGTCTATATTATTTATAAATAAAATTTTCCATATATATATATATATAATGTTTATAATAGTATAATAATATAAAATATATTAGCACTGCTATCTTGTAGCATTGTAAACATTCAATATATTAAAATCTATTTTATGTACATTTGGCAGGTACATTGAAGCGTGCGCTTCTGATATGAAAAAGACAATTTTATTACGAAAAGCGAGGCGCGAAAACTCTTATTAAGATTTTTAAGCTCTAAGATATAATAATCATTATTGTTTTATCTCTTGTCCCTACGTATAAATATATAGAATTATAATGAAATTAATAAAATAAAGAAAGAATATATTAGAATATATATGCTATAAATATAAAGTAACTTATACATATAAAAAATGTATATAAATCTGTTTCGAAACAAATGTAGTTAACTATATCTTGTGATACATGCCATTATTGAATAAAGCGTAATACTTTGCAACAATAAAGTCAACAATTAACATTAAATTAGAATTAAACAAAATTTGAAACATCAGTATATAAGTAGTCAATGTCTCATTTGATGAATATACGTATGTTATAAAATATATTATAATCTCCTTTTTAATGACTACTATGACAAATAACAATAACAGGTATATTAATAACATTGATATTAAATTTAAAATTGAATAACTACATCGTAATGTAAAAACAAAGCAATTTTTATGTTGCTTATTTTAATTTCCTATTTTAATATATTAGAATAAATTTTTTATATATCATTTAATGTAAAAATTTTCTTTTAATTACGAAATTATTATCGCATCGACTAGCAATTATAAATTGTATAAGTAATAATATAAATTGTAACATTACAGTATTCTAGTAAGAATATAAGTAATCTATATAATTAACTATCTATTATATTTCTGTAAGGTAATATTGCACTTCCGGCCGTTTTACATACTATTAAATTATATTACCATGGCAATCTTTGCATATTTCGTCGGCCGTATATCTTTCTTTGTTATAAACTAATTACATAAATATGATATATAGAATATGATTAAATGAATCTTTTTCTTAAAGTTATTGATTCTTTTTGTAGCATATGATATAAGTAAATTGAAAGCTAGCAAATTAGTAAATGCAAAATAGATTATTTTTACTTGAGCTTTACTCAGACTTAATACAAAACTATACATTTACCCGTTTGGCGAACTTTTAGATGTGTGTATCACGTTTAATTAATCAAATGAAAAGAAAAACAGCTACTTAAAACATAGTTAAAAATTACTTACTTAAAAATTAAGGTTTTTATAAAAAATAAAGTAATTGCCGTGAAGGAATAACATGAAAGTACTGGCCTTAAATGATATTAAATATGTCTATTGTGGGAGGAATTGCTGATTGCCATTTGTGAAAATATCTACCTAGATAGATGGCAATTTAATATTTTAATATTTGATTTTTACTCATTCCAAACGTGTGTAATACTGTATCTCCAAGTTTCATTTTTTTTTATATAGCCTTTGAAAAAAGAAAGGAAACAAGGCTGAAAGAGATTCTATACCATCACAATCGTCAACTGCAACCACTAAACAGGTACAATAATTAATTATACTATAATCAACTCTAATCATCTATTCTTTACTAACTTTGTTTCAAAATAATAAGAAAACAATATAGTTTCCTCACTGAATAGTTTCCTCATGCATAATTAAATTGACTCCTTAGGTCCATACGGCAAAAGCACTGTTATAAAACTTTCAGTCTCGCTATCGCTGGTGCTAAAGTTTGCTCTCTCTACAACTCCATTCTCGTTTCTGACACAAAATGGTTGGAGGTATGTGTTCTTCGTGCCGATTTCCACTCCTGAATCGATGCTCTTCGAAAAGTTGGATACGCCTGAGAGTTTGCGGAAATTTCCAAAGAAAACGCTGTCCGTTCCGATGCTTTCGGCGCCGCTTTCGCTCGCCCCGTCACAGACTGATTCGGTCTCGTCGGTTTCCGATACGCTGCTCACCTCGTGTTTCAGCAACTGTTTGTGCGAGCCATTGCTGTCCGTGCTGCTCAAGTATCCGCTATCTTCCACTTTCATTCGTGATTGCTGACAGCCAGATATACGACTCGCGGAATCGCTGGTTGATTCGTTTCTGGAAGGTCTCGACCAATGCTTCTTGCTAGCTTGAGACTCGCTGTTTCTCCTCTGGTGATCTTGTTTGTGGCATTGGTCGAATATTTTTCTTTTATCTCTGTAACTACGAGAGTTGCTCCACGACGCAGAAGGAATGGATTTTGATTTGCCTCGCGTGGAATTGCTTCGGATTTGGCTTTCCAATTGGTGTCTGCACCTTGTCGTCGATTCCTCGGGCTGCAGTTGAGACTTGCAGGAGCAAGATGGCGAAGTGGTCCCTACGTGGACGTGTTCACAGGGGACAGGAGCACCGTTGCTGGTTGTAGGGTCACCCGCTTCGGCAGGACTCCTGTCCCAGCCGTTTTTTGACAGAGAGCTCGATAATAATTTCCCGTCCTTTACGCGACGCGGAGGTTTCGGATGCTGATAGATATCCTCCGTAGGCGGTAATGGCACCACGTCCGGTTGGTTGCTCGGTTGTCGTTGCCTCTTCAATTGTCTGGTCTCTGGTGTTAAATATTTACACTTCTTCCAAGACATCGAGTCCTCTGAATGGCCGTTCAACGATTTACTGCTATTGGCCAAGTCTCTGGGATACGATTTCAACCTAGCTTCGTATATTTCTCGAAGGCTGCCGTAGTTACGTTGCAAACAGTGGCCATTTTTTGACGAGTCTTGGTCGCGGAAGCTGCCTTTGCTTTTAAGGAGGATTTGAGCAGGTCTTTCGAGGGAGTCTACGTAAATCTCGTTGGGAATATCTTTCTCGTAGTTCACGTCGTCGTTGATCTTCAGCTTCATTGGTTTTCTGTCCAATGTGTCGGGCTCGTATTCAGACTCGTCGTGTTTCACGTAGTTCTTTGGCGAATCTTGGACCTTGATGGTTAAATGTCCAGGGTTTTCGGGCTCGTATTGAATCTCTGGCCCGGAATCGTCGCTGCAAGCTGGACTATCGTAGCCGTCGTTCACGTATACCTCGCTGACAAGCGAATAACTTTCCAATTTTTGCGAACAGATTAATTCGGGCAGACTGTTGTAATAGCCTTTCTCGGGAATGTCCTTGTTCAGTTTGTTGGGCATCATCATTTCACCGGTCTTGGTGTTAATCACCGCGTTCTGCATCGTCAGTTCCTCGTCCATTGGCAAAGCGGTAGACAACGCTGGACTCGACTGATCGGTAGATTCTGGCGAAGTAGAGGATTTTCGGCTGGACTTGGATCGTTCTAGACTATCCACTTCGTAATCCACGATATTCTCTGATCTCGAATGATGTTCCAGCACCTTCGCGTCAACCATCTCGCGGATCACGGCGTCCATTATACGTTTCGCTGTGTTCTTAGCATTTGGAAGCTCGTTGATCATATCCGGTAGCTCTTTCTTCGATCGTGTCGAATTCTCGTTGCGTTTATTCGCTTGTTTCTGGAGCGAAGCCTCCATTGCGTTGCCCTTTTCTTTCGTTTTATTACATTCGTCCTCAGGAACTGCGATCTTCTTTTCCATTCTGGTTCCTGGTCTCTCCACTGTTTCCTTTTCCAACGCCACGTTCTCCTCCATCTGTTTAATGAACGAATTCTCGATGGCCTTCCTCACTTTGTCATTGACAATATCGTTGCCATTGCCGAGCAAAGAATCACCGTTCTTCAACGAATAATAGCTCGACTCCTCGAACATTGACTTGGTCGACCGTTTCGAAACACTGTGTTGATCGTCCGTCTCGATGATTTCGCTTCTCGCCACGTTTTGGAACGTTTTCATCATCGGTGGATTGTCCTTCCACGAGGAGAGAAGCCTCCCTGTTGAACCCTTCGCGTTCGCGTCGAATTCTCGTTTAGCTAATTCTTTCAAGTACTCCAAGTTCTTGTTGAACGTTTTCGTATTTTCCTGGAGCGTCTTCCGAGCTTCCTCGGCGTCTCGCCAACGTCGCTGAGGCGACGATCTGACGTCCTCCAACCACGCTCGAACTTTACTCTCGCCTGGACTTGGCTGGCTAGGCTCCGAAAGCGCGAGAGCGTCCCTAAACGAGTCTCTGCAACCTGGACACCCGGTGCATCGTTGGGATTTCCGTAACTTCGTGACGGAACTCTGAGCCGAATTCGAAGCTGATTGTTGCTGATTCTTCGTGGTATCGCAGTGTTCCGCGTTCGTTTCCTCCTCCGGGATACCTGAATCGTGGACAGATAGAATTAGTCGAGAGCTCTCTTCCCTGTCATCTTTCTTGATTGTCAGTGATGAGATCAAGTACATTGAGAGCTGACCGATTATATATAAAGAAAAAAATAAACGATACATACAAATATGCTATTCTTCCAAGTAAAATCAAATACAAATAGGTCTGAAATTAGCAAATTCTCTGTTTACTCAAAATCATTCTTCTTGATTGCTATTTTTACGTAGTTGCAAATGCAAACATTAAAATAGAAATTATAATATTTTATTTATATATTAATATATAAATAATACAATATATAATAATATATAAATAATACAATATAATATTATATTATTTATATATTATTATATATTATTATAATAGAAATTCTGCTTATTGTTTATAATTTTGTATAATCTTCCTGAATTTTTCTAAGAATTCAACGAAACGACAGTATCTTTCTAACTTGTATGATTTGTTTACTATACATTCTAAGCATTCTGATAATTTCGAAGTCTGCAAGTATTCACTTCAAGATTGCAAATCAACTTCTTGGAATTTGACAAGTACAGCGAACGAATCACTATGCCTTATCAGTAATACTCGATATTACAAGGTGAATTTTAAATACTGAATCTGCTTCGGATTTACAAGTGCACGTTAAATTTAATCTCGCTATTGATTATTAAAAAAAACGAAATTACTAACCGACGAGAGTAGGAATGAATCTCTTCGCTGCCATTTTGTGCTTCGCGATAGAGATAACTTCTCGAATCTTGAGAAGGAACTCGATGGCTGCTGGAGGGGGCGCCTAGAAAAATGCCGGGCTGCCTTTAAATTATCTCGGAATTATCAAAAAATACGCCATGCAATGTGCATCACCGGAGGAAATCTGCTTTTGTTTGCGAAAGTTACGAAGAGTGGCAGACTTACGAGTAACAATTGCCTGTCGAAGTAAGCAGGATTGAAGTAGAGCTTTCTTCTTTGTGCGCCTGGTAACACCGGAATATCCTGTTGTTGAGGATTATCCGCAGTTTCCACGACCCGCACGTCCTCTTCTGGTAATCTTTCGCCTAAAATCGATCCAGTCCCGAAGCAACCCTCAGACTGTTCCATGTAAATGCAATGGGGATGAACGATAGCTGAAGTAATCTGTTTACATACACGTAAACTTTTGTTAATTGAATATTTGACAAAGTGACAAATATTTCACACTCACGTGATATCGAATGATCCGCACCTAACTGTTTGCAATTCGTTAAAATGAAACGTTGTACCTTGTCACGATAAAGAGTAACACATACTAATCGGCGTCAGAACAACGAAGACTTAATAACAACTTTTTTTTGCAAGATTCTTACTTTGAAAATATTTTATGCATTTCTAGTTTGATACTGACATGTAAATATGTATTTCTCTGTCATTTTGCACAGAATGATCAAAGTTTGCACTAAGTGTACTATGTCCAAATGTTTTAATTAACAAATTTAATATCTAACGTAATTTTTAATTTCATTTATCCTGTTTCTTTATAAGACAAAATGTCTCGATTGTCAAATGAGAAGAGTTCAATTATATTTGTACTTTCAATTGATGTCGTTATTTTTACAAACGTTTAGTAATAATAATACTCACAAGAGAAGATTAAAAACAAAGACCATGATAAGTGACATTTCCTGTCTTTTGAGTATACGAAAAACAGTTTTAAATTATCTTTCAAAACCTTTGTTTTCATTTTCTACAAATATTTAAAACACTGTTTATCATAATGTTAAAATATTCTTTGCCTTGATAATTGCATTTTTAGCTTTTAATTACTTAAAAAAAAATTTATATTCTTAGACTTAACAAATTAATAACATTATTAAATAACAAGTATTAAAATCAATGAACTTCATCTATTTTGAATATTTCTATTGTTGGAGATATGAAAAAATTTATTTAATTTATATTTAGTATAAAGGATGCCATAATATGGCAGTAATAATTCTTTTGTAAGTGAAGGAGTTTTGGAGATTTCAAGCTATTGAGAAACTATTTGTTTTTATTAAAGAAGATATCAAGGATATATTTTAACTTCAATCAAAATTTGTGAAAGATAAGAGCGATGGAATTTATTTGAAATTCATGGAATTAAAGTTAAAATATTCACTAAATTAATAAACGAAATACTTTTTTCTGTAGAGAATGTTGAGCTGCATCGATTAAGGGGTCAAAAAGTGTATGACTCCGTTTAAAAAATTGGGAAATCTCCGAAACATACAGAAAAGATCTCAACAAACAAAGTTTTCTTATGTTTTCAAAAATAACAAAGATACTAAAAAAACTGACAAAATTATTGAGTCATATTTTTACTCTCGCGACTTTCAAATAGCACACTTTAAAAGACAAAGTTCTACGAACATTGTCGAATCCTTGTTCACCGTCGCTCAGTGGAAGATCATCGCCAACATCGCTCTCCGTTAAACCGCTATTTGTATCGCTTTCAAAGTGTCTCGAGGCAGCGAGCAAAGGGTTGTTCTTCACCAATCCACTGACTTCTCGACCAGGAGTCAGACTTATTTCCGGCTCCTCGACGATTTTCCTTCTGGCCTTTTTGCTGTGCAAGTACAAGGATACGCTGGCGACGTAGATCAAGGCAAGGATCACGGACGAGAGACCAATGGCCGTGTATTCCGTGGCGGAAAGGCCTTGGGAGAGTTGTGTCGTCGAAGAGAACATCACTTCTCGAACGTCTGAAAAGAGAAAGTGGCGACAATTTTGAATTACACGGTGTAATTGAGTTTCTTAAAATCTTAATTCTGTAAAATCTATCATGTGATAGATAGATTCATACGACGAGGAAAAATAGGAGCAATGTTCTATGTCCTTGTCTTTCATGCACAAATTGAAATATTTGTTGAAGTAATAGTTGCTCGATATACATGAATTAATACTTCTTTTTTTTTTTTACAGAAAATTGGATGCGATTAATAAATAAAAAAATATATTATTATATTTAAAAAATATATTTTTCGTGCAGTGAGTTATTTTCAAGTTGTAACGAGATTCACTATGCACTGTTGAAAAATATATTCGTAAAAGATATTTTATTATCAAATAAAGAAAATAATTTCGAATAATTAAATAAAGAAAATGAATAACTATGTTTGCCTTTAATGTTCCCTTTTTATTTAATATAAATGGTCAAAAATGATTATGAAGATATTATGAAGATCCATTATCGTATAATCAGAGTTTCTATTTCTAACAGAATGTCTATTTGTAAGAGAAAAGTATTGCTGTCAAAATGTGGGAACTAGCAAATGGTATAAAATACAATAGTAAAATACAATAGTAAATATTTTCAAAGTGTAAATATGAATATGGATATCTAACTTTGGAGTTACACAATGCTATAGAGGGCGATACGAAGGTTAATAATGTAACAACATGTTATACAATATATTAATAATAATACTAAATTAAATTATAGTATGAATAATTAATTAATACTATATTACTATATTACTATTTTACTATACTATATTAATACTACTAATACTATATTAATTAATATTAATTAATACTATGAATACTATTAATTAATATTTAATTAATTTATAGTATTATTTTTATTAATATTATAGTATCAATAGTATTAATTTAATATAGCATTAATAATAATACTATATTAAATTAATATTAATAATAATACTAAATTATAAAATTGTGAAATTAACAGACAACAATAGCAGTATTGAATAAATATTAATATGACAGCAATTTCAATTAGACAAACAAAAATATTCTGTTCTATGTTGAAAAATAAAATTATTATTTCCCATGCATTTTTATAAATATATATCCAAAATTTTATGGAAAAATTAATTTTCCTTGGAGCACGGGATAAGAACAAAGTGCAAACTACAAAAATACGAAAAATGTCCAAGCCACGAATACCGACTACTCTTAGATGGTGAACCGGCCACTCTGAAAGCCACACACGGGGTGAAGACACCAGAAAGCTTCGACTTTGGCGAGGCGTCTCTGCAAACGAGTTTAGCCGTCACTACTCGACCTTCGGCTGCCGCTCTTAATCCTGTTTCGCCGATCCACTGAAATACAATTATTTGAACTGAATTATTTCAAATAGTATGTTAAAAATATATCTGTTAAACTGATCAGTTCATATACGTTGTCTATAGGAGTCATTAGACACTGCAGACAATGTCATGCGCTTAATCATATCTTTGAGCAAGATTGCTGTCGCAATTTGAGACACATACATATTTGAACCAAATTAAACGAACTCTTGTGTACATTTTATTGAATCTACTTATTTAAGCTTGACGTATAAACGAAAAATCATTGGTAGAAGGAGGAATTATATGAATTATTTGTTTTTTGATAAATTCATATAGTTAAGAGAGGTTTGCTGTGTGTTGGAAACAAATTTTCTTTTCAATAAAATCGTACGAGTTTTAAGAGGTTGTTATAGAGAGGAGATCTAGAAAATTTTTTAATATCTTTACGGAGACGTTTGAAGTTTTATAATTATCGAGAAAAAAGTATCTTTGTCTTTATCAAAAAATTAATTTAAGACAGTCAAAAGTCAAGATTGTAAAACGAGTCGATTGTTGAACGATTTCTTTTTTTTTCACTAAATTGTAACAGTTTAAATTATCAACGATCTTTTGTCGTTATCGATATACTTTTCACTCTATGTGAAAACTTGTTATTCACGGACACGTTTAAGAATAATTGCCTGTTAATTTCGATTAAACTTTAAACGTCGCATCGACAGTGCTACATAGTGCCGTATATTTTGTTCGAGCTTCGAATTTCTTAAAATGCATGAAATTTCAGCGTCACGTTCACATTCCGTTTCTGCGAGCGGCTTCCTTCGTGATTCCTAATTAGCCTTATATCAAAGATTTTATACGTATCGAGAAGAAACGGTGGACGCCTGTCGTTCGTTTGCCTTGAACACGTTCGAACATTTGCCTTGGCGACGTTCGTATATCGGTTTCACGCGAAATTACGACGCGACGCGACAGAGTATGTGACTGTATTTTATTCAACGGCAAATAAGCATCAGTGCTACTGAAAAAAAAAAAATCTGTACGTACGTAAAAATACACCACCTGCATCAGTTACGACGCGACCGAAAGGGGAATGTTAATCGCTCAGAGTTTAAAACAGGACACGTTCGTTCTCACACGCTCTTTACGTCGTTTGAAAATATTTTTTTAATTTTTGTTCGAAAAAATTTGTCATTGTTGATATCATAGAGCTTGTCGATATAATTCTTTTGAATACTTACGTTGGGAAACGTAAGATAAGAAAATAATCGATGAAATAGAAGAAATCGAAGGAAACAAATAAATAAAAAAAAAAAGTAAAGATACGTCTATATTGTCTCCTGATAGCGTATAGATTTATTTTACTTATTATACCAACCTGAAGAAACGTTCTTCCTTCGTCACGGAACAGCCTGAAGGGTGGCTCGGTGTCCGAAAGGTTCTTCAATTCTGACCATCCTGCACGCCCTAATTGCTGAGCTCCGGTTATACCACACACTGGCGTAGTCACACCTTCGTTGATCGTACGAGAAATTAGTGCTTTCAACGACGAAGAAATTGATCGAGTTGACGATGATAAGAGTTGATAGTCAAGATCACTTCACTTTAATTGTCAAACTCATCGTCAAATTCGCGGGACAAAAGGATAAAAGGAGTTGTCATCACTTAGAGTTCAGATTGATAACTTACCCTCGAATTGAATTTCCGCATGGGGGTAGATTATTTGGCCACGTTGCGGTAGAAACACATACGGTACTCTTTCAATCTGGCCTGTGTTGCTGACGAAACCACCAACGTTGCATTCTGACAATATTCAATTTGGTGAAATTACTATTGTATTCTATATTCTTTCTTCTATATAAAGATATAATATATGGATATATGGATAAATACAATTATATTATAGATATATAGATTCATATAATTATCAAAATATATACTAGATATATTTAATATATATATGTATATATATATATTTGTATATAATATATAGATTTAGATAATTATATATAGATTTTTATATAGATAATATATAGATAATAAAATATGATATAATATAGATAATACATAGATAATAAAATATAATATAATATAGATAATATATAGATAATATAATATAATATAATAAGGTATATAAAGATTACATGAAAAATGAATAAGTGCGGATATTTATGTGTATAATACTACTTGTGCTTGTGTATGAAGAATTGAAAATTTTAAGAATGAGCCACAGTGAGAATAAATCGTAATAGTACTCGTATAAATTTTACAGCACGCATAAATATTTTAATATTTCTGTTCTAGGATTACGAAATTGATTTATGCAAATTGCAGAGGATTTTAGTATACTACTGACTCGTTTTGGTACACGTAATACCAAAATAGATATTTATAATTTGAAATTCGATGATGTTCTGTTAGTTGTTCCTGAAAAAGTACCAGAAATTCACCGAAATGGCACAAATTAACGTGTCCTTTCCATGCAACTTCACGTTTTCTCATAAATGATAATTTCGTACGTATTCATGGGACGACTTGCAATTTTCAGTCGCGTATCGCCAGTGGTCATCAGAACGCGGTGCAATTATACAGCTCGTTTGAAAATTTGGAATTCTTTGCACGAAGGTGCAATGGACAGAGCGCTTTCTTTGATCAGGAACTGTACAAAGGACCATACCGTGTTGGTATTCTTTCATTGAGTCTTATGAACCTCGATTTTTTTTTTTTTTGGAGAAAATTGATTAAAATTAATTTCCCAAAAATTACAATCTAATGCAATTATAATATTTTAGCTGGTCTTCTCGCACGCAAATTGGTCAAATGCAGTTATGTTAATGATTTTGTCTTGACACGATGGGTATCGATTGCTCAAATGTTAATATAAATAAATAATAAAAGCGTACGATTGTCATATTATATTGTTTTTAAAATAGTACTTGCCAATAGTAAAATAGAATAGGATACTGTAAATGAGATTAACATTCTCAATATAATTTCTACACACGATATTTCATTATTTGTTATTACTGACATGGAACCGAATTATTATACGTAATTGAGCACTAAGTAGTAGTTACAAGAGATGCATGATTGAGAGAATATATTCCATTTGGATCTTTAAAAGTGTATTATAAAAATGAAAAGAAATTGATAAGAAAATGTATGACAATTATAGTTATGTGTTCTAATTAAATAAAATTAAGGGAGGAAACACGAATTATTAATGCATGCAATATCGTGTGTATCTATATTATACTTTAGTTAAGTTTTACTTTCAGTTAGTTGATAAAATTTTACTTTACTTTTGGTTAGTTTTATTAACTAACTAACTAAAATATTATATTATAACTAACTAATTAATTAACTATATTAACTAACTAACTATAGTTAACCATAAAATTGATTAAAATCTTGCGAGATGTTAAAAATTATAACTATTCAAATTCGAAACTATAACTGTTCGAATTCAATAATCAGCTGTACATGTCGAACGATTCTTACTTCTTAGCTCTTGCCTTTAAACGATTTTTAGCGCTAATATTGTTAAGAAAAGTACATTATTCATAGAAATGGAGTAAACGGAGAGTGAAAGAGAGAGTCGATAAAGTTGCGACGCTGTGCGGTCACAAATCGCGGTGAAGACGATACCGGTTCCTTAACGAGAAAAGGCTATGGGGATAATACTTTCCCGTTTATCAAGATTTAGGTGTTTAACGTAAGTAAGTACTTGCTGGTTATTCCTGAAAATCAACGGGTTATACCGGAAAATGCCGTTTCTCGCGGGATTTTTCGAGAGAGACTATTTAAGAAAGAATTTAATATATCAAATTTTCTGCTTTTCATATGGAAGCATGTATAAAATTCGATATATCTACATATGTTATCAATATTCGTGTCTTGTCGTACTCTCTTTTTTAAAATATTCCCTGTCACAGTGTTAAAGTATTATTCTTTATAGTATTATTAAAGTATTATTCCATAATATTAAGGTATTACTTGTATTACAATTAATAATTACCAAATTTTTAACTCTATAATAGAACAATAGATTCTAACATAATATTTATGGGAAATTTATGAGTACAAAAATTGTCAGAAAGTGTAAATATTTGCAAATATATATAAAATATCTTGGGAAGAAGGGAACAATTATTGCAGAGTAATTAATAATGAAAAATTATGTAAAATATGCGAATTGGAGATGGAATTAGCTGATAATGGAAGTAATAATAAAGGAGAAAGAGCTGTTGTAAACAAGAAAAGAAGAGATCAAATTAAAACCAAAGAAAAAAAGAACAGTAGTAGTAGATTTTAAAATTAAATATAAGATTTAAATATTATAGTTGAATATGTGTATATACCATATATGGAAATAGGAAGATTGGAAAATAAAATTAGAAATGTATGAAATAAAATAGTATGAAAATGCATGAGTAAGGAATCATAATATATTCAATATAGACAAATCAATCTTTCATCTAATTTCTACTTTTTTAATTATATTCGTAAAAATGTCCAAATTATGTGAATTTTTATGCATTTATACATTGTGCATAAATATATAAATATATCTAAGACAGAATATTTATTATAATATTTAAAATAAACTCCTATTCTAAAATTCTGTTCATAAAGATACAAAAATGTACAAAGACTCGCATATTCAGTTGTAACTTTTCTGAAACTCTGAACCAAAGTTTATTGGAACATCTGTTCGAACGTGGCGAATAATGCCTGAATAATGCTTACTGAATATCTAATCCACTGATCTGTGCAATAAGTTAGATGCCATTCTCAACGTGTTAGATCTTTGGCCAGCGTTTAGTAGGGTATCATTGTTCCTTAAAGAGAAAGTCGAAGGGAGAGTCTCGTAGATCATTTGCTGACTTTCCTCGCTGGATACGCAGGTTTGTACAGAGGAGACGGCGCGTGTGTCCCAAAAGAGAAAATGTCACGAATCTGGCCGCGCATACTCACCGACCTGAGACCTCGACCCCGATCGTTCAGATTTACCGCGAATGTTCTACTAATTGCTCGATTCGCTTTATGATAGCCGCAGAAACAGAACTTTCTTTCGCTGTGTTTCAGCATTTTATTGTATTTTCGCTGTGCGCCATTATCGAAACCTCGCCGTGAAATTTGTGGAAAAAAACGACGAAAGAGAAGTCATTATTACTGGACGATACTTGTATTCTTTCGCACGCGAGATTTTCTTGCAGACGTGCAAAATGTGATTGCATTGAGGTTAATATTCGGACAGCTATAGGCACATTCATGGTGCTCGCGAGAAAATTCGCGCGAAAGTGCATTCGGTTGGGTAAAACGAGGAACTTGCGGTCGATTAGGGCTACCAACGAGAGGATATTTTTGCGGACAGCGTTGTAACACGCTGGGACTTGTGTATCACGATCGCCAGACGTGAATTGCGGTTCGTGTCCCTAATGGTTTCACTCTTTGTAATAGAAACCTCTTTGTAGACTTAGTAACCCCGTTTATTTAATAAAACGTTCTTGATGAACGTTCGAATGATTCTATTAGACGTGACCTCTTGATTTCGCAAACATTTTACATCCAATGTTTATTTTACTATCTACTGCACCTTAATTTTTTTTTTTTTTTTGAAAATACTTTAATCTTTATACACAAGGCTAAGCATGCTAGTATTTAATTTTTGCGATGAAAAATGAAGCGATTGTTAATTTTGACTTCTGCGAGGTACATGTATAATGTTATATGTAATATAATATTATTATGTTCGTACATATATAATATTATAATATGTGATATAATATTATTATGTCCGTACATATATAATATTATAATATGTAATATAATATTATTATGTCCGTACATATATAATATTGTAATATGTAATATAATATTATTATGTCCGTACATATATAATATTATATGTAAACATATAATATGTTTAACTAGTATAGTTTTTCTTTTATATTTTATACTCCGTATAAATTATTATTTTATACTCCGTATTATCAGAGCTTTCTTAATTTTGTTGCTTCATATTTATGTGAAATACTATTTTTCGAAAAATAGTATTTTTATTTCTGCCTAAGGAAACATGAAATTTGCAGTGTTAGCAAACATGATATTACAAATATTAAATTATGTTAATTAATCTCACTTGTTTCAAAACACATTATTGATAAGAATTTTGACATTTATGTTCTACAACAACGTAAGATAATCAATGGTCCCTCTACGGATCACCTTATATATGTATATATAATTCAACGAGATCGATTTTCTCGAAGTAGCATCAAGTTTTGTTGAAAGTCGTGAAATCAACGACGGTCCCCGTCGTCTTCTCACTTTCATCAACGGGGCCCCCGAGTCCCTCGGAATCTCTCATTCAACTTCTTTCGGCCGGCGTTGTGTCTCGTTAAAAGGGACCACCGAACGACAGGATTTATGATAATCGACGGTAGAAAGCAATTAACGCCGGCAGCTCTCGTCTCGATGTCCCCGTTTGCTCGTAGGAGGATGCTGGTGCCTGCTACTTGTGCCTTCTATGATCAGCCAGTGGATAACAAGCCGTTGATTAACGATCAGCAAGCTCGAGCCCGGGAACGAGCGAACGGGACGATACACGCCGATGAACCTTGACCTCCGTCGAACCATGACCAATCCTCGAAACCGATTCTTCCTGCCTTCTTGCTTCGCGAGACCACAGACCCTGATAGAGATAGTGTCGCGGTGGAATGGGAATTGTAAAATCATGGCTGCTCGTCGCTGATAGGCAAAGATACCGATATGGTTCCGTGCTAAATTCTCTCGTTGCT